GCCGCCCTGTCTCTCTCCATGCCTCCCTCTCCTCCCCCACTACCCCCCCAAAACACCACCAGAAAAATAAATTCTGGCTTCAGTAACAGTATCAGAAGGAGGGAGCAATGTAAAATGGTGCCTCTGTTTCATACTGACTTCAAAGCTCAGTCTAGCGGGACAGAGCAACGATTACTGGCCCTAAAGAGACTAGAGCAAGTTTCATAGCCAAAATGGTGGTTGGAAACACAACCTGCAAACAATTTCCAGTGATTTGCTGAGATGTACAGAGCAGTTCCAAGTTCATTCCCTGGTCCATGCTGAGTTAACTGGTCTGAGTTGGGGTGGTACTTAAGGATATTAGAGTTGGGCTCAGCAATTGGGTTAGGGCGGGGAAAATTCAGGGATCCCCATCCCTCAACACTATCTTGTGTTGGAGTCTTGCGTGTGTGACGGGTGGGTAAGGATTGAATCAGGTTCCAATGCCAAAGCTCACAGGCATTGCTCAATGTGAAGAATGGCACTGGGTGTGGAACTGTAGAGCCCCAGTAGAAAGAAAAAGGAGTCAAACGTGCTCAGGGGAGAAGGAGGAGGTGGTGGTGGAAGAAACAAATTGGGGCAGAAATTAGTGTGATTAAAAAAACTGTACTGGAGCAAACGTTTACCGCTTTCTGGATTTTGCTATCAGCCCTAAGCTATCGAGAGCCATCCAAAAATAATAATAATAATAATTTGGTCACTCAATCCACGACTGTTTGTGGGATACTGCTGTGCACAACAGGCTGCCCCTTTTTGCCAACAAAATACACAGTCAATCCACTTTACAGTATACTCTGTGAAGCAATTTGAGACATCTCAATAATGTAATAAGGCACTACATCAAATGCAAGGGTTATTATCCCCCACCCTCTATGTGTCAAAGGTGGAGTGATCCCAGGAATTACTGAACCACTTCAGATTGTGAATGAGGCATAAGATGCTCGCAAGAAAAAACAGAAACTCAAATGACTTCAGCTCAGAAAAAACGGTAGAGGTATTTGTAGGGAGTACATTTTATTGACTGGAGAATTATTGATGAATAGTTTTACTGTTAGAGGGAGTAAGGGTAGCGCAGAGTTTTCCAGTCGGGGGCTGCTTATTGTTTGAAATTTGTTTTGGTTTGCTAAAACCAATATTGTCCTTCACACTGGCCGGAATGCCTTTCTTAATTTACTTTCCTCTACAGACTTCCGTTCTGGTGAAGCAATGGATACAGATTGCAATACAAATTTAAATAATAAATGCATTGTTGATGAGACAGCGCAGAGGAAAGCAACGAGGATGATCCCCAGTGTAGAGGAATAAACTATTAGACAAGCTAGGGCTCTTCAGTCTTGGATCGGTGAGATTATATGGGCTGAAGGGCCTTCTTCATCCAAACTAATCTTGTGTGATCTTGTGTGTGATGAGTTAGTGCTTTCTGTAGTGCAATGGAGAAAATTAGAGGGAGAACAAAATGTATTCAAAAAAAGACTTCTCCCTCATAATAGCATCTGCAGATTAATGAACACTAGCACAAAGTCAGGCATGTAACCCATAGGGGAGTCTGCAGCTCATTTACCTGCTACGCTTGCTCAAAGACAACTGGGCAGAGATAAAGAGCCATAAATGAGAGGGAATATGAAGGAGCAGCAAAAAAAATACAGAAATGCATAATTGTGAAATACTTATGAGGGTACTTATCTGATCTGTGTAATTGTCTCTTCTATTCAGTAATGCCAGTGAATTGTAAACATGCAAATAGTCAGATTGCATCTTAAATTGTCTTTGATCATATGAAGGCATACAGTTTCTGTTCAACTATGCCAACTTCAAAGATTATTACACCGTTTGTAGAGTTCAAATTATTTTCCATTCAGAATAGGAGGGAGACCTGAAACTACATTTGATAACTCCACACAGGCAGATTCCAACCCCAGGAAATACCCATCTCGGGTAACCTGAAGATAATGTGGTCTGTAACCAGCAGATAATACAGCTCATTGGGCAGAGCAAGACAGGTAAAAACAAGGAACTCATTCTTCCTAGGGAGACTGATTTGCCTTTGAATTATTGTATGTGCTCTTGTGTTCATTCAATGGTGGGAGATGGGGGTTACTTTGTCTAATCTAATCCCATTCCCCACAGAAGAGACAAGGCATTGAGAGATATAGTGAGAGAGTGAATCTGTGGTATTTACCAATCAGGTAGGAATTGGAAGGGCTTGATCTGACTAGTGACCCCTCTTAAAATTTCTCATCATCAAAAACAAATAGTAATAATATTCCTTGCATTTGATATAGCGCCTTTCACGTCAGGAAGATGTCTTAAAGCACGCCACAGGATATACTGTGTATTTTGTAAGCAAACTTATAAAATGTTAAGTGCTTTGTTAGCCAGTCAGCGCATGTCAGCATATGTAATGTTCTTGTTTAACACTGGCAATATTTTTAACTGGCACATGTGTTGGTGGCATGTCTACTGCCAATTTTGCTCTGTTATTAATAGTGTTTTGATGTTACATACAGTTCAGTAGCTGGGAGTTGAACAGCAGGTTGGTACAGAACATATTTTATAACAAGAAACAACAACAAAATTGAAGGAAATACATTCACTCAACTTGAAGTCAACTTACTCACGAAAAATCACCTTAGTTTGCAGATTGGTGGGTCCTCTGCTTGTGTGTTCATGCCACCATCTTGACTCAGCCTTAACTCTTAGTTGCTTTCCATAAATCAATCCTTTCCTCTATATTGGTACTGTAATAATAATAATAATAATAATCCTTGCATTTGATATAGCGCTTTTCACGTCGGGAGGACGTCCCAAAGCGCTTCACAGAACACATTGTAAAGTGAATTGACTGTATATTTGTAGGCGAACGCGGCAGCCAATTGCGCACAGCAATGTCCCACAAACAGTCGTAGATTGAAAATGACCAATTTATTATTGTTGTTTTTTGGAGGGATTATTATTAGGCTCTGTGTGGAGTAAGGAAACTTGCCCAAGATTTTGCCCTGACTGGAATTGAACCCAGGTCTCTCACTTACAAAGCGAGTGCTCTAACCACTGAGCTACACTGTACTGTGTAAAACAGGCATCAAGTACATATTTCAAGATGTCAGATGTTTTATTCTCCCGCTTTGACAGCCATTTATTCACCTTGTTTGTTCCACATTATTGTCCTGTTCTCTTTGAGCGAGATTGAGAGGCTGGTGTTTCCTGAACTCCAGGTCCCCTGTGATGTTCTGACCCCAAGGAAACAATAAATACCTCCTGAGCAGTGAAACATGCACTACAACTTGCTAATACAACATACAGTATCCCCTCTGATTCACAGCTATTCACAACACCTCCCCACTAACCCCCACAGACACATAAATACAAAATCTCAAGTCAATTTAAATGAGAAGTGGAAGTTCCCATGGATCTATCATTCGCATTGTTTCCAACATTTTCATTTTTAGGCAAAAATACCCATTAGATTTCATTCAAAGTTCTTTTGATGTATATATCTCTAAATCTAATAAAACATAATTTTTTTAGTTGTCAGGAACTTGTCAATTCCTTTTTACAACTCCTTATATATTCTTGTTCTGCCATTTGTCTGCTGGTCTGTTAAACATGCCTTCACCCTTCACAAGATCAGTTCAGATGAAGAAGGCCCTTCTGCCCATCTGATCTCATCCTTCCAGAATACCCGCCCTACCATCATCCCAACACAGCATCAGGTTGCTTTTCAAATGAGTCAAGTATCCTAGCCTCAACCACCCACCCTCCTCTTTACCCTCTGGGAAAATAAAAAAAAATTCTGGTGTCTACCTTACTGTCTTTGAGCTTCGTTCTGGGTTCAGATTTTCAATCCCATTGAAAATGCTGTACACTTCTACGAGGTCCGCATGAGAAATCTTCTCTCAAGACTGAAGAGCCCTAGCTTGCCCAGTCATTGCTCATAACTCATTCCTCTAACACATCCTCATTGCTCTCCCCTGCATTGCATCTAGAGCCTGACCAGCCCTTATATCATGTTGACTAGAACTGTATCCTGTACTCCAGGTGGGGTCTGACCAGATCACGATACAGCTTGAGTATCAGATCTAGGGAATCTGAATTCAACTGATTTGGCAATATAGGCCAGCATCCTGTTTACCTTCTTTATTGCTGCCTCTAAACCGATGTCCTCTTGTTTTACTGTTTCGGTACATCCTAAAGTTCTGAACTGGGGTTACATTTTCAATCCAATTTAACATGTTATACAGTTCTACAAGGTCCCCTCTGTTTTGATATTGTGAGCAACGAGTCAATGAACACCCCTGGATCTGTTTCAGCTTCCTCCTTGACAAATTCTATCCCACCCAATGAGTGCCTGCATTTCCTATTTTTACTTCCAGTAGGTAGTACCTATACTATATGTATTCAACTTCATTTGCCAGTTATCAGCCCATGTGTATTGTAAACAAATGTCTCAGAACACTTAACAATGAGAGCGGAGGGCATTGAGCAAGAATTGGTGGAAATCCAGAGGTGATCAAAGGCATAGTCGAAGAGATGAGCATTTTGCAAGTGTATGCCAGCAGGTAGGTTCTGGAAGAGAGTTCCAGTGGACAGAGGGTTGCCTAATGCCTGAAAGCTCAGCTCCTGTTAGTGGAGTGGGGAAGGCTGGAACAAGGGGTAAAGTGGTCAGAGACAAAAAGAGCAGAGCACAGTTGGGAAGTGCCTAGGTGCCAATTGGCTCAGTCCGAAGGTGTGGAGGAGAGAAGGTTTTAACCAAGTAGTTTGAGCATTGGCACATGAAACTCATAAGCCAATTGTAAAAACGGCTCATAAATTATAATATTTATTATATCTGAAATTTCCCTTTTTTTTTCAAAGCTTACTTGCCCTGACACGTTGGTCAATTGTCTAACAAGAGGTTAGCCAAAAAGACATCAAGTTCACAGATGAGCTGAATGACCTTGGCTCTACCTTTGATGATGAGCGGTGGTTTTGCACTGGTCTGAGTGATGGACAATTCTAGGTACAGTCAGTACAAAAAGCATTGGAGTCACCCAGCAGTTCAGTCGCCAAGGGTCAGCATCTGCTTTCTCACCCACTAAACCTGTCCTAGCAAGTTTGTTTAATAACAGTCTCTCAATGGCTCACTTGGTTTTACCATTGCCCAGTGAAGTGCTGAGCCAAGAGGCCAGGAGCATCCCAGGTTCAATCCCAGTCTGTGCTGTTTTATCTGGACCCAGCAAAGGTAATGGCACTGGAATTGACATCTGTGTCCTTGACTAGGAGAATAAAATTCCGGAATAGACCAATAAAATTGCCCTTCAATCATCTCTCTGCCAATGTAAATATTACTTTCCGAGTTCAGGATCTCATGTAATAATCCCATATAATCTGAAGGTAGTGCTCAGATTGTATTTTGTGCTATGTGGCTGGTCTCCAGGCTCTGTATCTTTTCTCTTACACTTTTCCCTGCTTTGCTTTTCAGGCTTGTATATGTGACGGTAAATCAGCATGTCGCTGCGATGGACTGAAAGGCAATAAGGTAAGAGACAGTGATTTCTATGCATCTCTATGAATTGTGCAGTTGCACAAGCTAACGCACTCTTAACTGAGCTCTATGTAAAAACAACTGAACAACTCACTTATAATGATTCCATTTGATTTAGCCCCTTATCATACATTGCAGCATCTCAAAGCAATTCAGGATCTTACTGCAAAGAATGGTGACTATATATTTTAAGTCTTGTTACTTTATGCTATAATATTGAGATACGCTTTAAGTTTTTACAAAAAACAGATACCAGGTAAGGTCAGTTATTGATGTTGGATACTCCTTTAAGAATAAATGGACAATTAACAAAGAGACAATAAAAAAGGGCAGGAAGTACAATAGGACACTGGGAGTGGGACAAAATGTGTGATTCAGAGTAGTGATTTATTGAGTTTGGATTGACAAATAAAGAAGATACTAACACATCTTTGATTTTGATTGAGTTATATTAGAGTTAGGTGATTCATATATGCCCCAATGATAACACCTGTAACTGCAGACTGTAAACGTACTGTATGAGAGATCAGTTATTTTGCCTGAGAAAGTACAGCAGCTGAATGTACTGTGCACATCTCCTGTGGTGTGAAGCTAGTGCAATACACAAAGAAAATCTCTCCAAAAAATGACACCACTTTAAGAGCAGAAAGGTCGAAAGAGGTTTAAGGTTTTGTTTCCTTGATGTGGACAGTTTGCGAGTACAATATCGCCCCCTGGTACAGAAGAAAGATTCTGCATCAGCTGTGAACATGCTACAATATGGACAAGAGTGGAAGGAAAAACAATGACTAAAGGGACCTGTGGACACCAATTGCAAACACTAGCAAACTTTTCATTATTCTGTGTGTACTGTATATGGAAATAATGGGCTACCATAGCTTTAATATGCATGGTACAGAAACCTTGTCATAATATCACCAGCCAGTCAGTACTTGTGTATTTGTTATGTGTTAGTCATTTAAAATCCAACTCAAACATAACTTTACATGAGTCATATATGATGCGACTTATGCAATTTTTACATAACTCATACTTTGCATAAGTCATATTAAATTTATGGTCCCAAGTGATATGACTTATGTGAGGTTTACTATAATAAAGTATTCAGGGACAGTAACAGTTCACGTTTAAGGATCAGTATTTAAGTTATATTCAGGGATTGTAATGGAGTAACAATCAGGGTGATGGGATTCTCTAGATATAAACTAGCTGGTACAATCTTAAAGGGGGATGAAGGAACAGAGAGACCTAAGCATTCATATAAGTAAATCTTTGAAGGTGGCAGGGCAGGTAGATAAAGCTGTTAAAAATGCATATAGGATACTAGGCTTTATAAATCGGGGCATAGAATAGTCAGGAAGTAATGATGAACCTTTATCAGACACTGGTTAGGTCTCAGCTAGAGACTGTGTTCATTTCCAGGCACCATACTTTAGGAAGGAGGTCAAGGCATTGGAGAGAGTGCAACGGAGATTTACCAGGATGGTACCAGGAATGAGCTACTTCAGTTATCAGGAGAGACTAGAGAAGCTAGGATTATTCTCCTCGGAGCAGAAAAGCTTAAGAGGAGACTTAATAGAAGTTTTCAAAATTATGAGGGGATTCGATAGGGTGAACAAGAAGAAACTATTTCCAATGGCGAGTGGGTCGGTAACCTGAGGACACTGATTTAAAACAATTATTAAAAGAAACAGAGAGGAGGTGAGAAGAAATGTTTTCACACAGCGAGTTATTCTGATCTGGAATGCATTGCCTGAAAGGGTGGTGGTAGCCGATTCGATAACAACTTTTAAAAGAGAAGTAGCTAATTATTTGGGGAAGACAAGTTTGCAGGGCATGATGGACTGAATGACCTCCTTTTGTGCTGTATAATTCTATGATTCTATGATTTCAACAGGAAGGTGGTAAGAAAGTGGAAAAAGTTCAATACTTGCATATCCACTCATCTGTCTTCCATTTCCTTTCAGGGTGAGAGAGGTTTTCCTGGTATTCAAGGTTTGCCAGGGCAACCAGGACATTCAGGTCGAGAAGGCCCCATTGGCCCAGAAGGTTTCAAGGTGGGTTATGTCTAAAATGGTCATATTGCAGCTTCTTCTAATGACACATAACAGAGGGGACTTTGCAAAGTGTGGTTCGGAGACAGAGTAATGTATTGCAGATGGTCCCTGTTTACTTGTAGAAAGCCACTTCAGACTATTTATACATGAACTGTGGAAGGAGAAGGTTTGATGAGCCCGAAAACTTTTCCATTTTCTAACATTTTTTTGGCACTTAATTTCTACCGGTTGGAAAATGTTCCCAGAGGTTGTTGTTATTATTGGAAGGTTCACCACCTGGTGATGAGCTAATCTGTTTCAATGAGGTTTGTTAATAGCAGTGATGAGAAGAATTTAGTTACAGTGTGTGTGTTTAACGAGATTTCTAACAGCAGTGTTACAAGATTCTGGTGTAAAAAGATTTGATTGCCGCCTAATTTTTTTTTAATATTAACAGGGAGAACCAGGCTACCCCGGACAACAAGGTATAAAAGGCTTGATGGTGAGTTGGATATCCTAGAACAGGAGATATACCATGTCATCATATATGTGGGTAATACAGTATAACTAAAATGTATTGTACACGTGCGTGTGTTCTGGCAAATCTTGTGTGCACAGGCTTACGTAGTTAATCAAGCTGTGCGCATTCTTGTGTACAAACACGTGTGTGGTCTGGGCCATTGATGTGTCCACTATTATTCAAATGCATTTGCTTAATCTCTGCTGCAGTAACCTCACAAGTCAGTTATTTTATTTCCACAGGGATTGCCAGGTTTGCCAGGATTTCCCGGGATTGCTGCTCTTCCGGTAAGTTATTTTTCCCCATGGCACAGTGGCTGGTTTATGCATCATCACAGGACAGAATAAAGCCCTCAGCAGCACAGGGAAAACAGAGGGTATAGATTATTTGTTGCAAGAAGCTTCCAAACAGCATTGAATTAGATACAGTAGAAAAGAAGAGAAAAAGCTCACATAGTTTAGGTTAAATACTGGTTTAAGACTTCCGCATATTGGGTCGCTACACAGTGCAGAGTAAAGCCCTCATAACACAGGTTAGATACAAAGGAATATCTACACCGGGGTTCTGTTTAGGATATCCTGCCTTTCATAAGCTTCAACATACACGTTATTCGGCACTGGCAGTGTCAATGTCAATAGTGAATCACAGCACATAATCGGCATCTCAAACAAATCCCCCGAGACTCAAATGGCTCATAAACATTTCTTAAAACTAATTCCTTGAAACTGATTAATTCCTCATTGCTATCTCTCCCATTGCTGTTGATCAGTCACAGTTTATGAGCAAAACTTCAGTTTATTTTTGCTCTTTAGGGCATCCCTGGACAAGATGGTCCTCCAGGTCGTAAAGGTATCCCAGGGTGCAATGGCACAAAGGTACGTTCCACGTGAAGTGTCTACAATACCTGAGCAGACACGAGGGAAGTCCTGAACTGGAATAGTGGTCAGATCTTCGCACTTAGACTTTTTTTTATTGTGATTTACTCGTAATGTGAGGATTCTGAGAGACTGAGAACATCCGCTCTTTCTGCTTTTCAGGGGGAGCCTGGTCACCCCGGAGCTCCCGGTTTGAAAGGACCTCCAGGCTGCGTGGTAGGTGCTGAGAATGCTGAAAATCCCTTGGGTGTAAGAGACCTATGTAGACAAGTGTGGATACATACTTCTTCTAGCGCACGACCACATAAACAAACATACATATGTGGTAAGGGTGATGTACTTCCAGTTATCGGAAGGAAACCCCATTTGGATTTCTTAATTAAGCCATTTCCCTGGTTTGAACAATATGAACGAGTATTTATAGCACAGCCATTGTGAATCCTGGTTGCTTGTTTAAAGATCATGATTCAAAACTAATTCTGGAATTATATTTGTCTCAATCCTGTTTTTCAGGGTTTCCCGGGTTCACCAGGACCACAGGTAAGTAAGTCACCGTAACAATAAACACCTTCACCTTCTCTATTAACAACTAGGTGATTACAAAGGCATACAGAATGGCTACAAATAAGCTAAAACTAGAGACTCAGGGCTTGCCTTTGGATTTTAATTTACTATATCTTATTTTTGAACTTAAAATTTTTGTAACGTCTATTTTTTTTCTGGTGAGAGTGACAATTCACCCTCGGACACATGACATTTCACACAGAGAGACAGGAAGGTAAAGAGGACGTGAAACTCATACATGGGCAGAGAGGTGAAGACTCATAAATGGGCAGAGAGGTGAAGAGCCATACAGATAAACATTTATACATTCATACACCCTATGAAGGGACTATCAAGATTCATGTGGGGAGGGACAGCGAGGTGATGGTTTATGAAAGTAGGAACAATGAAGATTCATACACAGACAGTAATGCTCATTACCAATTAAGTAAAATAATTTACAGCATAATACTTTTGATCATCCTACAGTCACCAACCTCCTTCCCCCCCTTCCCTGCTCGATTTCTGGTACTATCACTGTAAATTTAAGGCTTCATGAAAGTGCCATATAAAATCAATTTGTTGTCATTGTTGCACAGGTTAAGAACTGCATGCAATATTTTTAAATACTTCTGTTACAGTACTCATGTAGCTCACTGTATAAGAATCTCTGGATTACTGACCGTCTAGCTGTATGGAGTACCTCTTTAAACAACAGGCTGAGGATTAAAGTGATAACTGTTTAACGTTGACTCTGTTTTTCCCGAAGGGTGATCCATCTCCGGGCCCACGCTGCAAACTACAAGAGAAAGGAAATTCTGGCTGCGAAGGTCCTCTAGGGCCCCCAGTAAGTTTAACGTGGGAGTGTATGTACAAGACGTGATGTCTGGGTGTGATTTGTGTAGGGTGTTATATGCACAGGTGAGCTAAATCCAGGCTGTGATACAAACAATGTGTAATATATATAGGGTGTGATATGTACAAGCTGTAATATGTACACAGTTGTCATATTAGGGTGTGATATGTACAGGGTTAAATAATGTAAGTACAGGGTGTAATATGTACAGGGTGTACTGTATACAAGTGTGTTATAACCAGTGTACATATCCAAGGTGTGACATGAATAGTGTGTGATTACTTTGTACATGGTGCATTTCAATTGTGTGTTTATTTGTTTACCAACACAATATATTAAAAATTATGAAATATTTAATTTAAGGGTAACCCAGGAATAAAAGGAGCAATAGGTCCAGTTGGGCCATCAGGACCTCCAGGACAGCAGGTAAGTGTCTCTCTACACTGAGGGTTGTTGAAGTGCTTTCTAGAGGATGAAGTATCACTGTTTGTGTAGTGGGCAGTGAAAAGTCACACACTTTACCTACTTTGCTGGTTGCTTGAACTGGACTTGAACTGCAATTGCTGCTGTGTGCGTCCAGCCTGCCTCTACACCTTTAAGGCCAAGTTAATGGGCCTTACTGCATATATATATAGGGTGTGATCTGGTGGTACCGGCTGGTTTTAATCTCCAGACGTGGATTGGTCTGAGTTCGGTACAGGCCAGTAATTTAATTCTTTCATTGCTAGTCTGCACTGATCTATCCTAGGGAATTGGAAAGACATGCGGGGTAGATGATGCTGAATTGAGCTCGAGATTATAGGATTGCAGGTTGAATTTTCCATCTCTAACCCAGAGGAATTGCAGCACCCTCAGCTTTACCCTGGCTAAGATTAGATAATCCAGCACACTCAGTTTTATTGATCAACAGCATAATATTTTCATTTTTAAAAAGAGATTCTTCTGTTCATTTTAAGCATTTCTGAAGTCGTTTCTGGAGCTGCGTTAGCCGGAAATGTGTGACTACTGTTGAATTTGTATTTATTTCTGATGGTATCTGTTGCTAGGGTCCAGTAGGGATGCCAGGTCATCCAGGGTTGAAGGTATGTATGACATCTACAGATGCTTTCATTTAGTTTCTGACTATGAACCCAAAGATTTGTTGTTAAAGAACGCTTTGATGAACATTCTTTTGCACAGGGCAATATGGGATTGGGCTTCGAGGGATTCACAGGAGACAAGGTGAGAGAACGCAGTTTTGAGTTGGGATTTTAGCTGTCATTAATACCTTTGGAAATGAGATCATTTGTGTGTTTTAATTAGATTTTGGCACAAGTGCTGGAAAATGGATTGGTTCTTGTAAGAACATCTATGACTGAAACCGCACTCGTATTGCAATGGTTTGGTAGTATGTCAGACATTCAGAAGCTAGTAAAAAGAATAAGAAATTATAATAGCCTGGAATGTTTTTTCACTGAATCCATGACTGTTTGTGGAACGCTGCTGTGTGCAATTTGCTGCTGTGTTTCACCCACAAAATATACAGTCAATTCACTTTACGGTATATTCTGTGAAGCACTTTGAGACGTCTCAACGCTGTAACAGTGCATTATATCAAATGCAAGGATTATTATTATTAATTTATGGCATACAGACTAAAAGGTATTTTGTGTTGCTTGATAAGTGATCCTTCTCTTAACTCTAGTCCCCAACCTCCCGGTCTGTTCATCGCTGGCTTTTTTTCCCTTTCTCTATTGTTATCAATACTGAAATGATCGTAGCAGAACTTTCCTCCCAGCTTCTGATGCAATCTTGATTCTTTCCTCATCTTCACTCCATTCGAATTAAAATGCAGGCACAGATGGTCCAGTAACACTATTCACTCTCCAATCTGTCATCATCCCTTCAATCAGCCAAGAATATGTCCCTCCCAATGTGTAATATGCCCGGTTCATTATTTCTCATCTATATCCCCTACATCCGCATTTCTTCACTCTCTGTGAACTGTAATATTATCCACCAACCTTTGTATTCTCAGCGGACTTCAAGTGCTCCTTTGAAGATATTAACTAGCCTTTCACCTAACCTTTCATATGCCCGTTCCTCTTGTGTAGAACAGCCGCAGATTTGCAAGTTCTAATTAATGTCATCCTCAATCTTCTTTATTTCAACCTTTCACACAATAACTGGCCAACAATCCCTCAGATAAAACAAAATGGTCATTCAGTTCTTGGTGTTTGAGGGACATTGCTGTGAGCAAATTGGCTGCTGCATTTGCATACAAAATACACGGTCACTACACTTTACAGTAAATCCAGTGAAGTGCTTTGAGACATTTCGATGATGTGATAAGGCACTATTATTATTACTGTATTTATAATGGTCATATCTCAACCATTACCTATCTGTCCTTCTGCATATTTCTAGTCATATCTCAGTTGCAACGTTCTCAGTTGTTTTATCTCAGATAGCAAACCCTTGGATCATATCTCTCGCTAACCTGTGGTACTTGTGTTGGATGCAGGGTGTGAAAGGTTTTCCTGGGCCTCCAGGTAGTCCAGCAGATTTCAAGGAAGGGACTGGGCCGCGTATCTTAATTAAAGGAGAGAAGGTAAGTCACAAGATAGGTTAAAAACCCACTTAGCTGATGGGCTGCCCGTGATCATGTGATATTCAACACTCTTGCACATCAATCACACTTGCGATCAGCCCTTTTGATCTCTTCTGCATCTTGTCTGATACAAGTGTATTTATTTTGTCTAGGTGTAGCCCAAATGCATAACCTCCATAAGTTTATAATCTACTGTTCTAGCCATGTATGTTAATATTGATTTGCTTTTGCAATTGCTTTTGCAATGAGGTATGTTCCTAATATTGAAAGTCAGGTGTTCACTAACTCCCCCGTTGATTAAGTAAATCTTTCCACACGCATATTTCACACATAGTTTACACATGATGCAATATAGACCCCATTGAATGAAATCATGGTTCTTTTTAAACAGGGTCAACCAGGACCCACCGGAGACCAAGGATTACCAGGGCTCCCGGGTTTACAAGTAAGTAGTCTTGGCCATATCAACCTGCCCGCTCCCTCTGCTCAGCAGGTCCCAGCTTGCTCCATGCCTGGCATGCCCCAACATCGGAGGTCGGGCCTTCAGCCTCTCTGCTCCCACCCTATTCCATCCCACAGTCCCTTCACCTTGCTCCCTCCCTTGACCCCTTCAAGGCATGACTCAAGACCCTACTCTTCGACTGCGCCTTCGGCCATCCTCCTACCCCTACCCTCTCTGCCCTCCACCCCTCCTGATCCCAAACCCCTGCTTGGGTCCAAATCTCTGACTATCAAGCTCTTTAGGATGTCCTCTCGACGTGAAAGGCCTATACAAATGTAATTTGCTGTTGTTGTTGATCACTGAATGGTGCCAGGGTGAGTACCTTAACCAGATTGCCTTTGGGATAAATTGACAGATTTCCTTCAGCTTGTGTTTGTGAAAACAAAGAATTTATCTCACAACTGAAATTGCTTACGGACTTTGGGAGGCGGAACTTTTTCTTATATCGTGAAACCAAAGTGAAGAGAAGAGCAGGATATCAACAAGAGAGAAGACAAGATAAAATCAAGACCAAAGTTCCTCTCCTTGGAACACAAGAGCTGTTGAATTCTTCCTTTCATCTTAAATAAAAATAATCCTTACCTTTCACACCGGTAGAACATCTTAAAGTAGTTCACAGGATACAGTCTCAAATGAAGTGTATTTTGTAAGCGAGCGCTTACAACTAGTTGGCTTAAAGAACTTTAAAACCAAGAGGAGCAAGTGGTTAGGTGAAAGCCAATTGGTTGCAAGAAGAAAGGACAACTATAGTTGCTCTTGTATTCTTGGTATAGAGGATTTAGTTACATCACAGGTTACAGTGCCAGTGTATTCTCTGAGGTAGGATACCTGTGTTTGTTATCAGCTGCTGGTGTGTGCAATAAGGGTGAACATAGAGGTATCAAATAACATAGGTTCACCAGCTCCACATACCTTACATACCTGCCTTATTCACTTAGATCACAGATTATTAACCAGACTTGTTGAGTTATCTCTTCGAGGTGGGGGAGGGGGGAATCAGACGGTATCTGATTGCTTTCCAGTGAAACCTGCTGGTGTGGATTCGAGTTCAGCATGTGTGTGGATGCCAGAAGAGGATTGGGTTTGGCTCCCTCACAGTCAAATCACCTGCCAACCCTCACTGGACAGTCCTCCATAAGAAGATTGGTCACATGGGGACCAGAGGGCATCCACTGCTCATGAAGTTATATCCTACCCTGAGTCCGCACTTTCTGGAGATGAAGGGAAGATAAATGGAAGGGGAAAAAAAATCTTAAAAAGGAAGCAAGAAAACTCCTTTAATTTCTGCTTGATCCATATAGAAAATTGTCCAATCTGCACTCATCGTTGACATTAGCCAAGGCTACCCGTTAGACCCTCAATGTACATTTGAGACCTGAAAATTCTCATGGTTAAGCCTATGGCCGATATATTAAATTTTAACATAGTGCAGAATTTTGGAAAATTCTTAAATTAATTTTAAGAACTGCTTCCAAACTAAAGATGAATTTAAGAATTTTTCGAAATTCCGCAGAATCTTAAGATCACAAAGCAAGGACAGTCTGGAATTTCAGGCCTCGTGTGGGTTATTAGCAATCGTGTTATTGTTAAACCATGAAAAAGCAAACACTTTAATGGTTCCTTTTTATCATGCAGGGTTCCTCTAACGGTGAGTGCAAAGGTGACCAAGGTGATCATGGAGATCCAGGGTTTCCGGTATGGAACAATTCCAGAAATGTAGATTATATTATGTTGTTCACTTCTGAAACTCAGTCTTTATTTGGAATTCTTTTTAAGAACGGCAGAAAAACAGCTTCCAAATTAAGACTAAATTGCACAATTTTCCACAATTCTTCACACTCTTAAATTTCAAAACAAGATGGTTTTCCAGGCTAAAATACTCAATGAAATCTTAGGCCTTAGGTGAACATCCCAAAGGTAAGAGGTAGAAAGGAGTAGATAGATCAGTACATTGAGAGCATTAAGGGATATGAGGAAATGGGATTAAAAAATCTGACATGATCTGATACAGTGCCAGAAGATATCAAATGGCCTTCTCCTGTTCCTAGAGCTTGGGAGAACCAGAGTCGGCATAGAGGAGACACTTGGCAATCTAAAACAATAACTCAAATGTTCTCAACAATCGCAAGGCACTTCTAATATGTCATATAGAAAAGGCCAGGATACTTATTGTGTTCTGTATCACACACAATAGACACAGGCACCACTTGCTCATCTTTGCATATTAAGATGTAGAATTTATCAGTAATGGAATAAAGCAAGTGACTTTTTTATCCTTTATTTCAGGGAAGAGAGGGGCTATGTGGAGCACCAGGACTCCAAGGCATTCGGGTTGGTGCAATTTCCATTTATCTAACATTTAGTTATTTATTTGAAATGATTTCTCTCTGAGGGCAAGCCGTGCTGAGCACTGCCCAGTTCCGTATTGGCAGTTGTTAACATTATTGCTTTGTCATGTCTCTCGCCAATTGCGTTTAAAATAATATTAATCCTCGCATTTGATTTGATGTATCAGAGACTGTATATTTCTAGGCATTGTGCAGAATATTATGTTAAAAAAATTAATCTTTCCAAAGTTGAAGCCAAACAGCACCTGAACCAGAAAGGAGGTGAACGCATTATAATTTGTGTTATTGCTGTTTATCCTTTCTCAATTCCAGGGATTGAAAGGTGATCTGGGTTTCCCAGGAAATCCAGGGCAAAGTGGCAGTCCAGTGAGTGATTATTATTAGCAGAAGACTGATTGCCACACTAATGGTTTGCTGTAATAATTATATCCAAGTTAAATATTTTAGTTACATACTAAATGTTTTTCCTATTTTCTTCCAGGGAGCGAAGGGAGATATTGGGCCCATAGGACCTCGTGGTCCAGTAAGTATTATCTTGATTTAAAGAGTTCACTAGATTTCAATCTATCTTTAAACATTAGGGACAGATAGGGGGATGTCTCCTGTTCAAAATACTCTGCCAGCTATACTGGAAAATAACATTAATTAAAAAATAATACTCTCATAGAAATTTACTGCTCCTAGAAATGTACTACTCATAAATAAATAATAAGTAATAAGTATTAAAAAATTTAGGATTTACCGTAAAATGTAGGGACTGGAGACCATACATGAAAGTCATGTGTTTAAGTACTGTGTGCAACAGGACTCAGTTCATCGCCAATGTTACTTGTAAAGTCGCTGTTACATTTTGTGCTTGTTGCAGTCAAGGGAAGGAGATGTCCTCGGCTGTGTGAAAGGAGACACTGGCCTGCCGGGCCCTCCAGGATCAAAAGGACAACAAGGATTTCAAGGTGATGATCCATTAATTCAGTCAATTTCAGAGGCTACAGAATCGCTAGCTCAGAGCTCATGTCAATGGTCTGCGCTTGAAACTTGCTTCCCCTGGAATGGATTCCATAGACCTATTTCAGAATTGAAGTATTGGGTGAGATGATCAAACATTTGATGCAGCTTTGTTCTTGTTGAGACCGGGCAATATTCTCAGTTGAGGGAGCATGAGTTGAATAGTGAAAGTATTGGGTTGAATGGCCAGCTATATGGATGCACAGACTATGTAATTCTCCTTAGCTCGAATGCATCAGTGTTTAAATGACAGCAAAATTCATTTAATTACCAACATTTTGTTTGACATATTTTAATCTTTTAAATTTTTAAAAGTTTATTCTCCTAAAACTTTTTAGCGACTCCAAGGATTCTGTATTTCAGAGCAAAAAGCGAAGTCTCTTACGATAATTAAAAAGAATCACTTCTTTCTCATTCTCTAGGAAATTTGGGGCAGCCTGGTAGGCCAGGGAGATCAGGTAAGAGCTATGTTTACCTCTATCATACAAGCAGCCCATAAATACACAGTCAATCCACTTTACAATATATTCTGTGAAGTGCTTTGAGACGTTTCAATGATGTGATAAGGCACTATATCAACTACAAGGATTATTTAAATACAGTACAATTGATATTTACATAGCACTTTTCACGTTGTGAGGATATCCCAAAGTATTTTATAGGATTTACTCTAATGTATAGTGACTATTTTGTAGGCATGCATTTTCCACTGTTTAGTTCTCTCTCTTCCTCTTTTGAAGGTGTTGACTAGTGCTGGGACACTGTTCCACACCATCTGTCACCCTCTGGTGCTTCACCATCCTTCAGGCAAGGACGAGCGGCCCAGTTATAAATAATAGCTGTGTTATTAGTCCATGAAGGGTTAGAATCATGATTATTAGAATGAGAATGAGCTGTCCTTTCTTCCCCACATCCGCGCCACAACTGGCACCGCCTTCCACCACCTCCGGAACATCGCCAGACTACGGCACTACCTCACCACTCACGCTGCTGAAACCCTGGTTCACGCCTTTATCACCTCAAGGCTGGACTATGGGAACTCTCTCCTCGCCGGCCTTCCCAGCACCTCCCTCCACACTGCAGGTCATTCAGAACTCTGCAGCTCGTGTACTGTCCCGCACCAGGGCTTCGGGACCACATCACTCCCACCCTCGCTCGCCTCCACTGGCTCCCCATCCCCCAGAGGATCGAATTCAAGATTCTCATCCTCACCTACAAGGCCATTCACGGCCTTGCTCCCTCCTACCTCTCCGACCTACTGTCCCCCTACTTACCTGCCCGTACCCTCCGTTCCTCTGGCTCCGGTCTGCTCCACGTCCCCCTCCCTAACCACCTTATCTTCGGTGGCTGGGCTTTCAGCCTCTCAGCCCCGAGGCTCTGGAACTCCATCCCCCAGTGCCTTCGCCTTGCTTCCTCCCTTTCCTCCTTCAGGGCCGATCTCAAGACCTTTCTCTTTGACCGTGCCTTCAGCTCCCCTCTCGACTCTCTACCCCTCCTCGCTCCCTCCCTTCCCTCCCCTCACCCTGATCAGTTCCCCCCTGCTCGGGTCCCGACCCAACTGTCCAGCGCCTTGGAACGTCCTCCCGACGTGAAAGGCGCTTTATAAATGCAATCTTGTTGTTGTTGTTGTTGTTGTTGTAGAATCAGGGTCAAGCCCAATCCTGTGCTCTTCATGCACACATATTTTTCAGCAGAGCGCAATGAGGGGAGAACCCTGCTTAACATTTCTGGCTGAGGGGTGCACAGCCCAACTATAATGCCTCTCTTGCTATCCAGTTAACTCAACACACATGTCCTTCAGCCCACCTAATCTCATTCTTCCAGAACACGCACCCTACCATCCTCCTATCACACTCACTCTACCATTCTCCTATCAAGCTATTTATTACCAAGCAAGAGACAAAATGTCTACCTCCCTCAGCTTAAAAATGCAATTCCCTTTGACTTGAAGGTCACAAATAGGACTGAGGTTCAGCCCCTCAGATTCCCAGAAGGAAACATTGTCAGAGCTGTGATGAATATCTGCTGACAACATTGGATAAAATATCAATAAACACTTTTCTGACGTGAAACTTTCTCTTTGTCTTTGGGGGGCTGGGGTTCGATTTATTTAGGCATCTGCAAACCTGGGCCCGACGGCCCCTACGGACCTCCTGGACGGAAAGGTTGTAAGGCAGATAAGGGTGACCCAGGGCTAGGTGCTGAAGGTCCTCCTGGGTATCCAGGCTTCCCAGGACTTCGTGGCCCTCCTGGTCCTTGTGGACCTGAAGGTACAATGTTTCTCTCCGTTTAGCTTCGCTGTGTTTGCCATGCGCAGTGCGACATCTGCTCAATAGAATATAACAGTGCCAATAGGAGGGCAGTGACTGTTACTTTACCCATTGTAGCTACATGTGGTCTCAGAAGGGATGTTGGATGCCCTTTATAATTTTCTTCAGCAGCCCCTTAAAGTCACTTGAACAATGCATGTTGAACAAAATTGTTCTCTATGGAAACATCAATCAATTATTTATTGATGAGTACTTGGAACACAAAAGCCCCATGTGGTGCATTCTGAGGGAGGGAGGGGACAGCAGAGAGATCAACCTTACTTCCCGGGGACAACTCCTGGCAGCCTGTCACAAGGCAACATTGAAGCCTTGGAGCAGCTCAGCTATCTTCTCTCTGAGCCAGAGACGTGGAGGATGGAGGAAGAGAATAAAAGTGGAGGGTGGACATCACAGTGAAGTCCAATCCTGTCCTCTCCAAACTCACATGTTTTTCTTTAGCTTGCTGCTTATGCAGTGTCAATGAAATATTCTAAATGATCTTTTGCAGGTGATATTATGCGTATTCCTGCTGAGCCAGGACCTGTAGGCCCACATGGAAAAATTGGTTTCATTGGCCCTCCGGGTGAAGATGGTTGCAAGGGTAAGCTGGGGCATGCTTGTGGTTTGCTGTGGCCTCTGTGCTGATCGCAGAAAGGAATAATGGCATTGGAGAATGGAACATGATGCTACCTTTTTTATTCCAGACAGAGTAGTACAATAACTAACCCTAATTTCTCTGTGCTTGTTTGTAACAGTACATATTCAAATGTCAAAAGCATCCTTTCTGGGTTGCTAATAAAGCAAGTATATTCCCCACTTTATCTTAAATAAACTCTTCCCTTCACAAGTTGCAGATCATCCGAAACTCTGCAGCTCATGTACTCTCGCGCACCAGGCTCCATGACTCCATCTCTCCCACCCTCGCCCGACTCCACTGGCTCCCCATCCCTCAGAGGATTGAATTCAAGATCCTTGTCCTCACTTTCAAGGCCATTCATGGCCTTGCTCCCTCCTACCTCTCTGACCTGCTGACTCCCTACCAACCTGCCCACTCCCTCCGTTCAGGGGCTCTGGCCTGCTCCATGTCTCCCGCCCGACCCGCCCTACCATCGGTGGCCAGGCTTTCAGCCTCTCTGGCCCCACACTCTGGAACTCCATCCCACAGTCCTTTCACCTCGCTTCCTCCCTTGCCTCCTTCAAGGCCGATCTCAAGATCCTCCTCTTCAATCATGCTTTCAGTCGCCCTCCCATCTCTCTGCCTTCCCTCACTCCTACCCCACCCCTCCCCCATGCTCAGGTCCTGACCCCTGACTGTCCAGCGCCTTGGGACGTCCTCCCAACATGAAAGACTCTCTATAAATGTAATTTTGTTGTTGTAGATAAGCTCAAGAAAAATGTAAGACTGTCAATTGACCTTCTCTATTCCACCTCTCTGGTTCTATGGCCTTGGTCATTGATGGCACCTGGATCCAAACTTCTGTGCCTTGTGACAGATCTTGTGCTCACATTGGTGCTGTGTCCAGAGGTGCAGGTTTTCCAGAGCACATGACTACCCTGTAAGCCAAACAATTAACATGCTGCAAGAGGACCTCAAAGATAGAATGACTTTCAGTGCAGAGATGTGGGAGTTCAGCCCTTTATCAGAACAACATTAAACAAGTCATCAAGGACAGATATTGATTAAAGCAGATCAAGAAGGTCATTGTGGCCATTCACAGCATCCACGAAGACAGGGGCCAGGAAGAGCACACTGGAGTTTATGGGACCACACAAACAGTTTTAGTGCCCACCCGAAACTGACGCTGTTGGGAGTCAGAGCAGCAAGGCACTACTCTCTACATCAAGACTAATTGAGGTTCCAGCATTGCAGGACTCATTCTGTTACAGGAGTCTCACTGAGGCATACTTTTGTTGGGACAGAGTAGATGCAGCTTTGCTTTTTTGTCTAATTCATATTGCAATTGATCTGGGATTGTTTGATGCCAACACTGAGTGAAAACTAGTTTGCAAGGCATGTCATTTCCCTTTTATTGTAATGACTACAGAAGTGGACAATGACGAAAAAAACAATTTAACATTTAAATTTAGCCACGCACTGTTATCTGGAGCATCATCTCCACCCTCGTGTGTTATTCATTTAGCTCTGGTTGTTGGATAAGATAGGCAGGACAGATGTATATTGATAGAGATTCCCATTGGCATATGATGGCATATGATTCAATATAAGCTTGGTTCCCATTTCATGGTTGTGTTGTTACAGGCGATAAAGGAGCCATATGTACATCGTGCGGTGGAATTTCAAACCCTGGTCCACATGGTCTGCCCGGGACGTTTGGCATACCTGGTAATTGTATAAAAAATTAATTGAATAGAAACCTAGCATGTTCATTTAAAAGCATCTTATTTGTGCCCTAGGTTGTCCTTTGATTTTTTTTACTGTGCTACTGATTTCTCCCTTGTTAATTTAAGTGTTCTGCCCCTCCTCTCCTGATGGAACTGACTTGTACTGATGTATTGTTTTGCTGACTTCAGCCCCCTTCCAGTACCACACCCAAAGTCATGTTTGATTTATTAAGGGTGGTCCAACTTGCTCAATAATTTCATGCAGCCGCAGCTTTATATGGGCAATCTCACGCCACAAGATGCACTTAAGCATTGAGACATCAGAAAAGCTTGAGAATCTCCATTTCTAACAAGAAATAATAAGGCTGAAAAAGCATATAGCTTCAGGAGCTGCATTGCCTATGACTGCTTTGATTCTGTTGCAGGCGGACCAGGATTAAAAGGTCACAAAGGGAATCTGGGACTTCAGGGAGACCGTGGGAATGCAGGGTTTCTGGTAAAATTCTTTTTCTTTTGCAACTTGTCGTTCGACTTTTGCCCCACCTTGCCTTTTGCAGTGACCTGGCCTTGTACCTTCATTATCAGAAGGGGTCGGAATATCTGTTCCCAGCACTCCATCAATGCCGCTTGGGAGATGAGAGAGGTATTGGGAAGGACTGTTCCTGATATGCACTCATTAATTTATTATTAATGAGGAATCAAATGAAATGCCTGTCAATGACAATTGGTTAAAGAACTAGAAGCACCAATGGTCTATTCCTGCCCGAAACAGTTCCAACCAATAGGAAAATAAAGCAAATTTATGCCAGATAATAGACTGTGGAGTAATTTAATGTCAGTCCCTTAAAGGAGCATCATCAGACTTTTTAAAATCTAGAAAGAAATGCAGAGTAATAATCCTAAGCATTTAGTACAGGACCTTTCACGTTCAAAGAGCATTACAGGATCTACTGTGTACTTTGTAGACAACTTGATTTATATTAAGAACCTCAAAAGATTACAAGTTCTGAACATAAACCATCAAATTTATGGCCTGGTGTTTATTACACACGCTTTTGTTACACCCACTTTTCTTGTGCCTCCACCCCTCCCCCCAGCTCTTTGTTACTTGTGGTCGTTGGCAGGTATGTTGCTTCCTGCCTTGCCATAGAATGGTGGGATTCAATGTGAAAGGTTCCTTGATTTTGCTCATTGTTAAATCTCTGTGGTCCTGTCTGAATTCTCCAGGGCCCTTCAGGCATTCCTGGTGGCGATGGATTTCCTGGACCAAAGGGTGAACCAGAGCCTGGAGGAGAGCCAGGTGAGAAGGGGATCAAAGGTCACGTAGGCTTTCAAGGGATGCCAGGAAAACCAGGAAGAGATGGAAACTGCGGTCAGCCTGGGCAGAAAGGATTCCGAGGACAGAAGGGTGACTTGGTCAGTATTTGACTCCTGTGATTGTATATCTCAGGGTGGTCCAACTGGCGGCCCGCGGGCCACATCCAGCCCAGGGGATGATTATATACAGCCTGTAAACCATTTCCAACTGCATTGTCCGACGAGTAACTACAGACAACATGAAGGCCCAGAGCCAATCGGAAGACTGGGACTGACCAATCAGGATACAATATTGCTTTTGTGACCTGCAGATGTTTCTCAAACCTGCCACGTGGCCCTCAGGAGCCAAAAGGCTGGACCACCCTAATACATCTGTTCCTTCTTTCATATTCACATAAATCCAGCAAAGATGGTACACTTTATGACTGACCGCAGAATAGTGTGTGACTGCTAATAACTCCAATATCATTCATATCTTTGTATTTATTGTTTTATTTCAACGCAAACTTTTTATTTGAACTTAATTCAAAACTGAATGATTTGATTTGGGCTTGCAGACACCATTTCCACCAAAGGGTGGTCGGGGTCCATTTGGCGTCCCCGGAAACCCTGGAACCTCAGGGTGTGTGGGAAATCCTGGACCATCGGGGAATGGATCTTCAGGACAGCCAGGACCTAAAGGCGATCTAGGAGTCAATGGGTTTCCAGGGCCACGTGGTTTCCAAGGTTGGTAGATATGGGGATCTCTAGTGATTCCTTAAACAAAGTTACATTTCAGATTGCTGACTCAAATCTTACCTCTGACATTGCTGATCCTTGTGGTGTACAGTCCAATTACATGGGTGTGGGCACCATGGGGAGAAATTGCAACTAGGTCCAGATTTACTTTGTTTATGTAACATTTCAGAATGTCTGGAGTTTGGCAAATTGTTGAATTTGTTCTTAATTTTGAAGCCGATTTTCTGAAAAGCGAAACTGCTTCAAAATTAAGGCTGTATAGTAATCTTCTAAATCACAGAACTCATAGTAACACATTATTGACAGGCAATGATCTAACTTGTGCTGATTGAATTTTTCTTGTTACTCATTCAGAATCAAACAAGCTTCGAAAAGAGATCCCTAGTTCTATGATGAGTTTCATCATCCAGCACTTGTTCATAACCCTCTGTTATTTTTACAAATGTCACTGCACCTGACAGTGGCTTCGCTCCGTCAATACTGCGACGTGGAGCAAAAAGCCCAATTTATACATCCTGCTCAAGACTGCATTGAATCAGGCCCATAAGAAAAATACATTGAAATCTCTCAGGAGATTGTTTTTTCTCCCTCATGTCCTGATATTACCTGCGCTCCAGGGGAGAGAGGAATCATCCGTGTTGCTCCAAGCCAGCCACTAGGAGGAGCTCCACAGCCATCCTATGATGACTCCCAATCCACTGCTTTGGTGTTGCATGTTTTGCTGATGAATCCATGCACTGTATGACTTAAATTCTATGAAATTGGCTCTCGTCTCTGCTGTAACAGAAGCAGGCATAGCTGCTCTGACTCATGACACTGAATTCACTGGCTGTTGCTCTCTGCTCTAGGTACCAAAGGAGAAGAGGGCAAGTACTTTTCAGTGCCAGGCTTACCAGGACCTTGGGGTAATCCAGGAGCCCGCGGATACCCTGGCAACAGAGGTAGGTTTAGATTCTCCGTGAGAGCAGAGCCAATGATAAGTGAAGATTACATTGACACAAGTGGACAAGCTCAAGATAAATGTTCTTTGGCTCTTGATTCTGTTGGAATTTATTTCTGGAACAATTTGATCCTAACCCTTGCATCCCAGCACCACAATCCTTCACTTTTTAAGTACACATATAATGCAGATGAGGCCTATCACAATCATGATCCATAAACTGCCTCTTCGAAGAACTCCCCCCCCCCCCACCCACCACCCCCACTCCGACTCTGTCTCGGGGTATATCCCTTTATAACCTCTTTATCTTTCATTACTGACCGCAAACCCTATAGAGAAATTTGCCAAGGTTGGTAATTAACAGACAATGGTGAATGGAATACACTTGCCGCCACTTGCACAAAAATTACGGACCTCCAAAGAATCGGTCCTTTTTTGATGGTTAAAATATCTTAAATTCTTCCTTGGAGACTATTGTTCATGACCATCTGCAGACTTGTCATTCCATCCTTATCACAAAATCACAAGACTGATTTGGATGAAGAAATTCCCTTGGCAAAAAATCTGATCTCATTCTTCCACCGAGATGCCTGGATCATAATAACAGTTAGTAACATCATTGACACCCACTCTATCATTCCCCCTGATCGCAGCATCAAACTGCTTTTTAAATAAGTCTATTGTCCTGGCCTAGACCACCGTTCCTGGCAACCAGTTCCTGTGGTTGATTAACTTCTGAGTAAAGAAAAACTTCCTGGTATCTGTTCTGAAATTACCCTTTACACCTCAAAACCTATGTCTTCTTGTTCTACTGTCTTGTTAAGTGGGAAAGTGCTGGATAATCCAGTTGCCACGATGGCCGACAGACTCCTGTCAAGCAATAAGAATGCTCCGTTCCAATGGGCCTGAAAACAATTTTCTGCCCGAAATAGCAAAATATAAGTACTGTACAGTATAATGTGGGGCGAGGACTGGGCTGTACTTTAGCAAATGCTTTCACATTGTCAATGATGCTACTAACTGCCATTTTGATCCATGTATCTCAGTGGACATATTTAAGAATACATTATCATAAAACACCCATGGGCCTCCAAACTCATTCTCCCTAGACTGTGCACAAGCTGCTCTGTATAATGAACTCCATGCCATCTCCTCTAGAGACTGAAAGAATGGTTTGGAGAACCTGATGAATAGGTTGTGCATAGACTGTGGATGGAATTGAATTTGTGGGACAATGCCTTTTTATGTTCTTAAATGAATTACAAAGGTGAGCTCCATTACTGACTGAATAAAGCTACCTCTGTGATGCTGAGGTGATTTAATGGTGGGGTGGGAGGTGGAATTGGGATTGAAGTGAGACACTTTCATATTGTAATTACAGGTAGACCCGGAGTTCCAGGTGTAAACATGCCACCAGGTTCTCAAGGCAAAAAAGGAGAACAAGGTATATCAGGTGTTGGGCTGCCAGGTCCTTCAGGACTCAAAGGTACAGAAAAAGTTTATCCAATAAAAGGGATCAAAAGGAGTTTGTCAGAAGAATATCCTTGTTAGAGTTTGGGGAATGCAATGACTTGATTATCCATTGGAGTATTCACCTTCAGTTTCTGTACACCATGGTCAAAAATGTGAAAATCTCTGTGATTGTCAATTTTCCATTGAGGTGGTTGCTTTGTTCACAAGTTGACAAGAATGAAGAGTGCTCTTCAGCTCATTGGATCTCATCCTTCCAGAATACCCATCCTCATGTCTTCCTAGTACGGCATTAAGCTGTTTCTTATATGAGTCGGGTGTCCTGGCTTCAGCCACTGTCGCAATATTAGTTGTGGTCACCATATCCACAGTTATCATGTTTCAACAACAGAATAATAATGGGCTTGAATTGGTGCGATTTCTTAATTATAAGATGAAACCGTAAAAGTGCTGTTTTCGTTAAGAATTTGTCTCATGATGAATTTTCTGACTTGACCTCCAGCACAACCTCAACTCTGCATTGTATTTAGGGCAGCAATTGTTTATTCTGAATCTTAAACAAGATATACCACGTTCCTAATTAGCACCCAGTAGCTTATTAAAGAGCTTCACACCACTGGGTTAATTTAGGCAGTGTATTATATCTGTACAGTTGAATGCAGCAATACCCCCACTCCACTCACACAAAAAATAAGGCTGAGTGACAGTTTAAGTTGTTTTGATATATTTGGATGAGGGTGAAATGTTGGGCAGGACGCTGAATACTCCCGGCTTGTCTTTGAGATAGTGCCATGGGATCTTTAATATGCTCTGAACTAACAGAGCAGGAGGGTGGAAATTTGATTTAAAACCTACTGCAAAGGGCAACACTACCAACAATGCAGCAGAGCTCACTCAGTACATTTGACCAAGTACTGTACTGTAATCCAAAGCCATGCTGTAATTGCTTGCGTATGCTTTGTGGTTTTGTAGGTAACACAGGATTTCCAGGAGAAGTGGGTTTTCCAGGGATTTCAGGAAGACCAGGAAAACCGGGAACACCAGGCCACCAGGGACCAACAGGCTCTCAGGTTGGTTTTGCTGGCAAGTCTTGTGAGCAGGTCCCAAGAGTTGGCTTCAATTCTCAAGGGCAAGCTTTGGAAGGCTCTGGTAAACTCTGAGTNAAAAATCATGACAAATGCAGCAATGCCCCCCCACAAACAATAATGCTGAATGATCATTTAGAGTGTTTGGTTGAGGGTAAATTATTGGGCAGGACATTGAATACTTCTTGTTTGTCTTTGATATAGTTCCGTCTTTTTCTTGTTTGTCTCCGTGCTTCTATATAGCATAAATCTTGTTTTCGCTCCGCCCCCCTACCTCCCAGGCTGTGGCATACACAAAGAATTTTTCTGCTTATGCTGATTCCAAATTTCTTTGTTCCACGCACCTCTGTTTACCTATCAGTAAGTAGGAATCTGGTTGTTAGTCAATTGGGAGATCCCTTTCCAGAGGTAATAATCCCTTCAAAAAATAAAAATGAATTTGCACACTCAAATGCATGACTGTTTGTGGGACACTGCTGTGGGCAATTGGTTGCCACATTTTGCCCACACAGTCAATCCACTTATATACAATATATTCTGTGAAGCTCGTTGAGATGACTCAATGACGTGATATATCAAATGCAAGGATTATTATTATTATTAATCTACTTTGGACTCCAAAAGTGGAAGGAGTGAAGGGCTTGAACCTATTACTATCTTATTTTATGTTATTCCTAGTGTGTTTAACGGTGCTGCTTTTTTCAGTGTATAAATTATTCACGTTTAGCACGTAAATCATGGGTATTGTCTTCAGGGCGACAAAAGCTGTGGACCACCTGGTAATCGCGGCCCACCAGGCCCACCGGGACGTGTCGGGTTACTGGGGCAGAAGGGGAATTTGGGGCCATCGGGTCCTCCCGGTGACCAAGGCTCCCCAGGCTACGATGGATCTAGAGGTTCTCAAGGTATTTTCTCACTCCCATTATCTTTGATCCTTCCCACTTACGTGCACAAAAATCTGGAGGTGATCCTCAATCAAAACCGCTACTATAAACAGAATGGATCTCTGGTATTTAGTGGAGATTGGATTTCAGGTTAGCAAATCTTGGTTTCCTACCTGCTGATTAATATTTCTGGGTGGAGCTGAGGGGTATCGAACTTACGTCTTCAAAAGTCAAGAGAATAAAAGCTCCTAGGGTGCTGGGGGGGGCTTGAATTTTGTGCTCAGCAAAGTGAGGGATGCTTGCGCTAGGGAATGGAACACTTCCCCAGCTCAGATTCCCTGTGTTCGGATCAAGCGGTACAGAGTAAACGCGTCCTCAGCCACGCCAAAGGACAGCATTCCCCCACTGCACCCATCTTCTTCATCTGTTACCTTTTCTACCAAATGGTGGAGTTTTGTGCCATGAACTGGATCAAGACTTTTCAAACTAATTTTAGCGGGATTAATACAGAAGGAAATATATATTTGTTTTAAATGGTGAATTAAATAAGAAGTTGGTTTGCGTTCTATATGACGTGAACCTTTGTCGTTTTCAACTGCACATGAACTGACAGATTGGACTGAGGGACGTGGAAACTCTGCACGTGATATCCTTTGCTAGATGAAACACCCATCTGGTCGGTTGTATTTGAGAAATCTTTAAAGAGTTCTGTTTTACAGGTGATCCAGGTCCTCAAGGATGTCAAGGGCCAACTGGTCAACGGGGACAGTTAGTAACAGGGATACCTGGTCCTCCAGGTGTTGAAGGTCCCTTCGGATTTCCTGGCCCACGAGGTATTGAGAGCTTAATAATAATGATAATAATATTAAAGATAATAATCATCATAATAATAATTTTCCCCAACAAAATACTGACAATCCACTTGATAGTATATGCTGTGAAGCACTTTAAGATGTCTCGATGACGTGATAAGACACTATATTAAATATAATAATCCTTAAATTTGGTAGAGTTCCTTTTCACGTCAGGGGGCATTCCAAAATGCTCAACAGGAACTAGTGTAAAGTGCTCTGAGTGCATTTTGTGGGCGAACGCAACAGCCAATTTGCACACAGCAATGTCCCACAAACAGCCACGGAGCGAATGATCAGTTTTATTTGGGGGGATTGTTGGCCAGGGCACCGGGAGAAAATCCCTTCCTTTTACCATTAGTTCCATGGGATGTGGAGTCCTGTAGCTCAGTGGTTATAGCACTCGCTTTGCAAGCGAGAGACCTGAGTTCAATTCCAGGCAGAGGGCGAAACCTTGGGCAAGTTTCCTTACTCCACACGCCTAATAATAATCCCTCCAAAACAATAATAAATTGGTGATTTTCAATCTACGACTGTTTGTGGGACATTGCTGTGCGCAATTGGCTGCCGCGTTCGCCCACAAATATACAGTCAATTCACTTTACAGTGTGTTCTGTGAAGCGCTTTGGGACGTCCTCCCGACCTGAAAAGATATATCAAATGCAAGGATTATTATTATTATTATTATTATCTTTAACACACACTTGGAACAGCAGACAGGACACCAGTTTGATGTCTCATCCAAAGGATAGCACCTCCAACAATACAGCAGACCCCCATCACTGCACTGGAGCTATGAGTTCCAAGTCTCGACGTGGAGGCTGAACCCACAGCCTTCTAACTCAGGGCGAGAGTGCCACGAACCGAGTCAGGCTGACACACAGAGCTTTTTCTTTTCATTGTTTTTTATCAAAGGGAGAAAATGTCAATTCTGGGCCCCAATTTGAAATAGTCTTGGTTGATGAAGTGTTCTCAGTGCAGGTCTAAATTATGAGCTGTGTAAAAGGATTTGGAAGAGCAGATCCTGGATGTGTCATGGCTGGCTGGCTCTCTGGACTGAAGCCGAGACACTGATTTCAGCTCCACCATCTGTGAAGTCAGCTTTGGAGCACAATCCCAGGAAGTTGGCTTATGTTTTGCAAGACCATGATTCCAATGTTAAAACAGTTTATTGTGACTAATTGTACAGGACCGCTAAGCATAGGACCTGCAGGAGATCCGGGAATACCAGGGCTGGATATTCCAGGCCCCCCTGGGACTCCCGGCTCACCTGGGCCACATGGCTGCCCAGGGCCATCTGGACCAAGAGGTTATACAGGACCACCGGGCCTGATCGGGTTACCAGGCATCGCAGGTAAGGATTCTCTGTATAACAGTCTTATTGGAAACATTACTTGATATAACGATGTAAATCTCATGGCACAGTCTGTCAGACCATCTCCTTCCTTTCCCAAAGCCAATCTCTCTCTCTGGTCAGAGATTATGGAAATTATAGAAATTATGGAAAGTTCATACGATCACAAAGGGGTGTAAAATGGGATTTCTTAATAAGGATTGTAATTGGGTGAACCAGATTCATGGGATCTCTGCTCTTGACAGAAGAAGAGCATTTGAGGGATGTGCTTCCAGTTATCAGTAAAAATCCCCATTTGTGATACTTCCTGAAGAAATTCCATTGGAATTTTGACTTTTTGACCTCCCAATATCTCTTCAGAGCCATAAAGACGTTTGGTTTGGAAAAGTTTCAACATAAGTTTGTTTTCTCATCATGTAAAGATTTTCTCTCGATCTTCAACCAGGTGAAAAAGGTGAGCCTGGTTTAATGGGAAAGCCCGGATGTGCAGGGTCACCAGGGTCCCCTGGAAATTCGGGCCCCAGAGGAGATAAAGGTAAGATAAAGAACACCAGTAAGAGAGACAAATGTGAATGAATCTCTTGGGGAGGAAGGAACTCTTGTTGAGTATAGATCTATCCAAGAAAAAGACATCACTGGGGAGAAGTACCTCTGGCCATAGGATATGCAATAATAATAGTCCTTGCATATGATATAGTGCATTAGATGTCAAAATGACACAAAGAACTTCACAGGATTTTCTGCAAAGTAATAATAATAATCTTGTATTTGATATAGCGCTTCATCATATCTTCGAGCCACCTCGAAGTGCTTCACATAATATACAGAACAACTAGGTTCCTACTTACTGCTAGGTAAACAGGTGTGTGGAGTAAGGAAACTCGCCCAGTGTTTCACCCTGCCGGAAATCGAACCCAGGTCTCTCGCTTGCGAGGCGAGTTTTTCTAAATACATGCAGTGAGTATTTGTCGGTATGGGGGAAGGTTAACATATCCACTGAGGTGTAATACTCTTTAAGGAGAGTTTGTCTATGACTTTGTCATAGATTAGAACTGTCCAGATGCCTTGAAACTCTTCTGGAGGTTCATCCATTCCAAAGTACCTGTTACAGTTAGTGCCGCTCAGCAGGAACTGGCCTGATCCTTGTCCCCCGCCCTGCCCGCAACACCAGTGGTCGGACCTTCCGTTTTTCTGCCCTCACCCTCTGGAACGCCATGCCCAAGTCCATCCCCACCCCCTCCCTTGCTTCCTTCAAACCCCGTTCCCGGATTCCTCTTTGACCGCTCCTTCGGTCATTTTCCCATTCCTACTCCTCTTGTCCTCCACCCTCTTGATTCCAACCCCTAGTTCAAGTGCAAACCCTTCAGTGCCCAGCACCTTGGGATGTCCTCCCAACCTGAAAGGCGCTGTATAAATTCAATTTGTTGTTGGTGGTGGTTATCTGTTAGGAATGTAGACCTGGCCAATACAGAGATAAACATATTGTAGTGTCTGTAGAAAAAGGGATATTTTGTTTACTGATCTTTTGGTGCAGGTTACAAGGGAATGCAAGGATCAAAGGGTGCGACAGGTCCCCAGGGATTTCTGGGTGTAAAGGGTGAAAAAGGAATGCAAGGACCCTTGAGAGATTGGACTGTGAAAGGTGAAACTGGAAATCCTGGAATTCCAGGTAATGTACGGCTTTTCCAAACCTGTTTCATTGAAATGTTGCAATTAATAAATAAAAAAGGAATAGATAGGTAAGGAATCTGTGTTATAGTCCATTTAAGCCTTTGCCTGGATTAATAATAATAATTAAGAATAATAATGATCCTTGCATTTGATATAGTGCCTTGTCATGTTGTTGAGATGATTCACAGAACATGAATTAACTGTGTAGCTTGTGGGCGAAACGAGAACATGAAGGAAATGCAATGGAGAGGACAACAAAATGAAATAAATGCAATGGGTATTGTTTATATTGATTTTCAGAAGCAGTTGGATAAGGTGCTGCACAAGAGATTAATGTCAAAATTCAATGGTATTAAACATAAAGCAGGATAGTGGGCAAAGTATTGGTTGAGGGACAGAGGTACAAGCCTGGGAACCAGGGGATTTTTCTCATATCGGTAGGTTGTATCTAGTGCTAGAGTGCTGCCAGCTGAGCCAAGCTGACATTCACGGTGTGGGGGGAAAGTACCGAGCAAGGGCCCACTTGACCAGAGAGAGCTGAGGGAACTCATGTGGCTCCTCGAGGCTCAGTCAAGAGCATCAATGGCAGAGATCTGAAAGTGATCGGGGAATATATCCATGGAGTGAAAGAGGAAGTGAGCAAAAAAAAAAGGCCATTGGTGTATCTGCAAGAGGAAGAGGTGATGAAAGCGGTTGCCTGTAATATTTGATAAAATTTGATCATCAGGACCTGAAGGAAAGCCAGGACAAAAAGGTGAGCCCGGTTCCCATGGTAACCCAGGAAGTTGCGGTCAAGAGGGAATACCAGGAGCAATAAGCCCACCAGGTACCCAGAACACGGAGATGGATATGAAATGATGTAGTTCTTTTCACTGCTAAATCACAATGGCATCGGGTCAGCCAATGGGCTAGATAAAATATACTTTCAGCCAGACCTGCATGTAACATGTCCAGACTATCCATTTGCTGCCTGGATCTGGCTGAGTGTAATAGGCACTGTAACAGACCTGATGTCAACAGAAGTCAAGGCTTCGTAGGTTTAAGCAGGAGCTGGTACTATTTACACAGACACATGCAACTTAGTGCACACAAGTGCAACTTAACATGCACAACTTTGCACACACCTAAAACTTTGCGCACGTGCACGATTTCACACTCAGGCGTGCGAAAAACTTTGCACATACTCACACAATTAACCTTCCATTTTATCAAAACAGGTTCCCCAGGTGATCCAGGTGTGATAGGGAATCCAGGAAATCCAGGATCTCCAGGAGATACTGGGGCTATTGGTCCAATGGGCATTCCAGGTAAGAGTATGTTTGGTGAACTGCAGGTATATTCCTAATACATTGGCTTGTAAAAAAGGAAAGAAAAATGTGCTGGACCTGCAGACGAATATTTTGGATTTGTGACAAAGTGGACCTTTAGGTGACTAATTGGGTTCATTGTGGAGTTCAATGTAATGTGTCAGGTTTATATGACTGTCAGGTCAGAAAGGAGACAAAGGGATCCTCGGAATACCAGGAACATTAGGTCCATCTGGCAATCCAGGTTCCTTGGGTTTAAAGGGAAATAAAGGAGAAGAATGTCCTGCAGGCTGTGGCAGTCCAGGGCTTCCTGGAGAAAAGGTAACTGCATTTTTAACTTTGAGTTATATTACTCAGTAAATTTAAACACAGTTGGCCAAAAATTCTGATTTTCCTAACGGCAACAACAACTTACAGGGTCAATCTGAAATCCTTCCTGATATGTATATGTGTAAATGTCGACATGGCATACAGTTTGAGTATCTCATATAGAAATATGAACAAGGACTTTTGATTCAGACCATGCCCTTGGTCACCTCCCCCCTCCCCCTGGCTCGGTGTCATGCTCAGCCACTGTCAAGCACTCTGGGACACTATCCTACGTGAGGGGCACTATATAAATGCAAATTATTGTTGTTGACTCTCCACCAGCCCAGCTGAGATTAGTGTGACTCATCAAAGTTTTCAATTGTAGTAACTTAATCATGCATGAGTAATATAATTTCAGACTCCAGTTTGTGTAGTTGAACAAAGCATTTGTCTACAAATATACAGACTACACTCTACACTTTACAGCAAAATCTTGTGAAGTGCTTTGAGCCATTTTGATGTCTCAATGAGGCACGATATCAAATACAAGGAATATCTATGTTTGTGTAACATGTCCAACTTCTATGGCAGCCAAGTAGAGTATTGGATGAACTGTCCAGTAATGTAGAAGGCATTTGTTAATAAATGAACAGAGGTGTAGTTTAAAAAAATTTTTTTTTACCAGCCTTCGCTGGTGTAAATAATTCCATAACTCAAGATAATCCATTGATATGTTTTAGGGTAATAAAGGCACATCATTCCCTGAAGGACCACCAGGACCTCCTGGGTCTCCGGGTAAAACAGGACTTCCAGGGTTTTCTGGGGACCGTGGTGAAAAAGGGGACCCCGGCCTACCGGGAGAATCAGGTAATTCTTTATTAACTACTTTGAGATGTTTGCTTGAGACAATCCATGACAAAGACACATATGACTCATTAGATGAGTGGTGGTCAACCCTTATGGTTGCACACTACCCACAGATACAGTTGTCTGATGCTTCACGATTACCACACACTCACATTTCCATGTTATTCCTGGATCCATCCATTTATTCACCTTTATTTCTCTGGTGCCGGGTTGCAGGTTTTCCAGGTCCTCAAGGTCCCAAAGGATTAGACGGACTACCAGGCTTGCGGGGATCTCCCGGAATTTCAGGCATTCCAGGTAAAGTTCCCTCTCACCATCAACTAAAATGTGTTCCATTATTTGAAAGATCCGGATTTTATGGTGAATTGTGTGTGAAAATTGGTCTCTTTCAGAGTCTGAATAAACCTAGTGAGTGCACGCAGCAAACTCCTAATCGATAGTTGCTTCCATCATCCAGACTTGAGAGTAAACATCTGCCTGAAAATTATTTTTTGCTTTTGTACAGGGTGACCCTGCTGTAAAGTGGTCTGGATCCATTATTGTGGACTCGCACCTTATCGAATCCTTTAATAATCTTAACAACTTCTATCAAGTTCTCTCTCATTCATCTTGTCTTCAGAGATAAAAGCTCAAACCTGTCTAACCACTCTTGATATTTAGTCCATACCCTTAAACTCGCCCTTCAGTAACATTACTCTGTATTTGCAAGTTGAGAAGCACGGCAAAAATGTGTACTGCAGGATTTTCTTTTGGAACTGTTACCTTTTAATTAATTTCATCTTAACATCCCAAAACCAATGTAGGAATAACAGGGCGCTGTGGCCCACCGGGACAGTCGGGTGAAATTGGCATACAAGGATATGATGGTATTCCAGGCCTACCAGGAATGAAGGGAAACCCAGGTGAGCAGTTCTGAAACATCAGACATAGCAACCCAACAAGGAATGACATTTAGTTGCTCCTTAAATCCCATTTCATTGATTCAGGAAAAAACTGAGAACCTTCAATACTTTAAATCAGTGGTTTAACCAAACAGAGCTGGACATTGCTTTAAGTGTCCTTTTACTCCAAATATATAGACAGTGCTGGGGTGTCAATTAAAGGTTGAAAATGGTTAAGTTGTTGAAACTAACACTCACTGGCTCTCATGACAGGCTGCGCTGGAGAAGGACCACAAGGAAATCCAGGCACGCCTGGCCCAGCAGGTCAGATATAATACATTTCACAATTGCACTTATACTGAAGTAATTAAATTTGCATAACATATTAACAAAGATGAATATTATTAATCATTCAAATTGTACAGGGTCTAAAGGTGACATGGGACCTTGTGCAGCTGGCGGTGACCAGGGTCCTCTTGGTGAAGTAGGTGACCCGGGCCCTTCTGGACTTCGGGGACCCTGTGGGCCACCTGGGGCTCGCGGTCCTGCTGGGAAGAACATCCAGGGACCCAAAGGAAATCAAGGGCCTTCAGGCTCCTGTGGACCTGCAGGTACAATGTGAAGAGGTGTAAGAGAAACCTGCTTATGATACCAGCAATAGTGTTTTTAATGCAGTTTGTCAAATGATAAGTAAATTACCAAAAGATTAAATGAGAACGGCATTTAACGTCATCATAGTTGATTGCATTATACAGCTTGTGATAATACCAGATTGTATATTTTGGGAGGTCAGCTGGGTGTCTGACAACACGTGGAAACCCATCAAAGTGATTAAGAGTATCCAGTTCAGACTGAGAGTCACATATTTGTACGCATGGAAATCTCCCTGTATCTAGAGTGGAATGTGCACTCGCTCCACAGGGGGAGACACTACTTGCTTAAGACTGGAGAGTGTTAGGCACAGGTTGGCAAGAACCAAGACTTGGGGAACCCAGGGTGTGAGTTGGGAGGCAGCTGGAGTTTAACCAGCTAAAACTGCATAGCTTGTGTCAGGTTGTATCAAAGATCCTTGAATGAACTTAAACTTGATTTGCTGCCATGGCTCTGAGGGCATGCTCATCAGTGCTGGTGATTATACTCCACATGAGCCTCAAATTCTCCAAATCCTCTCTCCCATAACTCTATTTCCTTCTCCATCATGTATGCATTTAGCTTCCTTTTAAATACGTTGATGCTTTCTGCTTCAACCATAGCTTCCAGCAGTGTGTTCCAACTTCTCACTACCCTTGGTGTGAAGAAGTTCCTCGTAAACTCCCTTTTAGATCTGGCTATCTTATATTTGTGCCCCCTTGTATTGAACTCGCCAAGATGTGGAAACTATCTATTGATGTCCACCTTATCAAATCCTTTAGTAATTTGAACCACTTCTATCAAGTCCTCTCTCATTCATCTTGTCTTCAGAGATGAAAGCTCAAACCTGTCTAACCCTTCTTGATATTTAATCCATACCCTTAAATTCTCCCTCCTCTCCTCTCCGCTGTGTTTTCCTGTCGTTTCCATGAAATGGTCAATACATTCATCCTATATGAAAGGCACTAAATAAGTGCAAGTTCTTGTTCAAAATGATGGGCCAACCAATGGATGTCACAATAGTTTTAAACAAAGCGAAAGATGCATCTGTGAAGTTTCTCAATGAAGACGTTGATCTGTGTCTCTCTTTAGGTGTTCGTGGACCAAAAGGATACCCTGGGCTCCAAGGACCAGTTTGCTTGGAAGGTGATAAAGGCTCACCTGGCACTCCAGGACATTCGGGCCAGCCAGGTGCCAAAGGAGATCCAGGTGTACCAGGAGTACCAGTAAGGAACCAATTTATGAAGTGATGACCAATATTGTTTTTAAAAAAACAGGAAACCATTTAAAAATCCATTTTTGGGAGTCTTAAGGTTGAGGTTAGAAAAACATGACTGGTTGACTTTGCAGCACTTGTGGAGTCCTGTAGCTTAGTGATTGGAGCACTTAACTCGCAAGTGAAAGGACCTGGGTTCGATTCTCGGGCAGGATGAAACGTTGAGTAAGTTTCCTTACTCCACAAGCCTCTGTGCACTTAGCAGTAAGTCAGAGCCTATTTATTAGTCGATTGACCAGTTGCTTTTCCGGTGGTAATAATCTCTTCAAAACTTATATATATAATAATAATTTGATCACTCAATCCATGACTGTTTGTGGGACACTGCTGTGTGCACATGGCTGCCGCCTTTCACCCACAAAATACATAGTTAATTAACTTTACACTATATTCTGTGAAGCGATTTGAGATGCCACGAAGACGTGATAAGGCGTGATTATTTGATATAAGATATATCAAATGCAAGCATGATTATTATTATATAAATGAGTTTGTGCAGTGTTTAACCCAGTCCCAAGTGACCATGTAGCCAAAGAATTCACAGCAGGAGACCCCAACTGCCCCTAATTCAGCACTGCTGGGCATTATTTGAGTCACCTACTCAAAAAAGTTTCCAGTTTGGCTGGTTTGTGGAGAGGGAAAGGTCACTCCCATGTAGTCAGTGCTGAGGTTGAGTAAAAGCACTACTATTTGGCAGGAGAGAAGTACAGGGAGCTTTAATCTTCAAACACACATATAGATGGAAAGGAGTTTGCATCAGGCAGACAACAACAGTTAAAAGCATAAACACTTGTATTATGTTGATCTGCAGATAGCAATATAGTGATTAACTTACAGATGCTTTAATTCTCTCCCGTGTCCACTCTGTTCCTCATACAAAAAGTGTGAGCATTGAATCACTCCATACTTCTCTTCTTTCAAATCTATAGGGAAATCCTGGCAGCCCGGGTTGTCATGGATCCAAAGGTGATCAAGGTTCACCAGGTGTTCCTGGATTCCTAGGTAAAGCACAGTTAAATCTCTTAATGAATGGACAAGAATTATTCGGTTGCTGATGGATCCTAATCTTGGTAACTCTTCCATTGCAGGTATGAAAGGTAGCAAAGGACCTCTGGGAAGGAAAGGAGATAGAGGACGCCAGGGGACATGTGGACCTCCAGGTAGCATTGCGGATTAACAAGAACTATGAAAACAGATGTAATCTGATAAAGGGCCTGGATTGTGAACTGAACTATCTTGAAACATACATTTGAGTTTCTGAGAATCATTAATATTGGAGACTCCTGGTATCCAAGATATTAGCATTACAGTTTACTAGCAAGAAACTGGTATGTTTCAGGGAACTTATCCAACTGGGACCTCCCCAGCTTTCAGGGCTTTGGCTCACAGAGTGATCACATGTCTACACTTCCAAGCCTTATTGTTGATTTAGACAAGCTGGTAAACATAATAACTGATCTGCCTGGCTTTGTGTCTTTAGAAAACAATTGAACCCTAGAGAAGACACAGTTTATCTCCCCTAGTTGTCCCGAAGTTCCCTTTCAACAGATGATGTAATTTGCACACTAGTTCAATATTGCCATAATTTGCAAATGCCTTTAATTGCTGATCACTGTTTCTTCCCTCAGGTCCCCCAGGGCCACCATCCTGCCCACCGATTGCAGCTGAAAAGGGTGATTTGGGATTACCGGGCCTTTTGGGAGTTAAAGGAGAAAGAGGATTCCCTGGACCTCGTGGCCCCCCTGGATGTATAGGTGTGTTTAAACTGTGACAATAGTACCATATCAATGAAGTACATCTTCTTTATAACGGCCATGAAAGTGTATTGTGATTCTTGTGCATGAGTGTGGACTATGTGAGACTCAACCACTGATCAGCCTTTGTTTTGGCCAACCTTTGAGTAAAGGAAGGAAGGAAGCACTTGGCAATTTTGTATAGCACTTATCATGTCGAAATGTCTGAGTGCTGTACAATAGTTACTGTGAAATATTATTAAGATACATAAAACAGAAGTTGCATTGTGTGTGTCATGCACAATTTGAAATGAAGGTTTCTTGAAAACATGCAGTTGATTATCTGAGCTTTTTGTCTTTATACACAGGGCAACCTGGGTCTCCTGGACCACCTGGTGATGATGGATATCTGGGAAACTCAAACCAAAATGGAAATAAAGGTTCCCGGGGACCCTCTGGACCTCCAGGTAAGAGATTGAACTGAGCCATAATGAAGCTAAAATAAGAAATTCATCCACTGCACAACTCCAACACCGTTGTATGGTGCTTGATTAATTTCAACTGGGGAGTTGGGTGCTGGGCACTTGGGTGTTGTCCTCAGTGCCCCTGAGCTCGGGAGAGAAACAAGGTTTTTGTTTTGAGTCACTGGTCAATGAGTGTTACTGGAAACTGCATCAGGTGTGGACATTGGAAGAATGATATCCTGCTGCTGGTATTACCCTTTATGACCCACAATGTCAAAGACCAAATTCATAGATTCATAGAATGTTACGGCACAGAAGGAGGCCATTTGGCCCATCGAGTCTGTGCCGGCTCTTTGACAGAGCAAGTTACTTTCACTAACCCCAATCACCAGCTTTCTCCCCATAACCCTGCAAACCCGTCTTCCCCAGATACCTATCCAGTTCTCTCTTAAAAGCTGTTATCGAATCGGACTTCACTACCCTTTCAGGCAGATCATTCCAAATTCGAACAAATCCTGTTCATACTTGCGGACAGGATCGGACTATGATTCCCCTCCTCCCGGTTCAACAATCTTCTAACTCACAGTGTTTAGCTTTGCACATAAAGAATGGCCCTTTGAGCAAGTTACTGCTGGTGTCCTTAGTCCTCACTGTGATAGAACCCAGGATCATCCAGTATTCCCAGCATCCTCACTTCTTCCTCTCATACACTCCAATGCTCGGGGCATCGAGTGGAGACAAAGTATGTTTGTCACATAAAGAGAGGGAAGATGTCAATGGGAGAGAACACCCCAATCTTGATGTTGTGCTCCCTGCCATTTCTGCTTTGGCAGGTTATACCACAACATTGGCAAAAACCTGCCTGGAAACCCATAGAACCATAATAATTTACGACATAGTAGAAAGCCATTTGACCCATTGTATTGGTGCTCAATCAATGAAGCCATCTATCCTAATGCCAATTCCCTGCTTTTTCCAGTGCATGGTGTAAAATAGAGATCCCAATAAAAACTGTTTAAAAAAGAACCAAATAATTATGATCGAACATGAATACATTTCTTTCAAAATTAGGACCAAAGGGATATCGAGGACCTCCAGGAAAGATGGGACCCCCAGGACATAATGGGAGAGCAAGCACAGACAACCAAGGTTTTATCTTCACACGGCACAGTCAGACTGTAGAAATCCCTACATGCCCAAAAGGCACTACCAAGCTCTACACCGGCTACTCACTCCTGTTTGTGCAGGGCAACAGACGAGCACATGGACAAGACTTGGGTAATTTACTCTAAACCCTAAACCAAGTACCTTCCATTTAAAAGCCTCTAAAATATGATAATAAACAGTTGTTCTGCCAAAGCACCTCAAGGAAACCAATAGCTAATATTAATGCTTCTGAGAAACAAAATGTCATGCCTCCACACTTTGAATGGTAAAGGCACTGCCAGTGAGTCATAGGTTTGAATCCAGATCTGTCCTTAGGTAGCAGATGGAACCCAGCAGGGATGGCAATCAGAATGCAACTATTAACCTCAGCGTCCAGCTTTAGGGAGGTAACAAGTCATCCAGGAGTCTCATTGAAGTGGTCACTGCTGAACATCAGTTTTACATTTGGGGACATAAGTTAAGGACAGGATGGGGGCTTAGCTGTCACCCTCCCCAGAACTCAATGCCTGGGCTCAGACATGAAGAAAGACCACTTGGGTAACGTACTTAAGTGTTTACCTCAACATCAAGACCTTCAAGAGAGAATGGGACAATGCTTTTCTTTGTGTCTGTGTGTGGTGATTGGGGGGTGGTGGGGAGAACATATAAGACCTGCTGTTTGTGTTGCAGTGAAGCAATATAAAACAGGCCCAGTAAAAATATTTCCATTTCATGACCTGTCCTTTTTTTTTCTCTCTCTCTCATTAACCTTGAGAGAAGAAACATTTATCTTTGACCTTGCTGTGGATTTGGAGTTGCACTCGCAGTGTGACTGACAGCAGCACTGGTGTTTCATTTATCACCCACAAAAGATGCCACCTTTCTATTTTGGCATCGAAATGAAACATCATCCCATTTGGAGCCAACAAATGGCACAGAGCATTTAGCATCCAAGATCAGTATTTTAGTGGCACATCACACAGATTAGCGTGATCACCTTGTATCTTAGTTGTCTAACTTTCCCACTTATGTTGCTATGATTTTCAGGGACCTCGGGCAGCTGCTTGACACGATTCAACACAATGCCATTCTTATTCTGTAATGTTAATGATATCTGTAACTATGCATCGAGAAACGACTATTCATACTGGCTGTCAACTCCACAACAAATGCCTCAAGATATAGCTCCTGTCAGTGGACACGAGGTCAAGCCATTCATAAGCAGGTAGTTTGTTCAACTGTTGGTGTGTGAAGACCCTGCTCGGCGGTGGGGCAGAGGGCAATTAGGCATATTACAGAAAATCATTTTACCAATAAATCTCACGTTGTGTTAACATAGATATGTTGTTGAGACAGAATCCCTAAACAATTTTAATAAGGAACTAGTTTGAAAAAGAGGAAAATTAAAATCTATGGAGTGGTGAGCAGGAGAGTGGAATTTAAATTAGGCAGCTCATAACCGCATGCCGAGTTTGCAACACTGCTTAATGGGCCAAATATTCTGCCTAATACTGAGCGCCTGACATCAGAACATGCTTCAATTTCCAAATTCTAACACCCATCTCCCCTGAAGAGTACACAATTGTTAGGGCTTTATTTAGATTGAGTAAAAGACTATTTTTTGCTTTCAGTAATGTATTTAAAAATTCCATCTTGCATGTGCTGAGCCTTTAGCCAATGTCCAGGTTGCTACTAACGCATAGTGCCCTCCCACCCTGCAGATGTATTGTGTGTGAAAGTCCAGTGATGCTCCTAGCTGTGCACAGCCAGACTGTTCAGATCCCCCCGTGCCCCAGGGGCTGGAAGTCCTTGTGGATTGGCTATTCTTTCGTAATGGTATGTACATGGTGGACATTATTGCCTTAGGGATGTGTATTGCAGAAAGCACAGTAGTGTCCAGAAAGGTCTAATTAATCGCATTTGCTACTCGGTGACTGTAGGACTGAAAGGTGCTGCTGCTGGTCACTGTAGCATATCATTAAGATATTTGCAAAGAGAGTATCCTTAGTGATCACTATGAGGTTAATTGAAAGCATTTGGGTGTATTTAGGATTAAAAAACGTGCTTTACAAGTTGTCACTGTAATTTGTTGTTGTCTTAGACCTTTTTACGGTCAATTTTTCAGTGGATATGAAATCCCTTTACTTTTTTCGTCCACTGACCAATGGCAGTCCCTTCAATGTCCCACATTGCTAGTTTCCTTTGCTTTATATAATTCTCAAAGCCTCTTTCACTGATACACATTCACATGATTTTCTTTTCTCTTGACCCTCAGCATAGAAGTGCAGGAGCAGAGGGTTCCGGCCAAGCCCTATCTTCCCCTGGCTCCTGTCTAGAAGAATTCTCTGCTGCTCCTTTCATCGAATGCAGTGGGAGGGGAACCTGCAGCTATTACAAAAATAGTTACAGCTTTTGGCTGGCCACGTTGGATAGCTCACAAATGTTCAGGTAAAACTGCATCTTACAGGTGGGCGGTCAGTGAATTTAGAGCACGAGGAAACATCCATCACATGTGTAGTGTACGTCACAAGAGCGCCCTTTGACTCATTCGATCTCAGTCTTCCAGAATACCCACCTACTGTCTTCCCATCTCAGCATCGAGCTATTTTTTAAATGAGTCCAGTGTTCTGGCTTCAATCATCCTTCCTGGCAACCCATTTTATCCATTAACTACCCTCTGGGTAAAGAAAAATGTCCTGGTGTTTGTCCTGAAATTGCCCTTTGCAACTCGAAACTCGTGTCCTCTTGTTCTGCCGTCTTGGTGCATTCCTATTGATCTGGGTTTACTTTTTCAATCCCGTTGAACATGTTATAGACCTCTGCATAGGAACTGTACTAAATGGAAAACAGGGTTTAAGAACTCTTTCCTTATGTTGTAGGAAACCCAAGCCACAAACGCTAAAAGCAGGAGAATTGCAGTCAGTTATCAGCCGCTGTCAAGTCTGTAAAAAGTAAAGGTGGACTCGCCACCTGGGAAGCTGGACCAGATGAGAATACAATGTTGCTGTTTCTAATGATGTACTGAAATATGTCAGAGCAGCAATGAAGACGAGCAGAACGTGACTGACTGGACCGGTATTGTTGGTGCTTTGATGATAACTATCGTTTTGCACAATGATTTATGAGGACGGATCACTTGGCACATTGGTGCTGTTTTCAACGGTGCATGTTCTTCCAAGCTCTGCATAGTCTCTGCCGCACTCTCCTTTTATTTAAAGAGACCTTGCAATGCGGACGCACTGTGTTGTGTCAGATCAACCTGCACCTTTTAAATAGGAGGCAGCCCTCCATTCACCTCTGGATCACAGGAAAAGAATCTACTGTATCAGAGTTTGATGAAGAGTCATACACACAGTAATTTCCAAATGTCTGAAGATGGCATTGATGAATGCAGGAGGTCAGCCCTAAGCCTAGTGTACATTGCAAAGACATGTTTATTTAATAACACATACCTCACTCAGATAACTGATTATGACCTGCAAACTGTGGTTGGAAACATTAAATGCAGAAAGCATTTCATACATAGGTTTTCATGGTATTTCAGGGTATTGTTAATGTTTCTTTTATGTACAGCTATCTATGCACTGTATGTGCTCCTGGGAACCTGTATAGGTACTCTGTGTCATACTGAGCATAAGAGACATTGAGAGTGCTGGAAATGACATTATATCAGTTTTGTCTTTAACCCTCCAAATTTTATTCAAACTCTCTCTAACTTTTAGCTATTTACAGGGGTTTGAGAGACACTTGTGAGAGCATAGAGCACCAAACAAGAAAAGGCCATTTGGCACATTCAGCCTATTTTCTCAACGTACCACCCAAACCTTCCCAGTCATGAATATCACCTTAATTATAATAATAATAGGAGAAATGCTGCACAAATTAACCTGAACCCTGGTTAATTGGGTAAAACCTCCAAAATATTCAGCATTCACACTTTTCCACTGTTTAGCATTGGCCTAATTCCCTTCACAATCAGTTAACTCTCCCGCTCACCATACCAGTATATTTATTCACCTCTCCTTGTATTCCGAGTTGAGGAACAGATCATCCACGATCTAAAAGAATGGAGGAACAGTTCTGAGGGGCTAAATGGCCTACTCCTGTTCCTCTGCTTTAATGTTCCTATGTTTCTTACTTCAAGTTTAAAAGAGATTTCTTTGTGTTGCTTTTATTTGCACAATAAAAAGTCTCTTATGAATAGCAAACCACAGAAAAATACAGATATATTCTAAGATATGGTTTGCAAAGCACTATTTGTTGAATTAAATCCAACTTGATATTGACTTGAGCAGGCATTATCAACTGAGCAACTGAGACTAATTTTTTTTACATACACTCTAACACATAATTATGGCTATTCTGATATTGAATCAATCATTAATAATAACACTTGGTTTGGGTATATTTGATGAACACATCACTCTTAAATATCTTCTATATGCCTACACTTCTGCTTGGGTCTAGGGAACCTCTTATCATATGGGATATGGGGCAAGGGCAGGTAATTGGACTCGAAGCACAGATCAGCCATGATCTTGTAGAATGACGGAACAGGCTCGAGGGGTTGAATGACCAACTCCTGTTTCTATGTTTCTATCATTAATAAGCACTTCCACTGTAAGTCTGTTATTCACACTATATACATTAGCTACTTTTTATAAGGTAACTTGAGTTTTATGTCTTAGAAATGGTTAAATGTATAAATATATAAAACTATATATGCTCAATATTAAACAAATGCCATTGTCTTTTTAGCAGATTTTTTTTACAAATAATTTTACTGGAAATATTATGGGTAATAGTGTGACAATAAAGAGCACATACTATCATTTGTTTTGGGTATACCTGGATCAAGATCGTTCAACGTCCCTTTTATGTCATTCGGGCAGGTGCGCTCTGAACGTTTTAGCTCTCTTAAAATGTGCCAGGGTCACAGAAAGAGCCTGAGCTGCCGTGTATTCCTTTTTATCCTTAAATTGAACTTGATCTCCCCACAGTAGTCAGTGCGAGGTGCTATGCCTTATCATCTGGGATGCGACGGAAGTTTTATATTTCAAACGTTTACTTATTTGAAAGAGAGAAATGGGGTGGGTACAGCAAACACGAGCGCACAAACTGGCTTTTTTCTGAAACCTTGGACATCACTTTGGAAAAACTGCTCAATGAGCATGTGCCATTTTCTTAGAGATCTCCCAAGGGGTGAGATTATGTAAGTGGACAGGGACAATTGTGGTACCTAGCTATTTAATACTGTAGTGAGAAATTGGTAGGAGTTTTCACAGCTGCAGACTTGTAACAAATCCATATCATTGTCATTAATCAGTTTGTACAGTATTTGCCACCTTTGGCAAGCCCGTTCGATACACCTGGCTTTTTCATCTACAAGATACACAATCACGACATTAAGTCATTAGTTACTGTTAAGTATTTTGAGACGATGTGATACACAAACAAACAACTCCTATCAGTGAAATAAAACTTTTGTTTGATAAAGAGTCTTATTACGGTTAAAAAGTCTGAAAAAGCCCTTCAAACGCCAGTCGCTTGAGACCATTATGGTCCATGAACGCGCAGAACGAAATGTAGGCCAACGATCTGCGAAAACACCAGTGAGATGAACGGATTAAACTGAGGTTTTAGTTCATTCCAGGAAATATTGTCCGGGTCAGCGAAAGAACAACTATAAAAATAATACGACGTGTGCATGTGGGGGGGGGAGAAGGGCGGTCAACCTGAACTGGTTACTGTGCGGATTGGCTGTTGCATCTCACCCACAAAATGCACAAGTCAATGCGGAGTCAATTCGGAGTCCTGTAGCTCAGTGGTTAGAGCACTCGCTTTGCAAGTGAGAGACCTGAGTTCAATTCCAGGCAGAGGGCGAAACCTTGGGCAAGTTTCCTTACTCCACACAGAGCCTAATAATAATCCCTCCAAAACAAAAAACAATAATAAATTGGTCATTTTCAATCTACGACTGTTTGTGGGACATTGCTGTGCGCAATCGGCTGCCGCGTTCGCCCACAAATTTACAGTCAATTCACTTTACAGTGTGTTCTGTGAAGCGCTTTGGGACGTCCTCCTGACGTGAAAGGCGCTATATCAAATACAAGGATTATTATTATATTATTATAATGCACTTCACAGTGTAGTCCAGTGAAGCGCCTTGAGACGTCTCGCCGAACACGATAAGGCGCTCTACCAAATGCAAGGAATAATAATAACAATAATAATAACAACATGTAATGTTATCGTTATTCTCAGTGAAGCCCACACCAGGTTCGCTTCAGTGTCACAACGTGACCTTCTCTGCGCACTGTGCCCCCTGTGCAGCTGCTGCGCACGCGCAGTCTGCCACCCTGGCCGCATGCCCTCGCGCACCTGCGCAGTTGCGGCCCTGGCGCGCGGGGAGGGGGGGGTGTGGCCCGGTTCGCGCCTGCGCGGTGGGAGCCAGTTGGGCCGAGCGCGCAGGGCTGCCGGGAGCGTCGGCGCGCGGTCTCCGGTCCGGTTCGGTCTCTCCGCTGTAGGGCTCTCCGGGCTGACATGCCCCCCGCGCGGCCAGGAGGCGCCCAGCTCCCAGGTCGGAGCTTGTGAGGCCCCGGGAAGCTTCCCCGACAGCCAGCGAGCCTACACCGACTCGAGGCCTATTCTTGGATCCAATCCCCGGCTTCTCCTACTTGCTGCGGTCCGCCACAGGCCTCCCGCGGCGGGTAACTTAACTACCTGTCGTTGTGTGTGTGTGTGTGTGGGGGGGGGCGGGTGGTTGTGGAGGGTTCATGTCCCAGTCACTGCAGCAGCAATGTCAATGATTGCATGACATGGCTTTAATCCCCACACACTCTGTTGAGATGGCAAACCAACCTGAAGGCTGACCAGCTCCACCACCAGCTGCAAGTCCACTGCCCAGGCCTGGGTAGGGCAGGAGCTTTTCACCTCTGGGATAAAAGGGAAGTGTCGATGCAGGAAGCTGCCAATAATAATAATAATAATAATCCTTGCATTTGATACAGTGCCTTATCATGACGTTGAGACGCCTTAAAGCGCTTCACAGGATATACTGTAAAGCGATTGACTGGTTTTGTAGGTGAAATGAATGTAAACAGATGGTTAATGACTGAGGAAGGTGTTCAGGCTCAAAAAACATTTGTTGCGTATCTACAAAATCTTCCGCTTTCACCTCTTGGGACCTGAGTTTGACTGCAGTCCAAAATGTCTCCTGTGTCTGACACTTCAAGGGTAATGTAGGCAAAGAGTTTAGTGCAGTTGTAATTCCTGTACTTGGTGGATGTAGATTCACAGTCATACAAACATGCCCTCAAAGAATTTTAGCAGCGAGGAGAAGGTTCAGAAAAGCACTAACCTTAGTAATAAAATTGAGATGTTAAAGAAGTTGGAGATGAGCTGTGGAAATCATGAATAAATAGAAATTTAAAACAATAACAACTTACTTTCACATTGGGAGGATGTCCCAAAACGCTGAAATTCAGACAAAGGTCCTGATTCTGTAGCTGGTGATTCTATTCCATGCTGTTTGCTGCCCATGTTTCATTGCTGGCAGTCATATCCTTTCTCTTCATGCACGTACATTTATAAATTTCTCCATTACCTGATGTTGATTTATAACTTAATGGTTGTTTTACTGCTTCAGATTGGATATAGAAAATCGGGATTTGTTTTACTTTGTGTAAAGTGTTCCAAAGCTTAAATGAATTACTGAAATAGAAGATTGAATTTTTTTTAATGAGTGTTAGATCATGTGCTAGAATCACATGTCCATCATGTGCTCTTCACCGAACCATCCTCTGTTGGGCACGTTTGCAGTAAAACGGAAATTCCTTGCATTAACTTCAGCACTTATGTATACAGATTGTGAGGAGCAGGGAGTGACAATGGGTGACTGCCCATGGGAAGGTGACTTGGGGTGAAACATTCTTGCAGTATTCCTCAACTGTATTCTATGGTACTGTGCTCAGTAGAAGATATTTTTCTTGTGATTCAGTTGCAAATTCTAGAATTTAACTAATCTGTAAAATCCTTTAGTGTTGAACCTGCACTGTTCTGATGAATACAGTTTTCTTTCAGTGCCATGAACACCGCAGCTTTTCCCTCCCCCACTGCCGAATTGGCAGAAATAAACCGAATCCATTATGAAATGAACTATACAGAAGACATCAGCCATAGAATGAGAGTTCCTGAGAAACTGCAGGTTGCAGCAGGGCAGAGTGTGAAGGATGTGCTGGCGGACTTTCAGAACACTACGGTTGCAATGCAAGTGCCGGAGAGAATTTTCATAGCAGGTAAGAAGTTCCTGTTGTGAGCAAACCTTGAACGTCAAACCAAATCACCTGGCGCTGACTTAAATAACATTAATTTACTTCAAAGGGGTAAATATTGCAAATGGTTTGATGCTTTGTGTGATTTTCTTTTTACCCAAGAAATACATTTTATATTTTGCAACAAGTGTCCTAGGATTTATGAGTAGTATTAATCCTTGCACTTGGTATAGCGCCTTATCATGTCTTCAAGATGTCTCAATGCGCTTCACAGAATATATTGTAAAAAATTAACTGTGTATTTTGTGGGTGAAAGGTGGCAGCCAATTGCACACAGCAGTGTCCCACAAACAGGTGTGGATTGAGTGACAATTATTATTTTAAAAATTGAAAGGATTATTAAACCCAGAAAAGTAAACCGCCAATTGACCAACAACCGCGTTCCTAATTACTGCTAGGTGAACAGAGGCATGTGGAATCAGGAAACTTCGCCATTGTTTTGTCCTGCTTTGGAATTCCATATCCTCTTGCTTGCGAGGCAAGTCCTCTTAACTACTAAGCTACAGGACTTTTATGTGGCAAATGCTCTTTTCAGTTGTTCATTGTTGTTTTGACATATTTGTAGTTGCAATTTAGGTATAATTTAAACTGAGTAATGTTTTTGGTTTTTTGGTCATTCTTCTAGGTGACGGCGATAATTCCAGACCAAAAGATCTTGATCTTGTGGCATCGCAGTCTTCTGCCCTGGGAGAGCCTTTGGCGTTGAAAACGCCGCCCCGCATACTCACTCTGAACGACCGACCTTTAGATTTCTTGGATCTGGAACGATCAGTTCCTCAGACGCCACAGAACGAGGAGGCAAGTGGTTACTATGACTGACTTGCGGGTAAAGCTGAGTTTCAGCAATTAGCATTATTCTGCCTGAACCTGATAATGTCTGAAACTCAGGATGATTTCTCAATCACACTTGTGCAGCCTTGTATCTTGGCTGCCTGTCATATAGGAACTATCAGATACAGCACATGGCTATTTAATTGTTGAGCTCAGTGCCTGTGTATGGTTCCTGTGCAAACAAATTTTTAATTTAATTTGAATTTAATACAATTTTTTAATTTAATTTGAATTCTTTTAGATTTTTTTCACGCAAATGGTAGTGGAAATCTGAAACTCCCCCAAAAGGCTGTGGTTGTTGGATCCATTCAAATTTTCAAGACTGAAATGGATAGATTTTTGTTAGGTAGGGTAATCAGGGATATGGGGCAAAAGTGGGTAATTGCATTCGAGGTAGATCAGCCATCACCTAATAGAATGGCGGAACAGGCTTGAGGGGCTGAATGGCCTGTTCCTAAGCTGAACATTTTACTCTCCAGCTGTTTTTCACTCGGTTTTGGAAATTGCACCAGGCTGTTTTGCAGATATCTCAAATCAAGACTACCTTGAAATTTGAAACGGAAGTATCCATTGGTGCATAACATCCCATTTAAGAATATTGCAAATTAGCTCCCCAGTGGCTGGCCTAGATAGTTGACCAGATGGCTCCAGTGTTGGAAATCTGTCCTGGGAGGAAAGGGTTGCATTAGACACATCCACCTGCTAACTGAACACCTTCTCTTCAGGTACGCTCTCAGGGTCGTATTCGAAGGGAGCGCTCGATGAGTGAAAATACTCTCCGTCAGAATGGGCAGCTCGGCAGAATGGAGTTGATGTGAGTAGGCATCCATCCAAAACTTCAGTAAAACCTGTTTTTTTTTGCTTTTATTTTTCCATTTCCTGTTGTTTCTTTGTCACTCGGCACAGTCTTGAGCTGGTGAGTTGCGTATTAGCCTGACGAGTTGTTTTGTGTCCATGTTTGTTCCTTTGTCATTTAGCCAGTTTCCGTACCCTGATTTTCAGAATTAGAAACTTATTGGATATTTGAAACTTGTGACTTGCTTTTTCATTCATGAATTATTTTTCTTAAGAAGTTGGAATACTAGTCTTTTGACATCTCCGGTCTCGAAGTTGTTTGTCTCATGTTGTGTTCAGTTTTATATTAGTGAATACACTTCAGCCAGTTTCTATGTTCCTTATACCACTGCACTTTCCAAGGGCTGCTGCTTTTTATCCTCTGATTCCACTGTGAGGAATCTAGAACTTCTCACAGCACATCCTCCAGGAAGAGCTCCGCAGTGAACAGCCTCACAGTCCAAACATGTATGGGAACCTGCTGGTTTAATCGCGGTATTAAAAAGAAAAACTGCTTATGCTGGGAAATCTGAAACAAACATTGTTCTCTGGCAGTGCCTTTCCAATTTAACATTGCAGTCAGAACCTTTCAGATAAAGGATTATGTCCTCAAACCTTTATTCTATCTTTCTCATTTAGATGGTGCTTGACCCTCCCTAGGTGTCCATCATTTCTGTTGAATTGCAGTGCTTCAAAACGCAGTACTGTTTTTCTTAATGTAATTATAAACTAGATTGAGGGCAGTTAAACTCGAGTTGTGTGGCAGTTGGCTAACAAAATGCCTTGACAAGTTGCTTCATTGATAACTAATCCCTGTACCATCTGAATTTGACTTTGACTGCCACAAGTGATCCACTGACCCTTATGAGAGAATATTCCTGTTGCATGTTGCATGTGATCTTGTCTGCTGTAAAAAACACATTGAGAACATAAAAAGACTAGATTCTTTCACTTTTGTCATCTATTTGTTTGACGCTCCCGTGACGGGTTTGAACAACCCGAATAGCTGAGTAGGTTGAGTACTGAACTTGGAACCAGAGAGTTCTCGTTTTGATTCCCAATTTGTTAAGTCAGCCTTTTGATATTGACTAAAAGTACCAGGTTTCGGAAGGCACCCTTGGGGGGATGGGCGTGCGGGGTGGGGTAGATGGAAGAGATTTGATCAGATATTTCTGGAATTGAGGTGATGTGCCTCTTGAAAGCTGCTTTTGCATTGTTGATGATTGTACTTTTCCAGCAATCCCATTTACAGTGCTATGCGGTATTTTTTCTTGTTACAGCGTAGTCAGGTAGTTTAGTTTTAGCTAATTTATGCAGAGAGTGGTGAATATGTGGAAATTTTTTGTGGAGCATTATATAACAGCGATGAATAGTTTCAAGGGGAAATTAGATAGAACAATGGAGGTGAAGATTTGAGTCATTTATATGAGAGAGAGAGAGAGAGAAACTGCAGCTTTTGAAACTCTCCCACCCGTCATTTTGTTAATCAGTATCTCTTGCCCTACTTACAGTATGAGGTAAAGGTCAGATGATTTGCACTGGGTGTGCAAGCTGGAAGGAGGAGGCTTCAGTTCCATTAAACAAAAATATATTACTTAAAGGATTTTTTAAATAAAAAGATTAACCATAGATTCTTCCATGGAGCAAAGATTGTGGGAAAGCTGATGGTTTGGTTGATGTGGCCCAGCACATCAGCTCTTCGTCAGTGTTTTGGTGAAAGGAACCCTGCGAATAATAACATTTTAAAATGATTCATTCTTTAGAGGCATAGCCCATTAGTACTATTCACCTCTAGATTTGCTGTCTCTTAAGCCAAACTGCCTTGAGTTTGGAAGTAGCTATGGTGCCAGTACTGTACTTTGTCACTTAAAGATGTAAAGCTCTATTGTCCACATTTGTGTATTTTTGTCTGAATCTGATTGCCCTTTTTTCTCTTGCTCTGTTGTGTACGTGTGTACAGTGTGTCACCAATCCCCCAACCTCTGCCTCCACCTCCGCCGCGTCTCTATCCTCCGCTCACCTCTTCTGAAGACGGATCAAACCTATACTCTCCTCATGGCATTTTGTCAGTTATCCAGTCCACGACCCGTAGGGCCTACCAGCAAGTCTTGGACATACTAGATGAAAACCGCAGAAGGTGATTGGCTGTTTAAGACTCCAGTTGCAATTGTGGTGTGCTTTTGTACAGGTAGAGGGCTCTATTTGCTTGCCATTGGATTGACTTTTTGATGGTGTGTATACTGAGCCATTGGTGACTTGGGCTTTTTGCCGTATTTTAACAACACGCAAATCGTTAATAGGATGAGTCCAAAATTCACTTTTAAAGTGTTTTCCTTATTTCAAATGCCAGTAGCAAGCAGGAATATGCAAAGGTCTGCTTTGTAGTATTGTCACAAAGTTTATTTAGTGTATTGATACCGTTAGAAAATATTCATATGTAATCCCATATACTGCAATAGTCCATGACTCTTACATCATTGCTTCGAACTGCATCCACTATTCAGCACCACAGCTGTATATAAACTCAAAGTACTTTCAAGCCTTGAGTTTGAAAAGGCAAATAGTGTAATTGTGCCACTGAGTGTTATTTCAAAATGGACATGATGTGAATACAGTATTGCCCATGTCTTCCATTAAATTAAATTGGGGGAGAAGAGATGGAAAACGCATCTATAGGACAAGAGCACAAAGCTATTTAACAGCTCCCATTATGTCTTAAACAAACAAAACAGATTGCATTTATATAGCGCCTTTCACACTGGGAGGATATCCCAAGGCGTTTTATTGGAATACTAGTGATACTGGTTTGTCTGCTTGCTGTCAACAGGGAGAGACAGAATTTAGGCAAATGTTACATAGGAGGTAAGAGAGAGAGAGGAAGGTAGGGGAAAACGCTGATCTACCTTATGCATAGTAGTAAGATCAGCATGTTACACTGCAGTCGCATCTGATGTGCTCAGTTCATTCTGTATTTGCTTGTGACATAGTGTTGAGCTCCACAAATTACAGCAGAAGATGTTCACAAAATTTAGCCCTCGGTTGCTTCAAGTTTTGTTCTGATGGTACTGCCCAGCAGCTGCACTGTCCTTTCTGCCTGCACTGCTCTGTCTGTTTCTTCAAAAATGGGACAGGGAAAAGAACAATAAACAGGATAGCATCGCTTTTCAAACATGTCAAAGCTGACAGAGCTACGCTGTGAAGTGTTAACAGTGCACACATAGGCTGCTTCTCTTAGGTGCTGACTTGGCTGTGCTTTCTGCGATCCTCTTGCCTCTGTAGAATAAGGGCACAAAGCTAATTTAACGGCTCCCATTATGTTTTAAACAAACAAAACAAATTTATATCGTGCCTTTTCATGTCAGGAAGTTGTCCCAATACGCTGAAGTCCCAAGGCATTTAACCGGTACTCTTGTGAGTGATCCTGGTTTGTCTGCTCACTCCTGCTTTAATACACTCCAGCAGCTGTTGGCACCGTTTTGAACAGACCTTCAAGATCAGTTTTGTCTCTTTTTGGCCACTGTTCAAATGGTGGCTTGGCAGCCAGTTTGCATGCAGCAAGGCCCCACAGCCAGTGAATAACAAGAATAATCTTTGCAAACGCCTGATTTATCTGGGGAATTGTTGACTCGGACACTGGGAGGAAATTCTCTATTTGAATAGTACCATTTAACGACAATGATCACCCTCACACGCAGCTCGGACATAGGTTTAACATCCCATTCCAAAAGATGACAGATCCACCAATGCAGCGCTCCTCCATCAGTGCAGTGCACTCTGTGTGAGACTTGAACCTACAACCTGACTATTGCTACCAGCTGAGCCAGGCTGATACTGTGATCAAATGTTTCTTTTCTGAACTCCCCCATGCAATGTTATTTTCAGCCTTGGTATGTGGATAATTAACATTGCTCAGCAATATGAAAGGTGACCTTCACTGTTGTATCGTAAACATGATTCATCAAATTCCATTCAGTTTACAAACGATAATATCACTCAACAATCAATACTGGTATTCATCAGTATTGATTCCCTGATGAACTTCGTTCTCCACTATCCAGCCTCTGACCAAACTTCGCACCCATCATAGCCAAAACCCTTATTCGAACATTCGTCATCTCCTCCCTCGATTATTCCAACGCCCACAAATATACAGTCAATTCACTTTACAGTGTGTTCTGTGAAGCGCTTTGGGACGTCCTCCTGACCTGAAAAGCGCTATATCAAATGCAAGGATTATTATTATTATTATTGTAGAATGAATCAATTTTTAAGATCCTCACACTTGTCTATAAATCACTTCATGCCCTGGCATCCCCTACCTCTCCAACCTGCTTCCACCACACTCCACTACCCACCCCCTTTGTTCAACCGTCTTTGGCCTCCTGCAGTTCCTCGTCCCCTCTGCTCCATGATTGGTGGCTGTACTTTTAGCCACTACCCCCAAAATTATGGAACTCTGCCTCAGTCTCTCTGCCTTGCCCTGAAGACCTTCCTCTTCGACTGTGGTTAGAGTCACCTNCCCCCGCTCGGCATCAAGCTCCGCCACTGTTAAGCACTACCCAACTGTAAAGGGTGCCATACAAATAGAAGTTGTTTCAGGGCAGCATGGCCACAGTTCATTTCAACAATAGATTCTTCACATGGTGAATTCTGGATCTCTCAGAATGCTGCAGGGAGATACTAAGCAGAGAGTGAGGGGTAAATCGAGGAGATTAGTCCTTCACAAGGTGCTTTGAATCTGTTCCTTGATCTGATTGGCAGGATGTGCCTTTTTGCCGAGAAAGGGATATACTAAATAAGACAAAGTATCTTGGTTTCATCTCTGTACAAAATACAGAATGTAGGAGATCAGCGGTACTGAATGTGTAAAATTCGAGAACCGCACAAAAACAAGTGCATCCAATCTTAGATTTAGAAATAAAAACTTCTATTTAAAAATAAGTTTGAAGGCTTACTCCTTTCCGATTTATACATTTGATATACTGGCATCGAGACTGAGATATTTGCAGTTCCCTCCCCTCCAGTTATTTAGTAAACACAAATCTGTCTAGATTGAGAGGGTATCCAATAACAATATCTTACATACAGCACCTTTAACATAAAAAAATTCTGAAAGGTGTCTCCAAGGAGATGTTCTAATGCTTAAGGTAAATTTTGGACTCATCTGATGTGTATGCTTTGTAATGCTTAACCTTACCCTTGCTGGAGTTTCATTGGGATTGCTTGCTTTTTAATTCTGCATGAGAGCAGGGATTGCTCTGATAACACCCTCTAAGACCTGCTGTGATTCTGTACTTTTTAAGAAATTTTACTGTTTCATATTCTAACTCAGGATTGCACTGATAGCACTGCAGGTAGCATGTGTACTGCTGTTCATTGGCCTGCACTGGAGCAAAGGAAGCTACCAGGCAACTCTGATGGAACTAGCGACAGAGCTCTTTCAGATGGGAGCATTATGATGTGTCACAATTTCTCATTAGTATAATAGTGTCACATTGCAATATTTCAATTAAATAGTTCTATCCCAAATCAGGGGATAATGCACATTCCCCACACTCATTTTGCTTCCCCCTTCTTTTCCTGGAATGAGTAGATACAACCAGTGTCTTGTCCTAAATGCTCACAGTTGTGAGTTATGCTCTGTTTGTACTATCAGACGCAGCTTGTTTTATTGTGGCTTAGAGTAATAATAACAGTTGCAATATTAAATGTACCATAGGTCAAAATGTCTCAAAGCACTTCATAGAATGACTTACTTTGAAGTGTAGTGATGCATGTCGGCAATTGAGGCAGCTGATTTGCACCAGCAATCAAGTGAATGACCGAGTAATCCATTATTGTTAATGAATTTGTATCAGAGAAGAGTATTGACTAGCACACATGAAAAATTCTAATCTGTCACCACCATATTGGCTGGTGTTAATACAAAGGACAGAGACAGACACCTAGGAGGTTTGCTCTGTACGGAGGCAAATTTAGTATAGCTATGCACTATGCTAAGTGTGTCATGTGGAACTTCATCCCCAGAGCAGATAAAAAAGCAGAACAAAGTCCCATCTATTGGAATGAGTTTCAGGCAGGGCAAGTGGTGGGTGACTGATTGACTGCTTCACACTGTTTGTTAGGTTATTATAATTCTGGGTTTGCCTCCTCAATAGTCTGCACCCACAGTGAAGCTGCAGCACGTCACTTTACCAGCAGCAAAAATGTCGTTTTCACATCTTCAAGTTGTCATTGTAAGTTTGTTGTGCATGGTGGAACCCTTTGACTCTCAAAGGCAACGTTGCAACATCACTTCATGGCAGTTTGTGCGACATTACTGTGCAAATTGGCTATAACATTCACCTACCAACTACACAGTCACAGTACTCTACATAAATCCTATGCAGCGGTTTGAGATGTTTTGATACCATGATAAGGCACAATATAAAATTCATCGAATAATATTAGTATTACATTGGGTCTCCACCTGTACAGCAATATGTGTGATAAACAAGGCTCAGTAACATGTATAGTAAAGGGCATGAGAGCTGAGTTGTGTGAACCTTATTATGTCTAAGTTACAAAGCAGCATTTCTATTGTGGTGTACCCAGTGTTGTTCCAGCTGCCTGTGTGTCCATTTGAAATCTGTGCTTATTCCTCTTTGCTTTACTTTTCTGTGTTCCCAACCCATGTCATCCTGTCATTCTCCTGAAAACCTAGACCAGTACTGCGCGGAGGCTCAGCTGGTGCCACTTCTAACCCTCTGATTGATAGCTGCAGGTAAATATGAGCATGTGTGGTTGGTTTTGTAGGATTACGGTGTTTATCCCAGCACCTTTTTTTTGTGTCTCGGAGGCTTTGTCTCTCTCCACCTCCCTTTTGCTGTTTGCTCCCTCATCTTGATCCTATTTTTCCTCTTCTTCTGGAGTATGATGTCTTAGATTCAGATTACCTTCACCCTATCCCTCCTGGCAACAAGCATTCATATGAGGTTTGATGCCAAGTGCCTGGGGCAATCTGTCTCAGCCGACCCCAATGTCCAAAGTGCACCTCCAGGTGGATGTTTCACATTCGGTTTCTGGATGTAATATAGAACTCAATCTTCGGTGTGGGTGGTGGGGAGAGAAGAAGCAGCAGCAGTTGAACAAGAACTGTGACATTTCAGAGTGAACCAATGTGGCTTCACACTGCCACTAAAACAAAAGTTTTACCCAAAACGGTTTGGTGAAAAGGTGATGTGGCAGTTCAAATGGCTTACATCAGTGAGCTCTCTGACAGGAGCAATGAAAAATGGCTAATGAAAGATTCTCGGTAATTGGAGAGAAAGAGTTTGGCTTCAGGTTTTATTTGTGCACGGTGATTGAAATTGTGTGAATTAAATAAATCGCTTGTTGGCTTGTGTTTAGAATGTGTTCTCAAATATTACCTTATCTCCAGGTATACCCCGTCCAACTGCGACTTTGCAATGGAAGGAACAGCAGACGATCTGGCTGTCGTAGATGCTGCTTCCTTACGAAGACAGGTACTGTATTTTGTGGGGTCCTGTAACTCAGTGGTTAGAGCACTCGCTTTGCAAGTGAGAGACCTGAGTTCAATTCCAGGCAGGGCGAAACCTTGGGCAAGTTTTCTTACTCCACACGCCTAATAATAATCCCTCCAAAACCAAAAACAATAATAAATTGGTCATTTTTAATCCATGACTGTTTGTGGGACATTGTTGTGCGCAATTGGCTGCTGCGTTCGCCCACAAATATACAGTCAATTCACTTTACAGTGTGTTCTGTGAAGAGCTTTGGGACATCCTCCTGACGTGAAAAGCGCTATATCAAATGCAAGGATTATTATTATTATTATTATTACTGTATTCATTTAAATGTCTGTAGCCATATTGGATGCAATGGATTGAGTTACACAGAGTATTCTGGGCTGACTGCAAGGAAATGAAGGGGTAAAATTGTGACACATCCCATCTCCCAAAAAGAAGATTGTGTCTGAGAAAATTATGCTTGACCTCCCGCAGCAATTTGTAAGAGAATCAACAAAGACGTTTATTAATAATAATAATAATACTTGCATTTGATATATCACATATTTGCAACATCTCAAAGCTTCACAGAATATACTATAAAGGGAATTGACTGTATATTTTGTGGGCGAAACACGGCAGCCAATTGAGCACAACAGTTAATGTATGGAATGTATTTAATTTAATGTATGGAATTCCCTTTTTAAATGCGAGCTGCTTTCTGTTCCATCTCCAGATAATTAAACTGAACCGAAGACTCCAGCTTCTAGAGGAAGAGAACCGAGAACGTACCCGACGGGAAATCATCATGTACTCAATCACCGTGGGGTTCTGGCTGATCAATAGCTGGCTTTGGTTCCGGCGCTGAGTGGGCCTTCCACAGACCAGATCACATGCTAACCCAGTGAAAGTTCTTTGAAAACCAGCTAGTGATTTGAAGGACCTGCAGAGATTTCCTCGTTTCCCCCTTCCTGTGTACAGCACAGACTCCTGAGGTTCGAGCACTGAACACTCGCTCCGTGTAAAGCAGGAAAATGAATCACGGGGACAACGGGACTATATTGTTGCTTCACTTTTGAGATATTTATCATGTCACTTCATCGTATACAATTTAATTATGTCGCACTTTGCATGTCTGTGGTTTAAGGGACGTGGAGCTCTCAGGGCTGCATGTTGCACACATTGTTAAACGATCCTGTGCGCTTGCGACTGTATGACAACAAGCAGGAAGAGCGCGCCTGAACAGAATAAAGAATACGACGATTGTTTGCATTGTGCAACTTGCTGATTTGGAACGCTTACGAACAAGGATTTCAGGGAGGAATTGTGGTGAAGTGATATGTGGAAACATTTTGTGACTGTATTCTGTTGTCCTGTCCAGGTGAAGTTATAGCTATGTGCTCGGCTCCTACGTTTTCTGTTTTTGCACTGATTTTGAATGGAATGTGGTCCTAAAATTGCCGTATCCTTGGGTATTCATGTAAAAAAAAACTTTTATTTTGAAATTTTACCATTGAGTGGTTGGGCACCTGATCAAGTCTGATGTCTCTGAGCCATTCCTGAACGTTCAGGGTTTCCGTCAAGGCCTCCCCACCCCACCTTGTCCGGTTTCCCATCTTCCTTTTGCTCCACTGAAGATAATGAGTAGAGTGAGTGAGATATTGGGAGATGACGCCAAGTCCAAGATGTAACATTTAATGGTTCAGGAAGTACACAGAGGTGGCTGTCCCAAGCCATATGTTGCTTTGCTTGGTAAAATAACCTATCTTTTATATAAAAAAATGTATGTGGAGGATTTTGGGGGGATTGTATCTGAAGGGAAAAGCTCATCATTGGATCTTTTCCTGGAATATTCTGTTAATTTCTAGTTCAGACATTGCTCTTATCCCATTCAAGTTTTAGAGTGTAAAATTGTGTACCTTTTAGTTTACCTTTACAAGCAGACATTCAAAACTGAAATCTTCATCATAGCTCAAGACCCTCATTGCAGGAAGGGTTAACAATTTACTTTTGTGGAAAAGGTTGTACAACCATTTTTTTTGCGCTCTGCAGTTTTTTAAAATAAAAAAAGTGGGACTTTTTTTTCTATTGTACATTTTTGTGTAGACACGCTTCCGCAAGAGATAAGTTATCTGAGATAAAATAGTTTATGCAAATATAATCAACTGAATAAATTGTGGCAGTATAGAAAATGCAGTGGTTTGTGGCACTTTTTTTTCATTCTAATACAGGTAACAGGTCTTGATCTCGACGCGTGGAACTGTAGACATGTAGCGTGGAATGATGCACGGCGCCACCCAGATCCCATTGAAAATGGGGACGGGAAGAGAGAAGTGGAATGGGAATACATAGATGAGGGTGAGAGTGCAAAGACAGCTGACTGCCTAAATCCAGTGAAATCTCAAATTTGATGATTTTAAATGTCAAAGCAGCGTAACATGGCCCCATTATTGGTCGAGGTGGATTCCGAGGAGACTTCCTTGACCAAACTGGCTGATGGACTTCAATCAAGTGCACTGTTGTTCATCACACCGGTATGAATTGAGGTGCGGTGGATAACATCCCACAGAGGCAAAGCAAAGGACCGGAGAACGTTATGGCGTCAAAGGCTACCCGGCCCCACCGGGTTCAGGTGGTTAGAGAGCAGAGGGGCACATGTGCCTTTACACGTGCGTTTCACCGGGGACCAGTTTGGTCACAGCAGTGCATCGAGAGCCGCAGACGGCACCGTGCAGGAGTCCAACTTACTGCGCATGCTCAGCTTGGCCCCGCCCCCCCGGGGTCCTGGCCGGGAGTTCTCACTGCGCGTGCGCGCTCGGCCGCCGGACCCCATCCAACATGGCGGCGGCTGCGGCGTGGCTGCGAGGCGCCCTCAGGCCGCTCCCGCTCGCCCGCAGCGTCCTCCTCGGCCAGAGCCGCGGGAAGAAGCGGTGGATGAAGTCCTACGTGCTGCTGATGGCGAGGAAGAGGAAGCTGGAGGGGCCGCCGCCGCCCACACCGCGGTGAGTTTGGCGCCGAGGCCTCGGCTCCAGCGGCCGGGCCTGTGTGTGAGCCGCAGGTAACAGCGGGGGGTGGGGGGTGTGTGTGTGTGTGGGGGGGTTCCTCCTCCCTTGTCCCACCCGCGTTTTAAACCGGGCCCCTACTCTCTGACTTAGGCTCCGTGGGTTTGAGTTCCGAGATCTGCTTTTCCTGGTGGTTGTTGTTTTTTTTAAAAAGAAATAGTAATATTGATAAACAAACAAACCAACAAACAAATCAATCAGTCAATAATTTCTGTACCCGGTGTCTGCTGCCACGGAGGAAAATCGGATAAATTCCAAGTCAGGTTTAAAAGCATTCGGGGTGTCACAAAGTACACAGTTAATCCACTTCACTGTGTGCTCCGTGAAGCGCTCTGGGACTTGCAAACAACGTGGTAAAGGCGCTATGTCAACTGTAACGATTGTTATATTATTATTTCTTCCCCACCCCCAACCCCCCCCCAATTCTTGGCAAGTCGCCCACAACACAGCTCTGAAAGTGGACTGGTGCAAACTGTACTGCAAATGACAGGCAGACTTGAAGGTCAACGATTTTATGTGAATGTTGAGATGCTTTGTTGTGGATAAAAAGTCATCATTCCAGGGATGTATGTTCACTGCAGTTTTTTAAAAAAAAATAAAGTTACCAATCGAAGAAGAATATGGTCACTGTTCAACTCTAAAGAAGCTGAATTTAATGTTTTCTTGATTTCTGTTTAGGTCGCATATGCCAAATTGGGACTATCATGCTGAAGTACAGGCTTTTGGTCAGCGCCTCCAGGAAACATTCGGCCTTGACCTTCTCAAGAATGCGTTCATTAATCCCTGTTACATTACATCTGAAGAGGCCCGCCGACGGGAACTTGAAGTAGACAAAGAGACCGTGATGTTAAACCTCAAAGACAATAATGAACTGTTTGAGAAAGGGTCAACATTTACAGACACTTACCTGCGAGACTGTTTCAGTAAAGCCTTTCCAAACTTGCCCGCAGAGGGTGTTGGGGCAATTACCAGCTACCTCACCAAAGCAGATACCGTGTGTCACGTGGCTGGGCATTTAGCTCTAGAGGAGTTAATATTGAGTGCGGAGTTCCCAGTGCCACAAGAGGTTCTAAGCAGGACATTCTTTGCTGTCATTGGAGCTTTGCTTGAGAGCAGCGGATTGGAGAGAACCAACTTATTTATCCGGGTAAGAAATTTGTGAAGTTGAAGTGAAAAAGAGGGAAGGAGTCTCTGATGGCCAGCACTTTTAACCACTGATTAGCTGAGCCATACACATTGAGAGGTTCCATGTTTGAGTCACACCCTGTGATGATAATAATCCTTGTATTTTGTTTTTTTTTATATATCTTTGCTTTTTTTTGATATAGCGCCTTATCACGTCTTTAAGATGTTTCAAAGCGCTTCACAGAATATATTGTAAAGTGAATTGACTGTATATTTTGTGGTCAAAACGCGGCAGCCAATTGCACACAGCAGTGTCCCACAAACAGTTATAGATTGAGTAACCAAATTATTATTATTTTTGAAGGAATTATTACCAGTGGAAAAGCGATCTGCCAGTCGACCAACAACTGAGTTCCTAATTACTGCAATGCAATGAATTAACAGGTCAGCTGGATGGCACTTGCTCAACAGTTGACCTCAGCACCCATGTTAAAGAGGAGAAAATCAGTCTGGTTTCCTGCTCTTACTGGAAGGTGTGTGTGGAGACCCTGGATCATAACAGAGTCGACATGTGCTATGTTCAGAAGCCTGTGAATTTAACTAACAAAGCTCGTGCATGAATAATGGTCATTTTGACGAGGTACCAGAGGTATTTGATGCCTGAAACTGGTCATTTGCTTCATGGCTGTTTGTGGGACATGGTTGTGTGCAAATTGGCTGCTGTGTTTGTCTACACAGTCACTGCAATTCATCGTAACTTCTCCTGAAGCACTTTGAGTCGACGCAGTGATGTGGTTCGGCGCTATATCAAATGCAAGTATTATAAACAATAACCTCAATAAAAGAACATATTGGGGTAATTGTTAGTACTACTTACAGTAGAGGAGGACATTGAGAAAACAATAGTGTCCTCAGGGTTCTTGGACCTCCAATGCTCGCAAATGCTGTAGCTTTTGCCCTCACTTTACCTTTTAATGAACATATTTTACAAGCACTTTCTGTCTCATTGGTATCTTGCAGGACTTCTTAATTCCACAATTGATCGGCAAAGACCTATTTGAGTTGTGGCCAGTTATTAATCCTATGGGGCTGTTGGTGGAAGAACTGACCAAGAGGAAGGTGTCTCTTCCAGAACCCAGGCTAACCAGACAGTCTGGAGTCAGCACTGTGCTTCCTATCTACTTTGTTGGACTCTACAGGTACAAAATCCATTGTTAATATCAAACCATGGAAATTTAGGGCACAGAAGAAAGCCATTCAGCCCATCGTACCTGTGCCAGTTCCCTCAGAGCAATCCTTTCAGTCCCACTTACCTGCCCTTCTCCATATCCCTTCAGCTGACTTTTTAAGGTATCTGTCTTGGGACGTCCTCCTGACGTGAAAGGCGCTCTATAAATGGAATCTTGTTGTTGTTGTTGTTGTTGAAGGTCAATATGGATTTTGCCTCAGCTACCGCGCCACCCCCCCACACTCTGTGTGTGGAAAAAATATGTTGATGCCAGCTGCAGCCTACAGTTACGATAGGGCAAAGTTTCTTTCTGTATTGTAAACTTCACGATTCTAGAATTCAAAAATGATCAAAGTTAGTTTCTTTTAAAAAATCTATTGTTAAATTGTTTTATTGTCAGTAAAGTCAACTTTGACTTCACTGCTTTATGCAGGGTTTAAAACATCTTAAGAGCAACTCTTTGCTGTGGGACTTGCGGTATGCTTGTTCAGGATGCAACCCTGCAGCAGCATTCTATAGCAGGCATCCAGCAGGTTCTGCCAAGCCATTTGCCAGATGACTTGCATCATTCTTGCGACAGGCATGGTTCGTCAGCTGATCATTGACAATCAGGTTGAGGTGCTCTTGGAGGACTTTAAATGTTACCAAGAAAATCTGAGGGCTGGTTCAAGTTTGGCAGAGATAAATAGTATCTTGCTTCTAGCCATCTCTTTCAAGGTATAATAGTAGTCCTTTCACAAGTCTGATTAAGGTAACCGAGCCCTGTACCATCACGGTCCCATGGCACACTTGGATGCACATTAACAGGATATAGTTCAATCTAGAAGCTCTAATGCTGCAACATCTTTCTCTCGTTCCAGTGATAAACAGCTAATTGCGGAGGGTACCGGCGAAACAATACTGTCAGCAGAAGAAGAGGCGGCACGAGTGGCACTACGTAAAATTTACGGCTATACAGAAAACCGCCAACCCTGGGATTACCAGAGTCCCAAAATGGAACCTATCGCAGTAAAGGCTGTGAGCAGTTGATACCTGAAGTGGGCTTTGATGCCTGGTTTTAGTTGAGCAATATCTCTGTTAATCAAGACTCTTTGTGTAAATGTTGAATACTGTTATAGAGAGAGACAGAAATTTGTGTCTGTAATAGATGTTCACTTTGCTAGGCTTCTAGATTAAGGTATGTGGAGAGTGTAAACCTGGCCCTGGGGATCATTGTGCTGATAAATGGAATGTAGACACTTCTCACTTAATAATCAAGGCAATTTTTTGTTTCAAAAGTATTGTATTCCTTAAATAAAATGAAGGAATATCATTGTGTTTTGATATGAATTACATTTTCCAGTTTTTTTAAAGAAACAAATCACCCGACACATTCAAAATCACAGGAAGGTTTTGTCTAGCATATTCTTTTGGGTTACTGTTTTTACTTCATTTTTAATTGGTTTAGAGACATCACTGGTGCTAACATTGTACTACGTAATATGCCTCTAGCTCGGTGTCAAGCTCCACCACTTCTAAGTGCTCTGATATGCTACCCCATGTGAAGACTGCAAGTTGCTGAGTTGCTTACCTCCTGTCTTAACTCCTGACTGCAGGCTTTCTTGCATTATCTCATTTGCATTCCATCCTTATCATAAAATACTCAGCAATAACACAATCTTTGCAAATCTCACCTTAACTATAAAGTTCTCTGTTTAAAACACAATCTCTGCTCTATTCTATCACAAAACCTAGTTATAAATTAAACTTGAATTTCCTAACCAAATTATAAAACTCCCTCATTTACATTTAATCACATGGTTAGGGATTCTATAATTCGCTTTTTCGTCCCATCATTTGGGAGAGATGAAAACAATAAACCAAGTTGTCACTCCTGACCACTCTGTCTTTACTGGAAAGTCCACGTGTGGACATTGGATGAGGATAGAACCAGGTTTAGCTGCTGTACCACATGTTCTTGAACAATAACAAAAATAATAATCATCCTTGCATTAGGGCATAGTGCCTAATCCAGAAACATCTCAAACTGCTACACTGGTTAGTAGTGTCAAGTGTAGTGACTGTATTTGTAAGTGAACAGAGCAGTCAATGTATGCACAAAAGCCGTGTTGAACAAAAAGTCGTGAAAAGAGTCTGGTGGAGGTTTGTTGGCCAGAAAACCGGGAGAAGCTCCCTTCTCCTTTTGAATAGTGCCATGGGATTTTCAAAGTACCAGCAGAACAGTCAGACGGGGACCTCGGTTCAACGTCTCAACCGGAGCATGGCACCTCCCGACAATGCAGCAGCGCTCCCCCCCCCCCCCCCCCACCCCGCCAGCATCGTGTTGGCGTGTCAGCTTGGGGGGCAGGGGTTGGGGTGGTGGGGCGGTGTGCGCGTCCAGGATTAATTGTGAAGGTGGTGGAGGATGCCCAGGCTGAACCGGGGATATGTGTAGACTTGGGGGACAAAGCTCTGTCGGGATGGCTCTCAATGCTCAGCCGCGAGGGGCCCAGGCCAGGAGGGGTGGCCAGAAATCAACAGCAGGTTTGCGGCCCAAAGTCAACCAAACACCAGCCCCGAAAGCAGCCCAAATATTAATGGGTGGAGATGAGGGGGGGCAATGGAGGTCGAGTGCATCAGAAACTGTACGGACATGTCTCCGAAGGATGGGCTGGTGGGGTGGGGGCGTTTTGCAGGTTATCCATTAAAATAAAAAAACATGTAAACAAAGATCAGGCAAATTTCCTCCCCCCCCACCCCCTCCCTCCCTCCCCTCCCCCCCCACCCCCAACCCCCTCCCACCTCCCCAGTGCAACGGAAACCCGCCCAAATTGGGCGTGAAGCCGCCCAACCCGGGTCCGGCCCTAACCCTTCCCCCAGTCGGTCGGTGCCGGAAGTGTTGTGAGTCTGTGCAGAGGGGCCTGCCCTGCCCGGCCCGGCCCTGCCCTGCGCTCCCCGCCCGCAGCCCGTCCCCGTCTCCCTCCCTCCCCCCCCCCACCCACCCCCCGTCGCCATGGCCGCCAGCGCCAAGCGAAAGCAGGAGGAGAAACACCTGAAGCTGCTGCGCGACATGACAGCGCTGCCGCCCAACAGGAAATGCTTCGACTGCGACCAGCGGGGACCGACCTACGTCAACATGACCATCGGCTCCTTCGTCTGCACGTCCTGCAGCGGCATCTTGTGAGTTACGGGAGACCCGGGCGGCTGGGCCTGCGCTGGGGCTGAGGGGTGGGAGAGGGGTGGGGGGGAGAGAGAGAGAGAGAAAAGGTACGGCAGAGGGGAGAGAGTGAGAGCATCTTCTGGAAGGAGGAGGAGGGGGGGAGTGTGTGTGTGTACTTGGGGTAGATAAAGAGAGAGAGAGAGTGTGTGAGAGCGTCTCCCTGGGATAGAGAGTGAGAAGGTATCCCTTGAGATACAGAGAGTGAGAGCCTATTCCTGGGATAGAGAGAGTGAGAGGGCATCCCTGAGAGAGAGAGAGTGAGAGGGTATTCCTGGGATAGAGTGGGTGAGAGGGCATCCCTGGGAGAGAGAGTGAGAGGGTATTCCTGGGATAGAGTGGGTGAGAGCCTATTCCTGGGATGGAGAGAGTGAGATTGTATCCCTGGGATAGAAAGAGAGAGAAAGAGTGAGAGCATATCTCTGTGGGGAGAGAGAGAGTAAGGGTGTCCTTGGGGTGGAGAGTGAGAGCATATGCCTGGGATAGAGAGAGCAAGAAAGAGTGGGAGAAGGTATCCCTAGGATAGATAGAGAGAGAGAGAGCGTAAGAATATATCCCTGGGATAGAATGAGAGTGAGAGTTTATCCCTGGGATAGATGCGCACAGAGAGTATTACTGGGATAGAGAGAATGAGAGCATATCCCTGAGGTAGAAAGAGAGAGTGAGAGAGGGTATCCCTTAGGATAGAGAGACAGCGTAGGAATATATCCCTGGGATAGAATGAGAGAGTGAGAATGTTTCCCTGGGATACAGAGTGAGAGTGTATCCCTGAGATGGAGAGAGTGGGAATGTATCCCTGAGTAGAGTGAGAGAGTGTGAAAACGTCTTCCTGGGATAGAGAGAGATGCAGTGAGTTGTATAGATAGATAGAGAGCGTATCACTGGGAAGGGGGGAAGAGAGAGTATCTATCTATTAGAGAGATAGAGAGAGCAGAACTCCCCAAGCAGAGAGTTAGAGATGGAGGATCCATCAAGATTTATGTTGAGAAGAGAGTGCATTATGAGTAAGCATAAATAATTCTGCTCTAAAATACCCAAATAAGTTTTAATATTTGTCATTAAAACTCAAGGTCTGAGGTGCAGCTGATGCAAAGTCTTCAGAGAAACTGGGTTCTGCCCAAGTGTAGATCTGCTTATTTTCGAAGGTTCTTGTTAGTTAAAAAAAACTAACTCTTGTTCGTTAATTTGGATCAAATGGGTAACCTTGAGATTTGCAGATGTTATGATATTTTGAATCAAAATATTGCTATGGATTGGATTCTTTATTATCAAAAGAAAATGCACAATAAAGGGGATGAAAATGGGACATTACAGAATCTTCGCAGTATGTTGTTCACAGTTTGTAGATGGGACAGAAATGGTCCACACCAAAACACTAACTGTATCCAACTGATCGCATTGGGATTAACATCACCTCCTGAGCATATAATTATGGGGTATCTAATTTGTGTTAATGATGAAAAACAATGTTTGTGAGGCTGTGATTAGGTCACAAAGAAGTTTATTCTACTTTATTGACCAAGGTGCTGTAATTGAAGATTGTGGAAATTCAAGAGAAAATAGGATTGTGTTAAAAAGTCAAATTGTTAGAGGACCCTAAGTATTCTGTGTGAAGTTAAAAAGGGTAATGTTGAGAGTGTTAAGACTGTATCGCTGCGCACTTCTAAGATTCCTTTTGTAAATGTAGTATCCTGGCAACCTCACGGAGGGTTCTGACCAGCTGTCTGCCCACTGAACCTTTTGTTTGGTTCACCGGGAAGCCTCTCTCAGTTGCAATTAGCATCTGCTTCACAGATCTGAGTGTCGATATGAAATCTTTCTCTGTCGAGTGCCCCTCCCTTCAAAGTTTAACCCTCGTGACTAGTGGGCATCCATTAGGCAGCTGTCACGCCATTTATATACAGCAAGGAGAGATGGAAATGAAACCTGGAGGGAGAGATTAGCTGAATTATTTAATGAGGTGCTCTCTATCTGCAGTGCTGGCTTTGAAGCAGCCACTTTTTGAAAAAATATATTTTTATATCTAGCAAGTTCTTTCACATAAAACATTAAAAGCACCGTTCAAGATGAATTAATTATTATTTGCACATTGGTATTTATTTTGGGAAGAACCTTTGCACTGTGTTTAAAGGCAGCAAGACACAAAGGCTCACGATTGTGAAGGGCAAGTTTAGGGCAGCCATCAGGAAGTACTTCTTTACACAATTACTACAGTGCGTTACCAGCATGGGTGATAGAGACAAGCACATTCTTTTAAGAAACCGCTTGATGGTGTCGTATGGGAAAGTGTGAGTTCGGCATTCAGGGAGAGTGAGATCAAATGAGACTTCATTCAAAATGATTGTGTCTTGTGAAGCATTTTTAGCTTTATTTTATCTTCAAATAACTTGCACATTTTCAAACATTAAGATCCCTGCTGCTTCCAAATGGAAGGCTGGAGGGGGATGGAGGACTGGAAAAATATATTTTAATTTAATTTCAAGTTAATATATTGTTAATACTATTTTAGAGGAAATAATAAAATAACAATTCACAAAGCAACAAGCTTTAATTGTGTATCTTTGGTGTAGTTTAAATCTGTCAACTGTGTAGATTTCAGGAAGGCAGAAAATGGGACTTGGAAGAAGGAGCAGGACAGAGGGAACAGGAGCAACTGTTGCTCTATTTTGGAGCAACAGCGAATACTGAATGTTTCCAAAATAGTACTGCACCATACGGTTCCATCTGGACTAGATTCAATCCAGGATTTCATAGAGGAAAAAACAATCCTCCAACCCACTGCAGCACTCAATCCTGCATTTAAAATGAGACAGGAGGAAAAGCTGGAAATCTGAAACAAAACCAAAAAATGCTGGAATTGCATAGCAGGTGGCTCAGCATCTGAAAGACAAAGATTTTGGGATGTGACCCTTCATTAGAAATATTAACCTTGCTCTTTTCAGATGCTGATCAACCCTTCTGCACATTTCCATGATTGTCTGTTTCTTTTAGCTTTGTGAAAGATGCCCCATCTGTGAGAAAGTGGGATGAGGTGGGAGCAGATAAGTGATTATGAGATGGGAACATTGGGTCTTGTAAAACCTACAAGAATCTCTAAAAATGGATGGTGTTTGTTATTTTCTTGGAGCCTAAAATGAAATTTACACAAGAGTTATCGGTTGAAAGCGTAAAGCTTTTTTTTCAAATCTCTTTAGACGAGGGCTGAATCCCCCGCACAGAGTGAAGTCTATCTCAATGACCACCTTCACACAGCATGAAATCGAATTTCTGCAAAAGAATGGCAATGAGGTACGTGCTAGAATCTGTTTGGGTTTATTATAGCTCGCTTTGGAGGTACAGTGCATTGGTGGCATAATTATTTCAGTGTCTTTCAGTGGCTCTGACGTCACACTTAATCACTCCAGGGAGCCTGGACAGAAACAGGCATTTCTTTTAAACTGGAAAGTTTCAGTACTTTCCCTGCAAGGTTTGTTTGATCCCTACATCTTCAGAGAGATTCTGTATGGTATCATGCTTGCCTGCCCAGGCTAAGGGTTAGCATGGTGAGCGAATAGTCTAAGAGTAAAACATATAAAGAAATCTTACAAAATATAACGGTACTTTTCAATGCGCATTGAAGTGTTTTTCACAAAATGTCACTGTCTGTTTTCTTATCCAGGTGTGTAGACATATTTGGTTGGGATTATACGACGAAAGATCCTCTGTTTATCCAGACTTCAGAGATCCTCAAAAAGTCAAGGATTTCTTGCAGGAAAAATATGAGAAGAAGCGATGGTAAGCCTTAAATTTCTGCCCTTTTCTGTCCACTTGTTTAGCAGATCTCGAAGTAGATGGAGCTGTGCTAGTCAAAGCGTTGATCACATACTTCTAAAACAGTTGTACAGTCTCAGCACATCTATCAGGTCATCAATCAGAAAAGTACAACGATAGCACAACAAATTGTGCAGCTAACACCTTATAGAAATTTTTAAATTGATCCAGAGAAGGTCTTATCTTATCTTTTGTAAGATTAGTCTCTTTCTAAGCCATTGTGTGTAGAGTGGAATGGATATGAATGTTGCTAAAGCTTTCAGTTCTCAACATATGAGGAATGTGTTACTGGCACCAGTGTATTTAAGGGGAAGCAATGTATAAATAAGGGAGAAGAGAGGGGAAATAAGGGAGAAGTATCAGTACCAGTCCTGCTCAGGAGAGAAATTGTTACTACTGTTTTTCTTAATTTCACAAGAAAATACACAATTTTCAGGTGAAGATGGGCAGTCAATACCTGGAGACGCTACCTGCATGAAGAGAGCAAAATAAATGCAAGTTGTTGATGTTTCATTCACTTGAAGAATATTTGAAGAATATTCTAAAGTCTCACTGGTGTATTAAGTTAATTGCCTTTAATTGGCCGCATTGATTGGGACATTACTTATTGGTACACATGGTATGAGGTTTTGATAGTTCAGCTCCATTGGGATGTACAGCTGGCCCATTGATATAGCTCCTTTGGTGGGTGATACTGCTGCTCCACTGATACAGCGGATGTACAGTATGGGTGTTGTCTGGGGAAGGTGTCTTTTGATGAAATACCGCTGTTTGGACATCTCCTTGATGCAGTACAATTCCCCTTTTGTATCCCTTTCTTTTCTGTAGGTTTGTCCCAGCAGAGCAGGCCAGGGCAGTGGCAGCAGCCCATGCTTCGATTTCAGGTTCCTCAGCAAGCAGTGCGAGCAGCACTCCAGAGGTAAAACCACTGAAGTCCCTCCTGTGTGAAACTGCATCAACACTGCCTTTAAACAAAGGGACACCAAACCAAGTAAGTCCAGTCCAGGTGACTCCTATCCCAGTATTGGGTCCATTTGCACATATCTGCTAATGTTTGGAGTTAGTGGTACATTACACTTTAGAAGTAACATATGATTGGTCTATGTCTTTTATCAGAAGTTTTGTGTTTATGGTGAATTCATGTACATAGGATGATACCCATGCCATTTTCTAGGAGATACATAAATAGGAGATACATAATCCCCTCCAATTATCCAATCTTTTCTGTGAGGAAGTCCCTTGGCTCTGCTGTGGGCCTCCCTCCAGACAAGGTCAGCTAAGATCAAGAACTCACATTCTTTTGGTACAGGATGTTAGTATCAGATATAGGTAAACCTTGGTGACTTGTTCGTCAAGTAATTTAGGCGCTCGAAATTAAACAAGTGCTGAAAATCCACAGCCTCTGGAAGACGAATATAGATACGAATGAAGAGAATTGCCCAAAGCTTTAACCAATTTGTTTCTCTCCAATGCTGATCGACTTGCTATGAATTTTCAGCATTGTTGTTTTTATTTCAGATTTTGCAGGTTATTTCTTTTCATTTATGTTGATGCTTCTGATCAGGATTGTGACTTAGTCAGTGCCCACGCTCCATTGCCAACCATTGTTGGGACGAGAGGCAGAGTTAACTAACACAGGGAATGCTTCATGAGACAATGCCTCCTTTTCAGTGAGCAACATTGCACATCATCGCTAGGCTTACTACCCCTTCTCAGTAGGTCCCAGAAGAGTGGGAATGAAAGTGACAGGGATAAAAGACTGAAAGTAATAAAGGCGAGAACATTTATTTCACAGCTGAGAAATTGGACAGTTCAAGTCTTGATGGGAAGGCAGCAAAAGACGTGCAATTGGTAGCAGCCAAGGTTGGTTATTTTAGCATATCCCATTAACCCTTTATGACCCAGAGAAGTGGGATTTAACCTATTCCAGTTTTGACATTAACACAGTGGATTAAATTACAAATCTCAAATCGTTTGGATATTTAATAATTGCTAACAGGAATTTATAAAAGATAAATTCTCATTGAAATGATCTGACATTTAATAAAAAAAATCTGTCATCTGTTACACTGGCTTCAGTGTTGTGTTACAGTGAATCATTGTGTCGCCCCTGAGTACAAGCAATGCTGATTTGAGGAGAGAGTGTGATATCCATCCAGTCACCTTGTTTCCAATTTATTATAATAGGGTGTAGGAACAGCTGCTATGTAATGAAAGCTGTTGGCAAAGCAGACTGATGCACATAAGGTCATTATGGACTGTTGTCCTCGGGTGCAGGCAACAGGAAGGGGAACTTTGCAGTGGAAATAGAGTACATGATATACTCCAAGGTGGGAATTTAAACAAAAATACAGGCTAGTTATTGTTCATAAAGAATTGGGATCTTTATTTTTTCAATCTAATAGGTCACTCGCTTATGAAATATAGGAACACGTAAAGATATATTTTTAGCAGTAAAGATAGAGGCCAAAGATGAGGGAAGGTTCATCTGGTATGAAAATGGACAAATATGCTGTTATTTTGAGTATTGATTACGTTTAGGGATCGGGATTACTTGTGTGGAGCTTTTCCTCCATTAGAGAGCATGGGTGGGCTGAAGACAATGTAGGTTTAGCACTGTCTGATCTTACTTACTTAGTTCACACCCACACTTTATAGTTGTTTGTGGGACTTAAATTAACTGTGTGCAAAAAAGCTGTCATATTGACATACAAATACATAGTTACCATATTTGACAACAATTTCCTGTAAATCTGTTTGAGACAGTTCAACAATTAAAGGGGCGAAGTCAAATGCAGTTGTTGTTATAAAACGTAAACTTGACCAATGCATCTTCTTTTCTTATTCTTATTCTTATTCCTTGCTTAAAATGTGCCTATTCTCTACTGGGGAGGCGTATTCAGAAAATGTAAATGGCCACTTATGGCAGCCAAGTTCTAAAACAAATCTGAAAATTGTGGAATTAAATGAAAGTTATTCTGCAGTGATACAAATTCAGTTCTATAAAAGCTGATCCATGAGTTTCCCTGTGACCCATTTTAATTTCTAAATTGAGGCTCCTTGCCAAAAGCAAACTGCTTCAATGTACAAGGTTAGCCGATGATGAATATGGATGAACACAGTGGAAGAGATCCAGAATTATTGCAATAGCTTTGCAAAATCTAAGCTTATAATGCCATGTTCTTACAGTCCCCAGCTTTTAGTCATTCCCAAGGATCTCAGCAACAGGACAAGAAAGTGGCAGCGTTTGACCTGCTTGCTGACCTGGGAGGTGATATTTTTGCTGCTACTGCTCCTCAGTCTGCACCTCCAAGCTTCGCAAACTTTGCACTTTTCAACAGTCACACAGGTAAGACAGGGGTTGACAGTTCGCCTGTGAGTCATCCTTGTATTGAGTCTCACCCGTTCACCTTGGAAAAGGTTAAGATATTTAGTTGACCAGCCGACAGTGGTTGAGTCATTTAAGATTTCTCAGGTGAACATTGTCGATTTATTACAGTAAGTAAGTGGTTTTGTAAAAGAGAACTGAGGGTTAGTTACAAAGCTTGTGTCGGAACAGTCTCATTTTTGTTTAGAGTGAAACTTCTTCTGCTTAAGGTATTGGTCTCTCTATACCAATCCAATAGAAAGGGTGCCTGAGTAACCTCTTTTTAGCTCTTTGAAAACACTACATTGAAACCAGCTCCTGGTGAGTGCACGAGAACACCCTGAGCTGAAGATGCATCTTTTCACTGATTCCCAGAGCCTGAATCTGTGCTTTGACTTCTGCATCATGGATACCAACCCACGTTCTGTCATATATTTCTGTGCAGTAGCCCTGTTTATGCCTTTTCTAAAGCAGGTACTGATCTGTAATCACAGGCTCCAGCCCACTTTCTGTGCTAGGTTTTGTCCTCGTGAGATGCAGTGAAATAACTCTGTCCTCGATAGCCGTGAACACCTCTGAACAAATTAATTAATTGTATTGCATAGCAATATGTTACATAATTACAAACTCCAGAAACTAGACTTTGTTTGTAAATACGGGTATTTAGTTTTAATAACTTAAGTATTTAATTGCTTTAAAGATACTTAAGAATCAAGTCCAATTTGGATTCCTCAGTAGGTGTACTGGCTACTAGATTTACATGACATCCAATAGCTGTGTATTTGAGCAATTTTTAATGTGTGAATCACTGAAAACACTTCCTACCGCTGCCAGCAGATCTGATATAGTTACAGGAGAAACGTTCAACTCTAATACAGACTGCTGGCTGCGGTGACAAGTACAGTGTATATAATGGGAATTACAGTGTGTGAGGTTAGAGGCAGAGGAGTGGATTTCAAGGGATGGGGGGATGTGGAAGGTGAGGTTAGTACAACATACTTGTGTTAATCTTGAGTAAGAAATCTTAGGTAATAATGGCAGTTTTACCATAATCACCCATGCTTTTGATATTGTGGAGAATCTGGAGGTTGTGAGCTGATCCATCACAGGTCTGGAGTCTCAGTCAGACTCTTGGGATTGAATCCCTTCAATTCAAAGTCAAAGCCAGCTGCTTTTCCACCGGACGCTAATTCTTTTAAACTTTTTTCTGCTAACGCAGAATTAATGGTTAACATTCCAGTTACAGAATCCTAGGTGTTTACAGTACAGATGGACGCCATTCTGCCCATCAGTTCTCAGAGCAATGCTGATCATTCAATCCGATATCCTTCCCTATCCCCAGACATTTTCAGACTTTTATCTGTCGTATATACCTGTCTACTTCCCTCTTGAAACCCGCAATGGACTCTGCCTCCAGTTGTAGTCATCAGTTGCACTGATGTGAGTAAATTCCCATTGGGACAAGTGAAAGCTGAATTGGTATGAAATTGGCAGTCACGGGTTTGGCTCTCGGAAATACACGGACCTTTGATCTGGACCTAGATTGTCACCACAACAATCTGAAGCAGGTTGTTGTCTTGTGCTTCAGTCACCTGGTGCTCACCTGCCTGAACTGAGCTACTACTATTAGTAAATGTTATGCTCCCAATTCAAGTACTGTCACATTCTTCAGATGTAGGAACAGAAAATGTTAGTGCCTGCAAGTGAATAAAATAATTTGCCATGTAGAAAATTGTGTTTTTATTAAGAATAACTCATTAGCCGCTGTCAGCAAGGTAGCGGTTCAGAGATATTAATCTTCCCTTCTACCCACCAATCCCCAAAATAAGCAGTAGCATTCTTTATGCTGGTGCAAAAAAAAACCTACAGTAGAAATTAGGTTGACGGCAGATAAGTTAGTCTATAAATTTAATACAAATAGATTTATTTTTATTTAGGAAAAACAGTTTGCAGTATTTATCGACTGATTGAAATGAGTCCAAAATACCCTTTGTGTTTTCACCAGTAAGGCAGTGGCCCATATCCCAAGTGAAGGAACTTTATGACCTGGTAAAGGGATAACTGGGACAGGATGACTTGGATATCAGCTGGGACTCCCTGCAGTTTTATAACCTCAGCGTTGCTGAGTGATGGAAATGCAGTATACAGTTTTGTCACTGAACTAAAGAACACACTCTTGGCACAAATCCGGGTCTGATTGTGGTGCAACATTCTCTGTTTCCAGTATTGAAGCACTCTACTGTTTGTTTTTAAGTAACATTTTTAGTTTGCGTAATGAGGTTGGGTACATGATTGATGTAAACCATTGACTGGGATTGACTGAGGTCTTCAACCTATTTTGCTAAAATGCATAATCTGTGTTGATTCATTTCAGTTTCTGAAATGTTCGTTTCCTGCTCTCACTGCACCTGCAGGCAGCTAGACTGCAGTTGTTCCATAGATTTTCAGATGCCACTAATGCTTGCATAGGTGGCAAATTAGGTGTCGTGGTACAAGATGGATTAAGTGATTAAGGCTTATTTGCTTTTGATGGGTGTTATTAGCACATGGAAATAACCCAAGGTCAAATATTAAACCCCACAGTTTGGTATTCCTCGTTTTGGTTTTGAGGAGGAAGGTTTGTGATTGTGTCCCATTTCATCTGATCTTTAGTATGTTTTGAAACATTCTGATGTGTAAAATTTGACATAATTCATTCCTACTGTTTTTTGTTCTGTTGCTGTGCACGACTTTCATAACCATTAACGTCTGTGTCTTTTTTGGTTCTCTTCCTTCATCCATTTCCATCCACGTGGTTGTTACAGCGCCGACGTCTGTGAACACAGAGTTTGCAAACTTTGATGCATTTGGAAGTTGTAACGCTTCTGATAGTTTTGGAGGTTTCACCTCAGCAAGCCTGCCAGCTTTCCAGTCCAACAGTACAGGTAGCATTGGTTTCAATTGCCCAGCTTTACTTTTGGAATTCTTGTTTTTTGTGTTTGTGTGTATATTTCTGTGTGTGTGTATGTTTGTGTGTGTGTGCACGAGCGCGACAACAGTTGCTGGACATTCAGCCTATACTAATCTAGCAGGTGCTTGGATTTTATCTTGGTTTTGTTTCATGTCTCCTTTCAGTTTGACTTCTTACAGTTAATCTTGTGCAAGTGTGGGCACTCTGAGGATGAACTAGTCCGTTAGGCAAGATGCATTCCCAAGTTCCATTCTGGATATGCATGTTTACAGGGTTCGGGTTTGTACCCCACAAAGTACCAGGGCAGAGAGAATCCTAGCCAGCTCAAGAGTTCTTCACATCGTGTTTTATTTGTGTCTGCTCCAAATGTGCCACAATATAACAACAACAACAAGATTCCATTTATAGAGCGCCTTTCACATCGGGAGGACGTCCCAAGGCGCTGGACAGTTGGGTCGGGACCCGAGCAGGGGGGAAATGGTCAGGGCGAGGGGAGGGAAGGGAGGGAGTGAGGAGGGGGTAGAGAGTTGAGAGGGGAGCTGAAGGCACGGTCAAAGAGAAAGGTCTTGAAGGAGGAAAGGGAGGAGGCGGCGAAGGCACTGGAGGATGGAGTTCCAGAGCCTAGAGGCTGAGAGGCTGAAGGCCCGGCCACCGATGGTAGGGCGGTTGGGACAGGGGATGTGGAGCAGACCGGAGCCAGAGGAACGGAGGGTATGGGCAGGTAGGTAGGGGGATAGTAGGTCGGAGAGGTAGGAGGGAGCGAGGCCGTGAATGGCCTTGTAGGTGAGGATGAGGATATTGAATTCAGAAAGGGACCTCATTTCCCTCGCTCACATTGTACATGCTGATTTATCCTAATTATAAACCTGTCATTTAATGAGATCACCCTGTTCTATTATTGATTCTGAACATTTAAATGCACGGTCTTGAATTAAAAAAACTTTAAAAGCACCACTAGGTTCTTGTAGTGAGGAAAACAGTTTGCTTTGAGTGACTGAATCTGAATGATGGTACTTTAGCTTGGCCAGGCTTGCACCTTGTCCCAACTTCCTGCCATTTCTTCAGTCTTGTGTCTGTAAAGTGCTTTACTTTTTATATTTAATTTATTTTTTGTTTCTCTGTCTATTCCGCCTCCCACGCCATACCTCACTCTGTCCAGTGTTCAGAGCGCGTCCAACAGGCTGCAGTTTTCGTGGTGTTACTTCTGCTTTCCATGTCCAGGCTGCACACAGTAAGTGCTTCAGTCTTAGGGCCTTGGCTTAATAGTTTCCTCCCTGCGTCGCTCAGTTCAATCGTAGAGGCCAACATTGCTCACTCGTTTTCTCTCTCTCTTCTATTTTATTATTTGTGTTATTTGGTGTGTTACAAAAGATACGGGTCTCTTGTGAAGAAGTCTGATGATCAAGCAATTCAGATGGGGCAAACATTTGTCTTTTTTGGGACCGTTATTTTGAAATATTATGCTGATGTGATCAGTCAGATTCCTTTCTGGATATTCTATCGACCAATTTGTGCTCCTGTAAAGTGGAGCGTTTCTTTTGTTGTATAACATTTCTATCAAATTAAACCTTTTGATGAACGTTTGCCCGTGACATGACGAGGCTTGCCATTAGTAGCGAGTGGATTGTCGGGGAACTTCTAGCATAGGTTGGATGCAGAGCGAAACTTCTTAACAGTCTACCTAAATGTGAGATCAAAAGAGCATCCCTGCCACTCTAGTGTAAATTGCCCCATTTTCCACAGTTCTTGGAGATAGAGAAAAGTGGAGAATGATGGGAAATTGATTAAAAATTTGGTGTGAGGTAGAAAGCACCTCCTGGTCTTATCTTCCCATCCTCACGAAAGCCTTGGTATGACAACAACAACAACAACTTGCATTTATATAGCGCCCTTCACGCGGGGTAGCATCCCGGAGCGCTTGATAATGGCGGAGACTGACCATGAGCCAGGTGGACTTCTCAGGCTGATTCTAACTGATTTTCCTTTGCGTGAGCAAAGCTAGGGAAGCCCCCACTACTATGGGGCCTATCAACACATCTGCCGTTGCCTATTCTTTCTGGTAGGGTGTACGTAAGGTCTGGACAATGAGGAAGATAAAAGAGTGATTTATTTAGGTGCTTTTGCCAGCTTTGGAACCTAAATAAACCTCTGTGCATTTGGGATAAGCAACCAATCTGATGGCTGGCTTTCTTTGAATGCTTAATTCTATTTTAGTCTATTTTATGTTAGCTATACAAAATTAGTTTCTTTGGTTCCTTCAGTTAATGGTGGACCATATGGGTACAAATATGTTGATTGGTTACAGCCATGCAGTACAAAATGCAATTACAAAATGCAATAGAAGTTAGGTCCTATCACAAATAGTATGAGCTTTTCTTAACATTATTGAGTCACCAGAATATTCAAGGAAAACCTTGCAACTTATCCACTCCCTACTATTGCTTCCTGACACGCTACTGAAAGGATGGGCTGATAGATTGTATTCCTTTATATGTTGAAAGGCTGGTGGTAATTCAGTTCATATTGTGGAGGGTGGCGATGGTCTCCATCTGTCCAGTTCACACAAGGGGAACTTCCATATTTCTGTGTGAGGTTCAGTCCTACCAGTCCACAGTAGTGTATGCGCACAAAGATCAGGGCTTGCATCTCAACACTTGTCATTATGAGCCTCCCACAGAGCCAGATCCGGTCGAGCCGGGAGCCACTTGTGTCAAGTTTGCAATAGAACGTGTTACCTGGGTAAGATTTTAAATCGATTTCCTGATTGCTGGTGCGTTTTTATCTGTGGGAGGTGAAATTCTGCCCAAGTGTCTGAAGCCTTTATCTGAACGTGACTTGTCTTTTGTGAAGATAAAGGTTCCAGCATTATGAGGCGATTTTCCCTTCAATAATTTCCCCCCAAAACCAAGCAGACTTGAAACTTCAGGGCAGAGTGAAGCGATGCTTTGGGACGGTGATTTTTTTATCCTTCCCTGTGAATGTGTTTTGTGGGCGCTGGTCTGGATGGTGCTGTGTTTTGGTTGATGGACACTGCTGTAGTCTCTTTGGTGCTGATGACCATTTAATCACCAGCTTTTCTCCGACTCCCTTTTGTGTCTTCTCTTAACAGGTGGAGACCCTGCGTCAACTAATGCTAATTTTGCAAATTTTGATAACTTCCCAAAATCCTCTAGCGCTGACTTCGAAGCCTTTAGTTCCTCGGGGAGGGACTCCACACCATCCGCTGCCCCTAAAACCCCTGCACTCTCTGTAGATAAATACGCAGCCCTTGCTGACCTGGATAATGTCTTCAGCTCCAATGTACCCGCACAAGGTAAAGATACCTGCTTCTTACCCACCCGCAGATCCTAAACAACAGCCAGCTGGAGCTTGGTGAAGCAATTTCATGACTAAGCTAATCAGCTGTGCTATAGTTCTTTTATTTAAACCCTGTCTGATCAACACATTGAAAATACCAGGCAGGAGCTTCTGGTGGCTTTGTAGGTAAAGGCACTGCCCCACTACACTGCTACACAGATTCAAATCACAGACTGTGTTAAGTTAGCTGATCTCAGCCATGCAGGATTTAGAGGGGTATTATAATTGGCCCCAGTTGGTAGCACTTTCACCTCTGAGTTGTAAGGTTGTGGGTTCATTGCAACATTGAGGGAGAGCTAAACTGCTCTCAATACAAAAAAAGAGGTGCCATCCTTGGATGAAATATTAAACCCAGGTCCAATCTGCCTGTTCAAGTGGATACTAAAGATCCCATGGCATTATTTGAAAAGAGAATGGTTTCCACCCTATGTTCTGGCCAAGAATCCTGATAAGATTAGTCATTCATAGCTAGTTGTGGAATATTGCTATGTGCACGTTGGCTTCTGTATTCACCTACAAATACAGTCACTACACTTCACAGCAACTTTCCAAAATACTTTGAGACATTCTTGATGTTATTGCCCAGCGCTATAACAAATACAAGGATTATTATTATAATACTTCAAGGTTTAAAAGGGGATATTTCTATCGGGGTTCCTATTCCTGATCACTGTCCAGTGACTCCTGTACAATCCAGGAACAGAGCATCCAGGAAGTGTCTTTAATTCTTGGTGAAGGAATAAGTAGTACTGAGTCCCTGAACCACTGTACTGTTGAGCTAATCGCCAGAACATATATTGCTTTTCCTCCTTGCAACAAGGAATTTGCTTTGATAACATTGGACAGGTTGCAAAATTCTGCTCAACACTCGACTTGAATGTTAGCAGATAAAAATATTATAGCTCCTGACTTCAGCAAAGATGACGATAGTTGAACAGCCCAGTTTAAGGCAGGGGAAAATCAAGCAAGGTTTCTGCTCAACATAGCAGATTGCACATCCATTGCACAGTTGAAGGTTTTCACATCAGATGAGGACAACCCAGGCTCGGCTGTGATGTCTTCTCCCCAGTAACTGGATAGCCACACTCCACTGAAAAGGCTCCCATGTGATTATGATTAGTGTATACGTCAATGAACACCAGCCCTTTGATCACTGGATGAAGAAAAACTGCTTGGTGGGTGTCAAAGAGGAACAGAACTCGTCAGAATGGAAAAGTTACAAGGCATTTTTCTCCTGAGCTTTACTACGTACGATCATTGTCCACTTCTACCATGAATTTCTGGTTTTGATCCACATTAGTAACACTGTGAGAAGTCATTCGTAATAATTAGTCATCAGGATTCCATCACACCGCCCCCCCCCCCCCCCCGTTTAAAACTAAAACCATGAAAGAAAATTACATTGAGACTGAGGTCAAAATCAATTGTTAAAAAGAGATTAAGATGGTTTTTCAGTGCACGTTCAGTAAGATTTAAAGGACCTGTATGCCTTAAGTGACAAGAGTACCGTTATTTTCATACCATTACATACCTCATCATAGTCGCTCACTGCCCTGGATACTTTGGGTGACAGCTTGGATCAGCACACAACCTTTCTAACGTAATCATTCTATAAGGCTTGTCCCTAAATGGTGCTGCCTCCTCCCCAACGCCACAGCCAATTTATGGTCCACACCTGAAAAGCTAGTTAAACACTATGTGTAATTAGAATGCATTTAAAATGCTTGTGTTTATTTTTCAGGCTGTTTTGTAGAATCAGAAGTGAAGTTAGATCCTGTATAGTGGAAGCTTGGCAATGAGGGAATAATGTAATAGAACATTTTTTTAAATAATATTGACTGAATTGATTTTCCTCCCCCCCCACCTCACCTGTCGGATATTCAGCGCTGTAAATTTGCTGATTTTTTATGAGTAGAAATCCTATTTTAACATTTGAACTCAATTGTTAAAAGTTTTTCAGATTTTAAAACGAAGATGCTAATTGTGGTTTGTGTGTCTCAATTTTCTTACAGCCATTTGTCCCTCCCAAAAAACACCATCTCCATATGATATTTTTGTACGTATGGTATCTTTATCTACCTTTTTCAAAATTAATGTGCATTGATTCAAAGAGGAAATAACTTCGGACTGAATTATTCTGTAAGCCCTTGATATTATCAAATAACCTGTTCACCCACTGGACTCTTTGACGTGACCATTGTAACAGTCCGGAGCTTGGGTGTAAGCATTCTGGGGCAAGATTTGTTTGTACGCGATCCCCATTTTGTGAGCCACAAACCTCTAATAACAAACTGCACAGGGAACGTGGTTACCTTCACGCTGTTTTCTTCCCTCTGGCGTGTGGTGACTCATGGTGAGGTCGAGTTCACAATGCCAGAATCCTTTTAGTACCTCACTCAACCAGCCATTCTTCATGTCTAAACCTAAAGAGTGGGTATTTTAACAATGGGAAGGGATATCCCAACTGTGCCCAATCCTACTTAATCACCATTTGTACCAATGAGCCGAGCGGGGGAATTGTGACTTTTTTTCGCTGAAACAAATGATGGGTTTTTTAAATTATGAAAGGTTTTGACAGAGTTGATAGGAAGATATTATTTCCGCTGTTCGGTGAATCAGTAACTAGAAGGCATCAATCTAAGACTAAAAAAAATCACTAACTTCAAGGGGGTGAAGGATCTGGAGAAGATTGGGCAAGAATCACCTCCGCCTCAACCTGGCGATTAGGAAATCCATCTTCTGCTCTTGTTAACACCACCTTAGGAACCCTTGAGACTCCACCAAAGTGACTATTGGCTCTCAAGTAGCAAGTTGGCTGAAAGATCAAAAGGGAAGTGTACCAAATTCCAGAGATCTTGCTAAGTCTGCAATGTAGTTCAGGCTAGTGGGTGAGGCCAAATAAAGCCTATACAAAGCCCCAAAACTCTGGAACACTCTTCCTCTATTCCTCCGCCTTGCACCCTCCTTCCCCATCTTCAGGGTGCGCCTGATGACCTTCCTCTTTGACCGTCACTCTACGGTCACTTCCCCCTGGCTTAGGTTCATGCTCTGCCACTGACGAGCGCTCTGGGATACTACAACAACAATAACTTGGATTTGTATAGTGCCCTCCACGCCGGACAACGTCTCAGAGCACTTCACAGTAATGGATCCCGGGGCCAAGCCAGGGGGATGGGAGGAAGGTGACCAAAGGCGCAGTCGAAAAGAAAGGTCTTCAGCTGAGACCTAAAAATAGGAAAAGAGGGAGCGAGACGAAGGGAGTGAGGAAGGTGGAGACCCTGCGTGAGGGCGCTATACAAATGCAAGTTGTTGTTGGATGCTAGAATATGAATAAAGAGTTGGTGAGACAGAACTGTTGTTCTAAACGAAGCCACAGTAAGTCTTAGGAAGGACAACCATTCAGACAGAGACATAGTCAAGGTGCTGAGCTGAAAAGCAACAATTTATAATTGGAGAACAACCCCCTTTCTCCCCCCCCATAACAGGGAGCTGCAAAAAATGTTGTTGAACGTAGTTCTGGAGGTACAGACTAGCAGAACTTCCTTTTTTTTAAATAGCAGTTTTACTACTTAAATGCTGCTCTTGTCAGATCACCATAAATGTTTAGGATTTGTGGAGAAGGAGTACAGCTGCTTTAAGTTTAATGGGATTCAGCAATAGACATTGGTCCCATTACCTCTGACCTTAAATATTCGTGGTTCTAAAAATGCACCATGTAGGGACTCTTCTGGAGTGAAAACCTATGATTAAAAATGAATAATAAATATGCCTTGCCATCAGAGAAGGATGATGCAGACTAGGAAGCTGTGGAGGACATCAAATGACCCATTTTAGCATAACAGGTCAGTTGTGTTGGGAGGCCGAGACCTTCAGTTTTAACAGGAGGGTTGTACTATACTGTATTTTATTCAGAACTGACATGAAGTATGACACCACTGTAACTTAATTTTTTAGAAAAAAAACATTTTTGTTGAGAAGCTCCACAAACTGACGGTTACAAAACCAGTAAGTTTCTGAATCCTTTATTCTTTTTCCTATATTACAGGAGCAAGTGGTCAACTCACTCAGTTTGGCTCAGCATCTGTGGGATCTGCTGCGATGAGTGTCAACCAGTCGAGCTCCTCAACAGACAAGTATGCAGCCCTAGCAGAATTAGATAGTGTCTTTAGCTCTCCGGCACCCTCTAGTAATGTCTTTAGTACAAGCAGGTAAAGTGCACCGTCTCCCCTGCACCTTACAAACAGACGTTCTAAGCAGAAATACTAAACGCAACAACTTACAGTGCTGGAGATGTAGCCAAAGGTGGCAGCTCCCAAGGAAGAACGTTTTATCCAGTGAATCTGCTTCTCCACACATCTCCCTCCCGCCTCAGACAAGTCTCGCAGAACGAGTGGAAATTCAGCAAAGGTTTGCTGGATAACAATTTTGTTTCTTCCTTGTCTAGTTCTGTAAGACCCGGTTTGTTTTTAGTATTTCAGCTTTGGGTTTGAGATTTCTTTGCTTGGATTATTTCACTCATCAAAAAAAAAACACTCATTACTCACGCAATTGGAAAGGTCTTAGTTTTGGCCATTACAGAAAAACGTCTTTGAACGATGTTCAGTGTCCATTTTCAGTAAGCTATTTGCTGTCAGGCGGGTGGTCATGTAGATTCCTTTAAACTTTGTACCATGCACCTATAGAGTTGTTCTAAGGGGAACTCACACCTGGAATAAACAAGTAAAAGCATCAAGGAATATGAGAGAAGAGCTGGAAAGTGGAATTAATTGGAAAAAGTAACTCTTTCATATTTCATTGACTTTCTAAATGGCTTAATGTAACACATGACTCGCCCCTTTGGCCGCTTATGCATAAGATTGCATGAGGTCCCAAGAGTACACTCGGTGCTTCTAACACAAACTGTCTTATTATATCGGTGAAAATTTCAACAAGAGCTACAGTATCTTCCAGTCATTAAAGGAATCTGAACTGCAGGGGTGGCCCTTCTTTAACCCGAGAAACCATCAGGCTTTAGCATGGGGATAATTGGCGGTACAGGTATTTCCAAACAGGATTTTTCTCCTTTTAAAATTCTGGTCAACCATAACTTGTAGATCGGCTCAGAACAAAGTTCCCATTGGCATTAACATGCCAAACTTCCAGTTAAGGGGAGGTTTGGCATGGAATCATATTAAGAAATACCGTAAATTGGCCCCCAAGTTTTTTCTGTGTTCCTGAAACCAAAATGTTGGTGTGGAACCTTTGCACACAAAGTATTGCTCAGCCAACTAGTAAATACAAATTTTGAAAAATTATTTGACCCGTCACAGGTTAAAAGCAGAAACAGATCAGTGCTTTTTTCGTGTGGTGAAGTTAGGAGTGTTGTGATATCTAGACAATGTTGTGTTTGACGCTCACCCAAAAGCAAGCGGTTGTGTAGAATTTCAATGCATTTTGTCTTCAGTGAAATTGCCAACCTTTATAGATCCATGCTTGGAGGAAATGAAAGTCCGATATTAATTTTCCACAAATCTTCATAAAATGTTAGTGTGTAGGAATAAGGTTTACTTATTCCAACACGCCTGTGTTTATAGACACAGGAAATGAAGATCGCACATCTTTGCAATGAAAGTTGTTTTTGTTGTTGTTTTGCTAGACTTAACAATACCATCGAGGTGAGGAAGAATATGCAACCAGGAAATCTACCCTCTCAGTTGATTTCAGTCTATTGCTATGTGAGGTTCTCTCACTGCACCAGTTTGCACCGTACACATGATTAACACCCAGTCAGGCCCCACGTCTGTTATTCGGATAGTCAGTATTTCTGACCAGATCACAGTTTATATTCATGTCATTTGTGTGACTGACAATTTTGTCTTGTGTAGAAATGACTTTACGTGAGCCATAAAATGTTGAAGCACATAAAGAGGTCTGTGTCGCCCTGTAGCTCAGTGGTTAGAGCACTTGTCTTGCAAGTGAGATTCCAAGGAAGAACCACTGAGCAGGTTTACTTATTCCAACACGCCTGTGTTTATAGACACAGGAAATGAAGATCGCACAAAATTAACAGGAACCCTCTTAAAGGGCCATGTATTTATGATTTTCCCCATCTCCCCTTTCCTGAGTTGCATTTATTACCTCACCCATGGCACTTAGTGACAAACCTTCAGTCCGATTAACAATCCCTCAAGATGAATAATGAATTGTATCTTCAAAATAGAAGTTAATGATGTTCTGGTGCAAAATCAAAATCAGTTCCTAACAACTAAAAAAACATAAATACTGTAATAAAATTGAGTGGTATATCTGCATTTCTCTCGTTCCAAAATCTCAGTAAAGTCATTACACTAACTTGTCTTTGTCATCCTAAATCAGCAGAAGGATTTGTGGAAAATTGAAGTTTTGGAGAATATGAGCTCTGCGAGTTGTTTCTAATGCCTTATTCTTTGTTGTTGATCACGGAGACTGTTATACACATCACTTTTCCCCACAGTGCATTTGGGACGGCGCCCAGTGGCATGGTATCCCAGAGTCATCCAGTGGTCAGCTGTACGCCAGCAGTGTTTGGAGGTAAATGGTTTTACACGGGAATATTTCTTTTCAGTCAACATAAGAGGATTTGTTTTGTGATGAAGCAGAAGTTTCCAAAATATTTGAAGTGAGGCATGAGACTCCATGATGCAGTGAAACAACGAGGTGCTGTGCTGATAAATGGCAGGATGTAGGTCCCCATGAGTTCCAGAGATCAGTCGTGCTCTGACTGGACCTTGCCCCCGGTCATAAGAGCAGAATTGGAGGTTGAAGGTTCGGTCCCACCCATCTTGTCACAAACCCAGGTTCATGAAGCTGATTATTTTAAAATTGTAAAACCACTTTGACAAACAGCACTTTCTAACAAGATAATGCTGAATTACGCATGGAAATTCCCATGACTCTCTCTCGCGGAGGGATGCACCCTGTTTCCCCAATTCCGGAGAGTATTAGGCACAGTTTGGCAAAAGCCAAAGCTTGAGGGCCCCCAGGGTGTACCACGTTGGAATTTAACCAGGTAAACCATGTAACCTGCCATGGAAAGCACTGTCATTCCTAACTATATTGTTCAGTTATCTATTGATGTTAGAAAATATAAAAATATAAAGTCTTGTTTTTACCAGTACCTTTCATTGTGGTCACAAAGCAAATGGACCTGCTGTTACTGTGGATTTAATTTGACCTTTAAAATGAAATGTGATCTGGACAAGATAAAAACCATAACGGCACAGGATTAAACGCATTACGATCAAAAAGAAAGGAAGTGTTGCCAGCTGACATTGCCAATTGTTCAATGGCAAAAAAGAACAAATCATTTTTTGAAGGTTCTAACATGCAATGAAATGTTACGTTCAATAAAGTCTGTAATTTGACTAATGTGTCCTGATAATGTACCTTTTCAGCATCAACCAATCCTTTTATAACAGCTCCTATGCCACCTGGAGCTGCAACCAACCCTTTCCAGACAAATGGAAGGACTGCAGGTATGGGTGAGGGGCCTTTTGTGAAAACTTTGGTGTTTCTGTTACAAACAAAAAGCATTGTCATCAATTTATAGTTTGCAAGCCAGAAATTCCCGATATAAGGTTTTGCCCAATGTGGTGAGAGGCATGACGTCTCGGTGATGGTACTCTGCTTTCAGCTGCTGGGAGACATGACAGTGGTTTGTGCGTGAGATATTGCTCTATTTTCGAGCTTATCCCATCTTACACCCCCACACCCTTATTTAATTGCGACTTTTGTGACATCAGGAATTGAAACTATAAATGTATTATTTAAATTCAGACAGATATAATTGAGCTGTTGACAATTTGTTGGAGAGTTTTTAAAAAGAAAGGACAATACTGTAGTTAAGACTATGCTTGTTTTACTTCAGTAATTGTCACAGTTAGTTATACAGAAGCCTAGAGTTCACAATTCATGCACCTATAAGGACAGTGTGAATCTTGTAAGCTTAGAAACGGGCTCCAGCCTTTCAGTACATTCTGTTTTTAAGGCCTTCTTTTGGTCTTTAAGAGAAATGAGCCATTTCTGTGTAAACCTGTTTTAAACCTGATGCTGTGCATTTGCTGAATGCATTGCATGTTAGCTAGCGTGCCGGACTCTGCTTTCTCTGTTGCACTTGGTATGAATAACAGTGAATAATTATTTGTCTTCTCTAATTTCTTGTGGCTCCCCTTGAGGCCTTTTAGGAGCTCTACACACTCAAGCATTTCCACAGGCTCATTTTGGTAGGTCCTGGTGTTTCGTTGCATACCTAGTTAAGTTTGGCTTTTTGTTAACCCGACCGATGGCTTTGGAGAAAGTGTTTGATGTGGAGCACAGAGCCAACCCATTCTTTGTGGACTCAAGGCCACAGCATAAAACTTGTGCAGGAAATGAAAATGTGACACTGGGATATTAGGAAAAGCAGCTGTGGTCCTTGGGTTGGTGCAGAGGAGCGGAAGATACTGCATTTTATATATCTAACCTGTTTTATACTTGAACGTTTGCAGTGGTAGATTAAAAATAAATGTGGTCAAACGGGTGTCTGACACGTGTGGAAACCCAACACTGTGCTTAAGAGTATTCAAACCAAACTCAGAATTCCATGCATCCCAACTATACATGAAAATCCCAGCAATAGATTGTTGGAATGGGATGGGCACTCTCTCCCTGGAGTGAACCATCCTGCTTACCTAATTCCAGAAAGTATTAGGCGCAGGTCAGCAGGAGCCAAGGCCTTGGGACCCCAGAGAGTGTGCATTGGGATACTGCTGAAATGTAACCAGTTAAAACTAGCACTGATAGTATTTGATTCTCTAGCACTTCCACTTTGATCAATCAATGTTGCCTCTTTTTTACATCCTGAGATTTTAAATTCCATTTTCCTTCTATTGTACACTCCTTTGAACTCAACTGTTCACCCAATTGATGCTTATTAATCGTTTCTAATGGAGTATTAAATACTCGATTTAATGTACATTGGCTTTCGTATTCTGCCCATTGCCCTGGACATTGCTGCCAAAGGGCTCAAGTTGGTGTGCTATTCCCAGGCAGCTACCAGTACTGAGTTCACTCTATTTGTGTTCTCCATTAATGTAGGAAAGCTTCTGATCTTCCCCCTCCACCTCCTCATGAGACAGTTGACTATGCTGGGAATTGCAAGCTTACATCCGGAACTTTAATGGGCTGTGGGCACCAACCTAAGCAATATTTTGTTATACTTTTGTGAAGGCCAAAATTCCTCTGTTCTTTGCCGAATCACATGATTTCCCATGACTGCACTCGCCAGATGACCTATAACCAGGTCTTGACTTAGCGATGATCACACACAACTTTCCCAATGTTTTATTTTCTTTCCCCTCCCCATGCTCAGTGTATGTATCTTGATTTTCTTAACATTGGGATTGGAAACTATTTTATAGGAGAGTGAATCAACAGTATCCTATCAAAGCATTTGTTGTACTGTGTCACCATGCTATGCCATGTAGTAATAAGCACATGTTTATTATAGGCACGTCCAGTCATAGAATATTACAGGACAGAAGGAGGCCATTCGGCCCATCCTGCCTGTGCCGGTTCTTTGGAAGAGCTATCTGATCAGCCCCACTCGGACCCCGTATTCTTGCAATTTTTTCTCTTCAAGGACCTATCCAATCCCCTTTTGAAAGTTGTTATTGAATCTGTTTTACATTCCGCTAATGTAAAGTCAGTATTGTAGCTGTCACAAAAGTGTGGTTATGCTAGTGATTGATTGGTTATGCTATGCGCTTTGCTTATTGCAGACATAAGCAGGGACAGAAGGGAACACTTGACTAGATCTCTCTTAACCTTGAAAGCGGAACATTCTATCTTCTAAGCTTATTTTATGCTATAAAGCAGAAGCGTTTGTCAATGTACAAAATCAGTAGTTCGTGATAGCAGTGTGTTTTATCAGCAATAGCTATTGTACTGCTGTTTAAGAACTCCGAGATCTGCTTGAAGGGCGCTTTATAAATGCAAGTTGTTGGAACTTAACCGGATAAAAGGGTGCAGCCTAACCCTAACCCTAATACTGTCTGGCAAGTTTCCTGCTGTTTGTCCAGCTTGGACAACCTTTATTTATTTAGGCCGGTGGCTTGCAGGGTTAACTGGAGCTGACTGGAAAGAATCCTTGCCACTGTCTGGCCCTCCAAGACCTGCCAATGTCAGATTAGTCTGTCCTGAGAGGGTGATTAGATTCTGACAGTGTTGACACGTGCAGAATAATAACACTATAGGTTGAACCTTGCCTAGCAGACAGTACATTGTCCTCCATGCTTGTATTGGAGTAGTTACGTTTTCGTGGGATCCACCAGGTGAGGAGTGTCGATAACTGATCCAATTGAAATCTATGGCAAATTGAAGAATATTGCAACAGTGCAATGCATCTTTCTCAGTGGAAATATGCATTAGTCGAGTCTAAATGTAAGAATGGTTTGAAGGTACAACACTGCCACACTTAATTAAAAGTAGTTTATCTGTGCTTTTCAAAATACTAAATACTTTGATGTACAGTATTTGGCAATTTCAATATTAACAATTCTTGTCAGTGTTGATTTAAACATATCAGCATTTTACACTGTTGCCGAGTTAGGGTGGGTTTAAGGTATTGTTTTCTTAAAAATATAAAATGCAGCCCTTTCTGTCTCCTTCGTGCCTCAATGGTTTGCAGCGAAAACCTGCTGTAATTTCACACCAGTACGAGTGTCCCGTCCCCAACAATCTGACTGAAGTCTGTTCAGGTGTGAAGTAAAAGTATATTCTGTAATAGTTTTGTTTGCTGTAAAATGTGTGAACGGTTCTGCAATTCTGGAATCCGTTTAGACTTTCCTTTTTTTTCCTGTGTGTAGCAGCTAGCTTTGGGACAGCATCGATGAGCATGCCCACAGGGTTTGGGGCTCCAGCCGGGTATACTCTCCCCACCAGTTTCAGTGGTGGGTTTCACCAGCCAGTTTTCCCTGCCCAGACGACCTTGCCTCAGCATTCGGGCTTCCCGCAACAACCAGTCGGTAATGCCAACACAGACCTTCCTGTTAGCTAGTCCTTTCTGTGATCTTCTGTCTTGTGTGTTATTCTGGTTAAATCTCTTCTCCTGTCCCTTCCAGTTGGAGGATTCGGTTCATTTGGACAACCAAAGCCAATGGTCATGCCATATGGTCAACCAGTGGGACCATCTGCACTCTCTAGTAATCCATTTCTGGTAAGTGTTTTGTTCGAGTCCACAGAGATCCCGTAAAAGAAATGTCTCATTGAATTCGTTTTTAGAAGCTTAATTAGAAAGTACACGCTCACAAAAGCAATGGCTGCCTCCTGGGTGCCGTACACGGGAAGTGATGTGAGTGGTGACCTGACAACATGGAAGTACTGACTGGCCGACACGTGTGTATAATGAATGATCTGACTTCATGAGCCCAAATCATTACGTTATATAATGGGATCTGACTATAGAACCTGTTCTACGTACGGCGCAGTTTATGGTTTTAAAAATTGCCGCGTATATATATTAATGGACTTTTTCTCTCTCCCTTTATCTATAGGCTGGAGCTCCAACAGGGCAATTTCCAACAGGAAACTCTTCAACTAATCCCTTCTTATAGCCCGCCTGGTCCCTGTGAGGAGTGTGTTGTTGGCAAATGATGTCTCCACGCCTCCTGCACAGTTGTCCACCGACCTTAGCTTTAAACACAAGTTTCTTAAAGCCTGTATTTTGTATAAAGCAGGGCAATAAATGCAGAAAAAAGGAGGTGCTTCCCTCGCACCTTTATTTAACTGTTATTGGGCAAAGGGTTAAAGATGTAGCCGCATCATGTATATTGAAATTGGCTCATGTTAAGTTATTGCAAATCCCACTTTTCATTGCTCTGCAGTACTGTACATATTTTTTCTTAGGAATGTAGCTATTTGTGCATATCAGTATTTGTAATTTTAACACATTTATGTGAATGTGGAATGTTACTGAGCAAGAACATCGCCAGTACCTATCAGGATGAATTTGCTATGGGGATGATGGCCTTTTAACCGAACGAGAAGTTTTATTAATCCAGTGACCTACCCCGCTGAAAAAAAAAGGTTTGGTTTCTTTCTCAGATGAAAGCTCTCTAATTTATACCATGAGTAAATGTAGAAAACGGCACTTCTTCTCTACCTAATAACAGAGATCATGTTTTGCTACAAAGTTTGCAAGTGACAAAATAAATACAGTATTAGTAAAAACAAGTCTGCAGATATTTCTTTTACACCTACTATGTTCTATTACCTACTGTGTTACAATATTCTGTACATTGCGTGCTATTGATTTCTAATTTTTTTAATATACTGTAGCTACGTTACAGGCAATAGAACTACAGCTCCTAAAGGCTTTGCAAGACTTTCCCTCTTTCAGCAGAAATGAAAGAAGACTGAGTTAAGCGCTGAAGTGTTTTCTGAGGGGGCAGTGGAGAGGCAGGAGAGCCCCCACCATTTTTATCAGGAAGATGTCATTCGCAAGTAACTAGCTGATTAAATTCTAAAGCAATTTCTGCCCTACTCGGTGCAAAGTACACCGTTTGCTAATGTTACTAAACTGCTGGCCTCACCTCTATCCCCTTCCCCCGTTGTGTACAGTTAAATACATGAGAAAGCATTCCTCAGTTTTCCTACCCTCCGTTATATCTTCCTATCATTGTGAAGCAGAGTTCACCAACGTTTACTCACTAAACGAGAACGTAAGCTGGGTTTAGACCAGTGGTGGCCATACTGTGGCCCGGGGGCCATCAAGAAGTGGCCTCCTGAGCGTTCATACAAGTAAGCGGTGTTGGATGGGTCCTGTGGGTTCATTTTTTCTTGACTGAATATTTTGTAATTTATAATAATAATAATCCTTGCATTTGATATAGAGCCTTATCACATCTTCGGGAGGTCTCAGAGAGCCTCACAAAATCTACTGCAAAGCGTGTGGTCTGCATATCGTGCGGGCGAAACACGGCAGCCAACCGCGCACAGCAGTGCCCCACAAAGAGCCGAGGAACCGAGCAACCAAAGACAAAATAGTGTCACAAACAGGGAAAGAGCAGGTGAAAATTCAGGCCATAAATTTATGGCATAAATCATGAAATATTCAATCAATAAGAATTTTGGCCGACCATAATGGCAGGGCCACCACTGGTTTAGACCATTGTGAGACGGGTGGTGTTAATCTAACTGAGGATGTGTTGTTCGATGACAGTTCGATTGCAAGCTTACAATAAACCCAATAGAGTAAAACGACTATCGGAAACAATACGTGGTCAAAGTCATAACGCTGTAAGAGTTCTATTATAATTGAGAAACATGTAAAAGGTCAACCCGCAGTGCTAAACACCCACCAAGGATTGACGAGAACAGGAGAGAAGACAAAATAATCCAAAAACAACACAGCGAGAGCACACTGAGTTTCGGTTTGATAAGCCTGGGGCTTATGAGAGGAAGGGAAAAGCCGAGAGAGAGTTCTCAAAACATTTAAACAAAACAAGATAACTCCTGAGCCACTCATGAAGCAGGAACAGAAGCGCAGAGAAAGTTGGTAAAAGGATGGAAAAAATTAAAATTAAAGGAAAGATCCTGTTCGCAATCTAGCTGAATGTCCAGCTGGAATTCGGCTAGGGGGGACTTTGGGTTAAAATGGTTAATGATAAACCAACTTAGAAATCTGTACATTTTTGCTCCTTATTCATTGCCCTGAATGACTTATTTAGCCTTGTGCTGAATAAACGGTTCACCGCTGATCCTCATTACAGATCGTCTCCCTCTCAGAACTGCGTCTGTGAAGTATGCCGTCTTGGCGGCATGTCATTAAAACAAATTTAAACAGGTTGGAGAGACGAGATTCCGTTACGGTTCGATCTGGTGCCTCCTCCTACTCGCAAGTCAAAATTTCAATGATTCATTTCTGTCCTAATTACAATCTCATTAACTGAATCAGGTGAAGCTGGTTTCACACTGAGCATGCTCAGAACTGGTTTAAAGTCCACGTTTTCAATGATAAAAGGGATTGTCAGACTCTCCCTAGAAAAGCAGCCGAAAAGTTAGACCCAAAAGATTTTGCTCCTGATCCACTGTGTGCTGTCAGCATGCCGTGGTGTTGCAAGTTCATGGGCTGCTGGAACAAGGTACAAGGCACTGGATGGCTTTACCCCACAATCCTTCTGTGCATCTTTGGATTCTTCTCATTGATGCGACCGTCAGAACCATTTCTTGTACCCTACCTTGCCGGACCTGATAAAAACCTAACTACTGACCAGGTATGTGTCTAACAGCATCAATTAAATAGGAAGAAAAATGTCCCATGATTTATGTATTTTTCTATAAATGCTGCGGCTAAATGAACACTTATTTTACTTCATTCGTGACCAGTGTTTCGCTAAGAAGCTATAGAGTAAGGAGAGACATAGGAAAATCTGTCACAGGAATTGAGGCGAGCATTGAGGAGCATTGACTTGATAAAACGTTTTATTAGTCTCTGTTCCGCTCTCATTCTTTTGTCTTCAAGTATATTGAGCTTTTTTTTGTTAGAGCAGAAAAACTTTCAGATGATTTAAGGATAGTCCTGATTGTTTTATAACTTTCTTTTTTTGCTGTCATAGTGTCACGGAGCTTGGTATTTTATACCCCATGCTTCAGTGATTAGAGTTGGGGCTTCTTGAGTCAGGAGAACAAAACCAGTGTCCTATTTATATTAACAAATTTAAAATATACACTTCTCAAAATAACTTTCAAATATTTAATGGAACAAGCATATATTTTGACGACATCCCAAACATAGCTTTAAGGTAACCTAGCAGCCCCAGGCCACCTCACATATAAGGAACACAACAATTCAAAATGTACAACAACGGGAGCAAACACAACGAAAACATACGACTACAACAAAAAATAACAATAATAACATTTGATATAGCGCTTTTCACATCTAGCTATCTCAAAGCATCTTCACAGAATATACTGTAAAGTGAATTGACTGTATTCTTGAGGGTGAAACACGGCGGCCAATTGCGCACAACAGTGTCCCACAAACAGTCATGGATTGAGGTGACCAATTTATTATTGCTTTTTTTGAGGGATTATTATTAGGCGTGTGGAGTAAGGAAACTTGCCCAAGGTTTCGCCCTTTTCCACGCTAGCCCCCAGGTGTTATTTTTCTCTCTGCAGGCAGGCTGCTTTCTTCGTCCTTGTTAGCTTACTCCCAATCCAGCAGCCCCGCATCTATATATTGTTGCAATCTCATATAGGCTGCTTATTAAACTCTGCGGCAAGCAGCTTCTGCAACTTGGAATCTGCCAGGTATGTCGTACCCATTTAAAGGGGCAAGGCTTCCTTGATCATGACACCACCACCCTCACAATAGTATTCCAGTGTTATTGAAGTCATGGTAAACCTGTAGGTTTAGATTCAGTGATAGATAAAACTCTGCTTCCAGATCCTTACCATTTGACCTCAGTATATTGTTAGTTTGGGATCAGGAATCTCGCTGTGAAATGACTATTCATCGACTATAACATTGGGAATTACATTATTGTGTACCATTAGCTGAAGGGCATTAGAACGAGCTATTAAATGAGTCCCTTGGAGCACTGGCCCACACCACTTAAAGGAGAGTTGTCCTTTTTGTATATTCATTCCAAAATTTACCTAAGAAAAAAATGCAAAATGGTTTATTCTTCCATTCAATTTTATTCCATTTGTATTTTTTCAAGTTTTAATACAGTTGTGCGCAATTGACTGGCTACTACGTTTCACCTACAGAACAGTCAATTCACTTTACAGCAAATTCCGTGAAGCGGTTTAAGACATCTCAACGACGTGATAAGGCGCTATATCAAATGCAAGGATTATTATTACGATGTAAATTTTTAACAAAGTTATTTTCTCCATTCACTTTCAGATTACCAACAAAATACTGCCAATATGGACGTATTCTTACTTAGTGATGCTATTTCCTGTCTTCTTAGCCACAGACTATTTAAGATATAAACCGATTATCATTTTACAGGGAATTTGTTTCATTATCTCGTGGCTTCTGCTCCTCTTTGCACAAGGTGTCCTGGCCATGCAATTCCTAGAATTCGTGTATGGCACTGGCTCAGCCACTGAAATTGCTTATTATGCTTATATTTACAGTGTTATTAGTTCCGAGCATTATCAAAAGGTGACCAGTTACTGTCGAAGCATTACTTTAGTCGGATATACTGTTGCCTCAGTCCTGGCACAAGTTTTAGTTTCTGTTGGAAATGTGTCGTATTACTACCTTAATGCCATTTCACTGGCCTCTGTGTCTGTGGCTTTCCTCACTTCCCTTCTGTTGCCAATGCCCAGTAGAAGCATGTTCTTCCACAGAAAAGACGAGGCAGTGAAGTTCGATGTCCCACCATCAGTGGAGGACTTGAATGCAGAATCTGAGAGCCCTGGTCCTCAAAGCAATGTGCATAGGAAAACTTCCTCACAGCCATCAGTAGCGTCTGATGAGTCAGTGTCTCAGTACAAGGACAAGGGTTTGTTAAAGGTCCTCCTCCAACTGTGGTCTGATTTCAAAGAATGTTACAGCTCTCCACAACTGCTCACCTGGTCTATCTGGTGGGCTCTAGCCACATGTGGCTACAATCAGATTGTGAATTACATACAAGTGCTATGGGACCATATTGAGCCATCCGAAAATGCCATGGTGTACAACGGTGGAGTGGAAGCTGCAGGAGCACTTTTGGGTAAGTCGGACAATAACTCATCATCTTTATCGTAAGCTTAAGTATCCATTAATCTAATATACTTTTCTTGTACTGTAGATTGATATCATGTTGGTGAGAATGTGAAAAGAGAGGGTGTTCATTTCATGGCTTTTTAGGGACATGGCTGTCCACAAATTGGCTACTTTACTACACTTTACAGAAAAACAAAAAGAATATCTTTGAGATGTTTTAATGTTGTAGGGTGCAATTTCAAATGCAAAGATTATTACTATCTAATCACACTAATTAATTGTGCGTGTGTGACTAATTAATGCTCTTGTGTGTGACGTTTTTGATCACTGTGCTTAAGAGTATCCAAACCGAGCTGAGAATTCCATGCATCCCACCTACAAATTCCAGAGATAGATTGTTGGAATAATAATAATCCTTGCATTTGATTTAGCGCCTTATCATGTTTTCGAGATGTCTCAAAACACTTCACACAATATACTGTAAAGTGAATTAACTGAGTATTTTGTGGGCAAAACGCGGCAATCAAATATGCACAGCAGTGTCCCACAAACAATCATGGTTTGAGTGACCAAATTATTATTATTTTTTTTGAAGGGATGATTACCCTCGGAAAAGCGATCCACTAATCAACTAAAAACTGAGTTCCTACTTACTACGAGGTAAACAAAGGCATGTGGAGTAAGGAAACTTGCCTATCGTTTCACCCTGCCCGGGAATTGAACCCATCCTGCTTACCTAATTCTGGAAAGTATTAGGTGGAAAGACTGGCAAGAGCAAGGATTGGGGACTCCAGAATGTGCATTGGGGTACTGCTGGTGTCTAACTAGCTAAAATATTGCTGTGCGGCAAAATATTGCTAACCATTAATATTGCTGTCCGGCAACCTTTTCAGCGGCTTGTCCAGCTAGGACCACCCTACCCATTAGGGCTTTGGCTTGCAGGGTTTACAGGAGCTGAGTGGGATGACTCCCTGCCCCCAGTGATTGGTCTGCCCTTCTAGGGTCCCTCCGATGAGCCAGGCTGGCTGTTCTGTCATCAGCAGTGCCGTGGAGTACCCGTCTGGCTCAGGCCTGGATCGATTCACGCATTCCGTTGCCAAGCATGTCACCTTGGAGCCAGTTCAGCTCCAAGAAGATCCCACTTACACCCCCACCCCACCTCAGGAGGATATATCATTAAACAAAGGACAAAAGTGGAATATTAACTTTGCATTTGACTTTAGGGTTGTTGGCTACATGGCTAACCATTATGTGGTACAATTGCTTCTCATTCTGTTCTCCAGGTGCTGCTACCTCATTTGCCGTGGGCTATGTAAAGCTCGACTGGGAAGTTTGGGGTGAGCTGGCCTTGGGTATCTTCTCAGCAGTGAATAGTGCTGCTTTATACACCATGGATCAGGTCGACAATATCTGGGTTTGTTACGCAATGTACGTTGTGTTCAAAGCCTCCTATGTTCTGCTGATTACCATAGCCACGTGAGTATGATACTGTAACTACCTAGGCAGAATAACTACTGTATTAATGTAGGAAAAAAAGTGAAAAATAAAATAACAGGGATTTAGAAAGTAAGGATAAAGGTAACTGGACACTAAGCAACAGACTGAGGACTGAGTTACTTTTCATCCTATAATAGAACTTGTATGTGAATACCTACACTGTCTTGTGCTGCGTGCAGACTATGATGATCTCAGGTGGGGCAGCAGTTGGGCTGCTACAATAGGCTCATGATTGCTATCCAAAGACCACAGCCAGCAAATGTGAATGCATGGACATTGGTTAAGAACAGGATTGGGCTTGGCAATAATTTTCCCCCCTAGTCCAAAGGTTTGTCTACCCATTGCCAACACTCACTGTCAACACTCACGCATGAGGAATGGATGCTTGGGTGAAGTACCTTGAACCTAAAAGAATCATATAACTCTGATGAGCGCTGGGAGTTTCATAAAATATTTGGTGGTGTTTCTTTGCTTGTGAATTTCTCCCTGGATGTTCAATCTCTCTACTCCTCCATAGTTTTCTTGTCAGTATATATTTTTTTTAATTCAGCTTATTGCATGAAATGTTTCCGAAAAGGACAAAATTATTTTTTGCATACATTTTTTTTTCCCCCGTGTACATTTTATGTTGCTCGTTAACAAGTCTTTGTTTTCTGTATCAAGTTTCCAGATAGCGTCTAATATGAGTATGGAACGCTATGCTCTGCTTTTTGGCATCAACACGTTTATAGCTCTGGCTCTTCAAACCATCCTGACTGTTATTGTGGTTGATTCAAGAGGCCTTGGTTTGGATATCATCACACAGGTAAATCAGAAATAATGTATGTAAGTGTTATTTGATCTACTATTAGCTATCTTATATTTATGCCTCCATTTGACCTCTCTCACCCAATCCCTCCGCCTTGCCCCCTCCCTCCCCACTTTCAAGTCCTGCTTAAAGACCTTCCTTTTTGATCGTGCTTACGGTCACCTCCACCCTNCCTCCCCTTCCTCCCACCCCACCCCGACTCGGGGTCAGATTCCGCCACTATTAAGTGCTCCAGGATGCTATCCAGCATGAAGGGCACTAGATAAATGCAAGTTGTTGTTTTTGGTGGTTTTTGCAATATCTGTTCTGTAATATGACGACCAGCACTACACCTAGTATTCCAAATGTGGTCTAACCAAGGTTTTAGATAGATTAATCTCTTGGGGTCACTCCTCAGTAAAGCTGTGAGGAATGAACACAAAGAAGCCGCTAGAGAACAGAGCACGAGTGCCTGGAGAAAAATGGGAGGTGCCAGAGGATGGGGAAGAGCCACATGCAAGCTGTAAAATAGGCCAGTGTCTCTGGTCTACTCATTCCTGCTGTCCTTGCTGAGGTGAGTGAGGGGCATAAACAACACCATGTCAATCAATTATGGTCCTAGGTTCATGAGCAAAATTGGGCAGTGCTTCAGGCAGTCTACTCTTTGGACTTTTTATGCAGAAGTAATTAACCAAACCAAATTGTGCAATCTACATCTTATTTGTAACAGGATCATTAAAGGTTAGTTGCTGATGGGTTTATAACTGGTCATTAGACAGCAGCAGACTGACCTTTGGTTTCCTTTTACAGTTCCTTATATATGGGAGTTACTTCGCTGTAATAGCAGGGATGTTCCTTATCAGAGGAATCTGCGTTATTGTTCAAAACAAGTGCAAGAGAAAGAGACAAATCACATCGGAGATCACTGAGGAAACCGCATCTCCATCTGGAAATGAGACAGACATCTCAGAACGCTTCTAAATCCATTGAAAATGAAGGCAAAATTATTTTCTTATGGTCTTAAATTTGTGTGCTCTTTTTACTGACACATTGACCACATTTCTGACAATGTCTTGTATTGTGCTACTGGTGTTGGTAAACAGCAGCATAGCAGGATATGTGTCGCTTTATTTTCTCCACCCCGCAAAATGCTGAATTTTACTGCAGCTTAGTTGTTGGGAGAGTTATTTTGTTTAATTCCATGCAAAATTTCCCAATAAGTGCAATATGTAATGTGCGCTGACCGATATTCCTTCTCAACTGAAATTAATTAACTACTCAACTCTTGATATAATAATCCTTGCATTTGATTTAGCATCTTATTGTCGAAACGCCTTAAAGCGCTTCACACGATTTTTATTCAAGGAGAGCATTTAGTTCCCGAAATCAGAATATGTTTGATTTCCCAGCACTAATATCCCTCACCTTGTTGCAAACCGAATGCCGTGATGCAAACAGTGGTATGGAATGGGAGTTGATGTTGGGTAGACTTTTGTAAAGCCCAAATTCTGAAAGGGGATGTGGTCATGGCTTCAGTTCTAAGGTTTACTATCTTAGAACTGGTCTTAACGTGAAGGATGTCTTAACGTGTAATAATCCTATAATAATAAAGCACATAATTAAGTGGGGGAAATAGTCTTTTTTATTTTTTTTTATATAAAGTGCAGACTTTTGATGTTCGGAGGAGTGGCAACCCTAGGTAGGATTGTGATGCTACCCATTTTTGTCACAAATGAATTGCTTTTGCAACTGGGGAAACAAACTGTTAATAATAATAATAATAATAATAATAATCCTTGCATTTGATATAGCGCTTTTCACGTCAGGAGGACGTCCCAAAGCGCTTCACAGAACACACTGTAAAGTGAATTGACTGTATATTTGTGGGCGAACAAATCTGTTGTCCTGAGATTAAGGCAATATCGTTGAGGGCAACCACTTGGCTTGTGAAAAAAAATATTGATCATTGATCAGCTCCAAGGCTCAATCACTTTGATTGACAGAGCAGCCAACTCAGGTTGCGTAGGTTGGACACTGGTCGTTGATTGGAGGACGGGTACGTCAGTCAAACGCACATGAAGGGGCGGGACTTTCTGTCTCGCCTTCAGCCCCTGGAAAGGGGCAGTTTGGGAAACCCCGCCAGCGCGGAGTGCTCCAGCGTTCACACAACTGAGGCTCTGCGCCGAGCCAAAAAAAAAAATAGTCCCTCCGGTTCCCACGATTAAACCCCACGGGGACCCCCCGGCTCGAGGGCCACAGCTCCGATCCGTCGGTCAACGTTTCGCCTCGCCGCAGTGCGCAGCACAGAGCGGTGCTGGGAGCGGGGTGACGCTTTTCCCGCAGTCCCGCAGCGCAGTTTGAGGAGAGACCGGAAGCGGTGCTTGGGCAGTGTATAAAAGGGACCTGCGGCGACATCGCTCTCCTTTTCAGTCGATCGCTTGTCTGGAAGATGTCTTGCGGCTCCGCAGATTACAGGTAACGGGAGGCCGGGGTGGCTCGGGGGCGCCGCGGAGAGCATCGGGACCTTTTGTCGCCGGACCTCGGATGCCGGTGTTTAATCAGTCCATGTCTGAAGCGTCGTCTCTTTCTGTTTATTTCCCGGGAGGGAGGAGAGCGAGCGAGCGAGCGAGGCCCGGGAGCGGGATAGGCCCGAGCGGTGTAACGGCTGTGCGCGGTGGGGTTGGGGGGAGGGGGCGCGGCCCCTGCGGTGAGGGAGGAATTGGGGAGTCGGCCGCACGGCGGTGTCGGAAGCCCTTCGACGCGTGACGCGGCTCGGGGGGGTGTGGGGGGGGGGGCGGGTGGACTCGTGGTCGGGCCCCGGCGGTAACTGCCGTGGGTGGCGTTGGGGAGTCCAGGAAACGTGTCGAAGGGGTGGGGGTGGGGGGGGGTATGAGGAGATTCCTTTAACTCTCCTGGAGAGGGTGATGGCGGTGGTGGTGATGATGATGATCCTTTTTTCTAAGCGCCTCATCACGTCGTTGAGACGCCTCGAAGCGCTTCAAGGAATATATCGTGAAGCCCATTGGAACGCGGCAGCCAATGGCGCTCAGTAGTGTCCCGCAAACAGTCGTGAGATTGAGTAAAACTTAAAAAAAAAAGAGACACCCGGGGATTGTGTAAATATATTGTGTTCAATATATCTGTCTGTATCAGACTAATATATAAATAATCCTTGCGTTTGATATAGCGCTTTTTTTCACTTCTGGACGTCTCAAAGCGCTTCGCAGAATTGACTAAAGTGAATTGACTGTATATTTGTGGGTGAAATATATATATATATTGTTTTTATACCTTTCTGTTTGGTGGCTCCGCCACCACGTGGTCCCCCCCCCTTCAACCAGCAAGAGTGAAATCACAAAAACAGACGCCTCGAAAGATGGACATCAAACTGATCTGATGATTGTCTCTGTGTTAAAATGTATATCGATCCATCCACGACTGGGACACTGCTGTGCGCTATTGCGTTTCATCCACAAAATCCAGTCGATCCACTTTACAGTATGTTTGTGAAGCACTTTGAGCCGTCTCAACCACATAGGGCGCTATGTTAAACGCAAGGATTATTATGTTTTATTTATTAGTCAATGTATTCATTGACTTCTATTTATTATTAATATAGCTATTATTTATGTTATAGTATTTGTTTTGTTATTACAGCAGCAAAGATCATGGGCCAGATGGAATGGACCCAGATGGTGTCATTGAAGTAAGTGATATATTCTATTGTCTACTGGTGCTGTGTCTGTTGTTATGGAGATCTTGGTGTTCTTGTGCAAAACTCACATTACGTTTTTTTATCTGCAGAGCAACTGGAATGAGATTGTTGATAATTTTGATGACATGAACTTGAAGGAGACCCTTCTTCGAGGGATTTATGCCTATGGGTTTGAAAAACCTTCTGCCATTCAGCAAAGGGCCATCATGCCATGTATTAAAGGTATTTAATATCTTTACAAGGTTTCTTACTGCAAATTGAAGGAATGCGTCCTTTGGCTTCATGTAGGTAGTCATGTAGTTAATTACTTTAGTATAGGCAATCCCTGATATAGTGCGTTTGGGGAAACTTCAATGAGCTGAAATTGAAATGTAGAGTGAAATGATGCTTACCATCTTTCGGGACTGACCTGATATGGAGATACATTACTTTACTGATCACTCTTCATTCATGAATCAGTAGGAAAACATAGCACTTTATGCTATAGATTGAGGACACAGTACAAATTGCATTTATAGTACATTTTTCAAACTGGCAAAGGTATTGTACCATTATCTAATTCATGTGAAACACGCAATACGTCTCTGTTGCATTGGGGATATTATCAATATCCTCCAGCTAACTAGTTGAATTAAATATGCAACTATTCAAAATGGCTCAGTTTAAAGTAATTTGATTTTATTTGTGTCAGGCTATGATGTCATTGCTCAAGCTCAGTCTGGAACAGGCAAAACAGCCACCTTTGCTATCTCGATCCTGCAGCAGCTGGAATTAGATATGAGAGAATCACAGGCTTTGGTCCTGGCTCCTACCAGAGAGCTGGCTCAGCAGGTATGAAATAAGGTTCGAGTATATCTAGCAACAGCATAGAATTTAGTGCATGGATCCCTGCAAAGCAGAGCTGTGTTTGCTGAAATTTGTCAGGATGGATGGATTTTAAAGTAAGTTCAAGTCTATGAACTTCAGCATAATGCTATAATTGAGGATTGGTTTGATGTACAATTTCTATTTTCTGCGCTCTTTTTGTTTAAAATATAGTTCTATTACTTAACACGTGCCCAAAGGCTAGTTCCTTTTCCCAACTGAGTGATCCCTGCTGGAACGTGTTGATGTTGGGTTAGGATGTGATTTCACAGTTGGGATGGTGCCAAAGTCACGTCATCTGCTAAGCCATGAAGAGTGGACAATTGGACGCTTGTGGAATTGTATCCTGGCATGGGTCGCTACCTTTAGGAGATGAGAAAATGGAGGGAGTGAAATGCATGTTAGGATTGAAGCCAATATCCAAGATCTGTTACTGATACGCAAAAAAGGTTAACACTTGGAATTAATATGAATCGGACATAGATATAGGTCAGCAGGGAAGTTGCTGCATTGGTTTTTGGTGCTCTTCATTCTTGCAGAAATTAAACCATTTTGAATTTGTCTTGGAACATGTGTGTTGATTCATGCAAATACCAATTTTCTCCCCTCCAAGGTACATGCTGGGGTAGAATTCCATGATTGCTGGTAGCGTTCCAGTACCTTATCGAAGTGGCCATTTCATGTGAGTGTTAGTTGGTTGTTTGACCATGGAGGGTGTCACAACTCAACCCAGGTCTCGCTTTATGCACACATGTGCTTTCCAGCAAGGGTTACAGGATTGGGATTGATATAACATTTTGCGAAAAATAAATGTGAGTTGTAGTAAGATTAAATATTACATTTGTATTTTACTTTGTAGACTTTCCAGCTGTAGGAAATATTTTGATATTGTTTCAACATCACCTGTTTTGAAGCAGATGAACTTTTATATCAATGTTGTTCCTGCTATTCAACAGGTTTCACTGAAATAGTGACTTTTGTGTTTTTTTTGCTGGAATGCTGCTATTTAGTGCAGGGATTTCCTGTTCTGTACTCCCATTCTCAGTCTTCATATACTTAATTTCTGTTTACCTTTTCACTTTTAATGCCTTGATTTATGCTTTGGTAACTTAAGTGTTTGATATATGGTATCAGAATTAGGCACTGCTAAGCAAGATTTTCAATGATCTGAGAGTCCCAGACGATTGGCATATCTTGTAACTAAAGCGGAAATGTAATTTCTTTTAGATCCAGAAGGTAATCCTTGCCTTGGGGGATTACATGGGCGCGTCTTGCCATGCCTGCATTGGTGGTACGAATGTGCGAAATGAGATGCAGAAGTTGCAGGCAGAAGCTCCCCACATTGTTGTAGGCACTCCAGGACGAGTGTTTGACATGTTGAACAGGAGATACATATGTGAGTACTGACTCCTCTCCTCTTTCCCCCTCCCCCGATAAAAAGTCTGAAGAGTGAAATGATGCTTTACCATCTTTCGGGACTGACTCGAAATGGAGATAACAATTTTTTTCACTGATCACTCTAAATCTGTTCTATGCTTGAATAGATAATATGGGAAATAGACAAAGAGACAGCTTCCAATTCCTTTACTTGGTGGCTCCTGCTTCATGTGATATAGGAAGGAACACCTAATTTAGGACTGGTCAATAAGCTGGTCCAGAGCCAATCAACTCTGGGAATATCTGACACTTTCCGGTTGGTCCTGCGCTTTCCTTTCCCAGAGTTGATTGATTCAGGTTGGTGTATCTGCTTGTCTGTAGCACCTGCTGTATTTGTGGAACTGTTCACTTTTACTTGTGTTGGGGGAGATGGATTCAAGTTACAATATTCACATGAATGCATCTCAGACAAAGGGTACTCTAGACTATTTCCTGTTTAATAGAAAGGGGAATTTGATTGTTTTGGCAAGATAAGGTGGAGTAGTTGGATATCTAAGCTTTCACGTTCTGAAATAGTTTAATGATGACCAAATGTTGTTGGGGGTCCAAATTATACCAGGATGTGGCCAATGGGTCGCGGGTGGTGGTGCTTTTGAAGCATTTTTAAAGATGCAGCTCTTAACAGGTTTAAACCACTTTTACAGCTCCTAGATGGATCAAGATGTTTGTTTTAGATGAAGCTGATGAAATGTTGAGTCGTGGATTCAAGGATCAGATTTACGAGATATTTCAGAAGCTGAGCACAAACATTCAGGTGAGCTCATCTGGTGTAATGGGAACACCACGTCAAGTGGGGAGGGAAGCTAACATGTTTTCTATACATGTTTCAATAAGTGGGTGAAATTGTGAAGTTTAGCCATTGCTAATTATATAATTTGCCTTCCTATTTAAGCAATCTGCTAATATTGTGAAATCCATATTTTATGGCTTTTGCAAACATGCTAGTAGATTACACCTGGGAAGGAAAGAAAATGCACTGCGTCGGAAATGAGGCAAGGGTGGACCTCTTTCTTAATGTCCAGTACCCTTTGCCCCGAGATTCTGTGCAACAGTTTCTAAAATAAACCACTGCTTGGGGGAGTTGAGGTGAAGAGCAATCAAAGTAAACTAGCCAAATAACTTTCTATTTCTCAGGTGGTTCTGTTGTCGGCTACCATGCCTATTGATGTCTTGGAGGTTACAAAGAAGTTTATGCGTGATCCTATCCGGATTCTTGTGAAAAAGGAAGAACTTACCCTAGAGGGTATCAAACAGTTTTACATCAATGTGGAAAGAGAGGTTGGTGTTGGATATTTTCTACGTTCTTAAGAATCCTTTTTTGCATGTATGTAAGGAAATATTCCTGGGATTAGAGAACAGCAAATGTAGCTAGGAGATAAACTATTAACTGAGCTGCTATAGTCTGCCTATAATCCTTACGGGGACCTCTTCTGTAATTCTTTACAGGAATGGAAGCTAGACACACTCTGTGATTTGTACGAGACTCTGACAATTACACAGGCTGTGATTTTCCTTAACACGAGGAGGAAAGTTGACTGGTTGACTGAAAAAATGCATGCGCGGGACTTCACAGTCTCTGCTTTGGTAAGGGTTATTTGGGTTCAAGATTTGTATCATCACAGTAGGGATGATTTTGCTCCAATTTTTAATTATTAATTTACTACAATGGAATGCTGAGAAGGGTTACTATTTTTAATTATGCCAGGGCTCTCCAAAGATTCCTTGCCATTCAGAGATTGACCAGAGCAATTTGGTTCTTAAGGAAAATTGCAGTTCAAGTCAAGTTTGTGTATTCATCGGGCGCAGTAACTCCAGAAATGAAGCCTCTCATTGTAATGGTTTTGATTCAATACAGCACGGTGATATGGATCAGAAGGAACGTGATGTGATCATGAGGGAATTCCGCTCTGGGTCCAGCCGTGTACTGATCACCACCGACTTGCTGGTATGTATTACTTGTGCTGAAATAGGAACATAGGCTATCCTTCATTCCTTAGTTTTTGAAACTGGAGTCTTTTTACAAGTTTTGCTGAAGTGTTTCACAGTTCATTTTTAGAAATAGATTTAATTTAATTCATTTTGTTCAATTATTCAATGCTTATTCAGTTTTCAAACAGTATTCCTTGGCAAGAATTGGATTCACTTTTCTCTCTTTGTCCCAATAAAAAGCTGAATAGCAACTTATAAAGTCTTTCAACTTTAGATGGGGGAGCCTTATAAAGCTGTAGCTGTTAGGTTTCCAGGGAGCAAACTCATTTTAAAAAGATGAAGTGCATGGTAGCCACATGAGTACAGTGGGAAATCATTTAGGCTGCTCTGTTCTGCTTGAATTAAACGAGTTGCCTTTATTAGTGAGTTTGAAATTTGGGTCATGGCAAACGGATTGAACTGTAAAATGGGCTGAATTCTGTTCTACCTTCCTATGATTGGCACCAGTTTCAAACAGTGAATTGGTATGATTAGTTTACATGTTTCAGAATGTATTCCAAGATGAGTCTTTCCTGACTTCTGACCGTGGAAGTGTTTTTACGGTCTGGACAGCTACTGCGAGTTAAGTGGAGGCACTTGGCTGAGACATATGGTTATATATTTCTGTAGGATGCTAATTCAGCTATTTTTTTGCAGGCTCGTGGCATTGATGTACAGCAGGTGTCCCTGGTTATTAACTATGATTTACCTACTAATCGTGAGAACTACATTCACAGGTCAGTGCCTTTAATACTAAGTGAAATTTCAATCTGAAAGCATTGTGCTCCGACTGATAGTCAAATGAATGTACTTTAAACCAAGGACGATGTCTCTTTAACCACAGGATTGGGCGCGGTGGCCGTTTTGGAAGAAAAGGTGTTGCTATCAACTTTGTTACTGAAGAGGACAAGCGAATTCTTCGTGATATTGAAACATTTTATAATACAACTGTGGAGGAGATGCCCATGAATGTGGCTGACCTGATCTAGATGGCATGAGATTTTTACATTTGCAGCTGCTGAATTATCAGACTACATGGTGCGTTGTGCTGCTTCCAGAGTTGTTGATTCTCTTCTCCCATGTGCAAACCGGATCAGAAATCCAGCCTTGTGAATAAGTGACTTGTGAGGACGGCCGTAGGCTACAATCCTCTTTAAGAGTTGAGACTGCTGGGGTGGGAAGTTTTAAGTCATGGGGTCTTTACGTTTACACGCCCTTCAGTGTTTTGCAAGTTCTGCAGTAGTGTTTTTGTTAGATATTCTCTATCATTTAATAGTTTACTTATGGACTAAAAAGTTTAAGTGCTGTGTTAAATCAGCCAATTATGTTAAGTTGGCATTTCTACAGTTATTTTAAAATGAAACTTGCCAGTTAACTGGTAAAGGGTATATGCACTTTCTAGAGTATTTCTAGAGTAATTAATTTTTTTTGCATACAATAGTTGTAATTAATAAAGTGTTCAGTAAGTTGTGCAGAGATAGTAATGCTTTGATATGCACAGTCTTGTCTTCCCATACAGAGAACTGCATTGTTAGATTGTTGTATACACGTGTGAAAGTTTACAGCACTAATTAGCAGAGAAGCTGGATATTAATTGTTAGTATTTTTGTAAGGTAGCCCTATTTATTGTTTGTACCTGGTCTAATTTAATTTATTGTCAGCAGTCTTCTTATTCCAAATCTTTTTTGTTTCTGTAGAAATTGAGCTGCATCTATGTGAAATGTAACCTGAGCTTTCAATCCTTAAACCATGTTAGTCTTAGATACTTCTGGAGAGTGTAAATGCAGTGGTGGTGTGCATTTTATAAGACTTGTACAATCAGGAGTACAGCAAACAGATTGTTGGCTCATGTAGTGTAGCTTAATGTGTTCCTACCAACAGAACAGTTTAGCTTCTAACCCCGCGTAGGCTTTAAAGGGGTTTATAAACTCATTTCAATATGAATAGATGCCTCACCTGCAATAGTAACTGGTGCTTCCCTTGTAAAACTGGTCCTTTAGCAGAGTGATGGCAGCATAAAGTGTTTCCTGATGCTTAAATATTCTACACTAACTTCCAAGCTATTACTGAAGATTTGGCTTTCATTCAGCATACATGTTGTTAGCAATAGTGCTGGTTATTTTCACCCCCACAGGTCTTCTAATATTCCCTTGGGAAAATAATCGTTTGTAAGATTTGTCTTGTTTATCTCAAACATTAAATAGTTTATTGCTAAATGTTTTGATGTGTCCTTTCTTGAGTATCTGTCTGACTGGGTTCTATTATGCCTCTCTTTAAAAACCCTAGGTTTACCAGATTGGTAAAAATGTCTTAAAATAAAACAGATTCCAAAACATTACCAGTTGTCCAATAATATTTTTATTACAAAATATTCAGCAAAATACTCAAGTCTACTTATTTATAGTGCAGATGCAATGGTGATTATTTATTTAGATCCATTTAATGAAAGAATTACTTCAATAGAAAGTATGAAAAGGTTTCACCTTGCATTAAAGAACCAGTAATAATACAAACTGTTCTGGTTGAGCTGGTGATCAGTTCTGTGTGAACTGTTGCATGATAACAGCACAAAGACCAATCACCTGTAGGAACTCGTCAGCCCCATCTGCCAAACACTTGTCAACTTCCTGGAAAAAACATAATAGCTAATTGAAGATGTGGATCTAGGATTTGAAGTAATTTTAGTAGCTGTGGTGGAGGGAAAGTCCCTACCCCATTTTTTCCATCTCTATAAAACTTACCCCAAAGCAGGGACTGATTAATTCTCAACAGTTGCAGCTCTGGGTGGTGGAGTAATTCTTATATTTTACATGTGTGGCCTGTCTAGTTATTAAGCAGGCTACAAAGATAGAACTCAGCACTCACTGAACACAAGTGATTTTTGAGCAATGTGATGAAAACAACCAGAAGCAAAATTTGCACTTACTGCGAGCTTTTCTGTGATTGCCGACTTCTGCTTGTCATTCAAGTCCTCCTTATCAATGATGATATCGTGAAGCTGGTTGATTAGCTGTGTCGCTGCATGACCTTCATTGATCATGTTCTGAACAGCAAAAACAGTTTAGCACAGAAAACAAGCAACACCAACAAACAGCAGACATTAACAGTACCTAAAGTGTGAGCCTAGACCACGTTGTCAAAAATCTTCCATGAGACTGGCATCAGAACTGAACTTAATTTGGTGTAACATCCATAAATCCTAAGGATGGAGATTAGAACTAAACCATGGCTCTAACTGCACACTGTTAGTCACGTTGATCTAATTAACAGACCTGACTAAATGACACGGGAGGCATTATCTGCAGTAGATATACGTGACTAGTTGCAAAAGGAGGCTATTTTTTTGGTTGACATCATTTCAAGTTGGGAGAAGTCCACAGGCAAAACACTTCAGGACATCTTTCGGACAATACTGAGGTCTTTATTGGTGTATGTTTCTTTGTTATACTCTAAAGACTAAACAAAGCAAAACTTTACCTTTACAACGGTTTCCAGTTTTTCAAATGAGCTACTGTAGCATGCAGCTATGAGGCCATCAATCATCTCAGCTGAAATCACCTGGGATAGAAAATGGAAACTTGCATTAAAATTTCAGAACGAATAACAGGCTCAATAACAAGATCATTGAGCTGTAGATCTCACGCAGCAAGTGGTGCATGAGATCTTGCATTGCAAATAAGCCATACTGTGACCAAGTATTAAACCAGATAAATCAGTGATGATACTTTAGTTCCTAGGTTTGTTTATCATACTAGCACAATCTCACATTGATATTGTCAATTCATTGCTTCAGTAATATCTTTCGTGCATTCCCTCAAACGACTAATACATCACCCTGGTGATACAGCTCAAAATGTTGTTCACAGTATCATTATTGATGCTGATAACTACAGAAAATGAACAAACACTGCAGAAATGTTTGCCAATGTAGGGTCATGTGAACTCCTGCCAAAGCACATACACATACATCCTTTATTCACTGCACAAAGGCCACAACCGATGACACTAACTGAATCTGACTGAATGAAATAGACATAAGCTGGACACCTTTGCAGACAGCATCTACCCAATCATGCATGAACACACGAGTCCATCTGATTTGCAATGCTTCATTTCAACATCGGATGTCAGCTTTATTTAAAACACAGAGCAAGCAGTTGTGGGACATTACGCAGAGTGAAACCTCGAGTTAAAACAGCAAAAAGGGTGAGGCAGCTCTGCGGGGGGCTCAGAGCATCAGAACCAATCAAACCCCCCTTTCCGATCATTTCTAAATGTAGATTTGTGGTTCACAAGATGAGTTTAGAGCATTTCAACTTTGTTCGTCATCGGAGCACCGAAAATCTACCAAATAACTGATCGCTCCTGATAGGTGCAAACAGAAAAAGCATTCTCCTACCCCAGCAATTTCAGTAATGACTTTCCCTGTGATGCTGTTTCCTCCCATAAGTCGCACTGAACACTGCAGGTACGTTATTGCCTTCCTCAGGTCTCCTTCCGAAACATTCACAAGAGTAGAGATTGCCTAGAGAGAGCCAGAGAAACATGATTAATCCCCACGCATTCTTCATCTTAAAACCAGAAATGATTAATATTAAATCCTGGGCCCATTATCATAGCTTATCACAACCACCTACCTCATCAGTGTATGTTACATTCTCCTTCTCACAGATGTCCAGCAACCTGCGTTCTTGTACACTATCCGCCAAAGGTTTAAAACGGAATTTAGAACATCGAGAGGTCAGCGGTTCAATTATCCTGAAAGACAGAAAGTGAAAGTTAGTGCTACCCGATCCCTCCCCCCACACAGTCTTGAGGTTTGAGTTTTCCATTGAAGCAAAACACATTTCATGACCCAAGCACACTAGAAAATGAAGAGTCAAGGAAAGTATTAACATGGGACTGTCATACTTTTGGAGGGACTGTCACTTAGATGGGTAATGATAAGAAATAGATTCAAGATGGAACCCATATATATCTCCCAGGAGAGGCAGCTGGATAGTGATCAAGAGTGCCCTAGACAATGTTCTGCTCTCTGAAACTACGGCCCATTGTAACCCATTCATACTGCTGCCTCAGCTGAAATCAACAACTCATTTCTGATTTGCAGAATTGAACTTCAGTTGTGTTTTTGGATAAACTTGCTGAGCTACCACATGAGCCAGTATTTTACTATTAACCTCAAGGGACTCTTCTGAAGACCCACTTAAAGAAAATAGAAAAAACAGAAAGCAATGCTGCACACATGTATTCTAATAACAATCCTTGTATTTGACAACAACAACTTGCACTTATATAGTGCCCTCCACGTGGGCAGCACCTCAGAACGCTTAACACCAGCGGTACCTGACCATAACCACGGTCGAAGGAAAGGGAGGTTTTCAGACGTGACTTGAAAAAGGGGAGAGGGGGCAAGGGGGAGGTATTGAGGGAGTGTTCCAGAACCTTGGGGTGTAGTGGCTGAAGCTCAACCTCCAATGGTAGAGCGGGGGTGCGAAGGACAAGCAGGAGGCCAGTGCCAGTTGAGCAGTGGTGCCGGGTGATGGTTTGGGGAGTGAGGAGGTCGGAGAGATAGGGAGGTGCCTTGGAGTGAATGGATTTGAATACAAGTGTGAAGATCTTGAAGTCGATCCGTTCGGTGATGAGGAGCCAGTGGAGCCTGGCCAGACCTAGTGAGATGGGGGAAACGAGGTTTGGTTCGGGTAAGTATGCTGCCAGCAGAGTTCTGAATGGAAATCTGACATAGCATGTTGGCAGGTCGTCGAGATGTCTCAAAGTAGTTCACAAGATTTTACCGTGGAGTATAGCGAGTGTGTATATTGTAGACAAACACAGTAGTTAATTTGGACACAGCAATGTCCCACCAAGTGAATAACCAATTTTATCTAGGGGACAACCCCCTTTCCAGATAGTGCATGGGATCTTTAAGATCCACCTGCAGTATTCAGAGCATATAACGTGAAGAGGCACTGTTTTCCCACCTACTGATATAGTTGCAGATGAGGCAGAAGCGAGTGGTTCTGGACTCTTTCTCCATGGTGCGCCGGAGGGCAGCCTGAGCAGCATTTGTCATGGAGTCCGCTTCGTCCAGGATGATTATTTTAAATGGTGGAGCAGTTTTTCCACTGGGTGAAAAACAAAGATGAAAAAGCGTTCAAATTGGATGAGAAAAGCTTCCAATGTCACCATTCAGGATATGTTAAGAAAAAATCTGCCCACTAACTGCTTTTAGTTTTGCAGAAAATGGCGACTCACTCTGATCGAGTCCCAGCCACAGTCAGCTGGGCAAAGTTCTTCACCTTTTCTCTTACAACCTGGATGCCGCGTTCATCAGAGGCGTTCAGCTCCAGAATTCGCTGCCGGTACAACTCAGGCCTGCAGGTGTCAATCAGGCGGGTTTAACGTTAGCACACATGCTCAAAGTGAAAGGCTCCATCATATTACACGAGTCTGAACATTCTCAGTACTTTGGGAAATCAAGGTTTCTCTCACTCGTCTGGATTATTCCTTACCTGTCAAGGAGTTGCCAAAGCCATTAGAATGGTCACACATAAAATTTTAGGTGAATTGGATGAGGGGATAGGACTGAAACACTAGACAAAAATTCACTGGCCTGCCCTTTTCCATAATAGTGCCATTAGCGGTCAGGCCTTGTCTTTCTGTCCCCACCCTTTAGAACTCCATTCTAGTCCATTCCCTGCGCTCTCCCTTGCCTCCTTTCAAGGGCTGTCTCAAGACCCTCCGCATCAACCAGTATTTGATAACATTCTTACCCCCACCCTTCCTGATCCCCGACGTGAAAGGCACTATATAAATGTAATTTGTTGTTGCCACAGAAGCTTTAACGTCCACCTGAAAATAAGTGAAATCCATCCAGCTTTATGTGAACCGTTTTTCTTCTAGTCATTCCAGGAATGTAAAATTCCACATCATCTTACCCAAAAAGCTCCCGTGCTGCAGCCAATATTGTGGAGGTCTTTCCTGTTCCGGGAGGACCATAAAACAGCAAGTTGGGAAGCTGCAACAAACCACAAAATAACGCTGGAAGTGATTACGGAAATGCTTACAGGCAAACTTGGCATTCCAGTGTGCTTCAACATCCTTTCACCTATGGAATCTGCATCTCAGTATAGCACTTGATTCCAAACCGGGGAGAGAGAGGGGAGGTAACCGGAGGCACAGTCAATCAGCAGTTGTAGATTCATAGAAAGTCCAGCTCACAAACCGACTATCTGGCCCATCCAGTCCAGCTGGTATTTAAACTCCACACAAATTGCCAATCCTCGATCCTATCCCTAATCCCACATCCCTCAACTTTATTCTTTAATTTTAACCATGTATCCAGTCTTTTTTCTGAAACGATGGTTATTAATTTATTCCATGAAAAGCTTATTGTAATCTCAGCACAGCTACTAATGGACACATGTCAACAGCATGAAATTGCTCACAAGTGGCACAAATGGGGAAACTCAAGACAATATCTGATCCTGAGTGCAACAAGATGTGGAGGACTACTTTTTCCCCCATATGTTGGTTATTGACATTTTCAACCTGTAAATGCATTAAATATGCAGTGCAAATAGAATCATCACGGGATTAGCTGAACAGAGGTCTGTGAACCTTTTCTTCATATCAGACAATCCATATTCGAGGAATTTCTAAATTTATACCTCACTTAGACCCCTATCCCATGTCAACGTCAGGCACTCACAATTCAGGAATAGCAAAGCTATAAGGAGCTTTGTGATATAAACTTGTATGGATTAAAAAGGTCAGCCATTTCAGTTAAACAATCCTTAGAATTTAAGAGGCCTCTTCAACAGTCAAGGCAGTTTGACCATTTTTGTAGAGCAATAGGAAGGTGAATAATCTGGGATGGGTGGTGCTGAACTGGAAATAATCAGTTCTGCTGATTTGTCTCATTTGTGATACTTACATCAGCTCCTTGCAGCGATTTTTTCAGCACAGACACAACTTCCTCTTGAAACGCAACATCATCCATACATTTCGGCCGACTGCAAACAAAAGTAAAAAAATTACCTACAAGACGGGCCTTGTTGGACACATCAGTTCAAGAGTGCACATGGTGTTGTACAAGTAACAGCTCCAAACTAATCTTACTAATCTCACCAGTCCTGACACAGTTGACAAGAACACAGCAAAAGATAGCAACTGAATAGGACTATTTGTCAATGCATCACCAGCCTGTGTCACCTTTTCACAGAAGAGACCACTTTAGATTAAGATAAGTTTACCAGATACTGCGGAATGCAACCTAGCCAGGTGTCAGCCTCTCTGGCATCTGAGTCAGAAGATTGTGGGTTCAAGCCTCACGTTGGGATGTTGAACAGTGCAGTGCTGGAAGTGTGCTACATTTTTGGAGTTGCCGTACTTCAACAAGGAGATGTTAAACCTGAAGCCTATGTTAAAGATCCCACAGCACTTCTCAAAAAGAAAAAGGTGTTTCTCCTTGTGTCCTGGCCAACAATCATCCAAATAAAATTGATCACTCACTTCATGGCTTTTTGTGGGACATTGCTGTGCGCAAATCAATTGCCACATTCATCTACAAATACACAGTCACTACACTTTACAGTAAAATCCTGCAAAACACTTTAAGACACCTCCAGTACACGATAAGGAGCATTATCAAACGCAAGGATTATTATATTATTATAGAGAACCAAACATACAGGGATCTGTACTGCATATAATTTTTTAAAAAACGGATAAGTTTCTCTTTCTCATCCCTTTTCTCCTCTCCCAAAGACATCTGTGGTACAGTTCCATAAAACAAGTCAATTGAGTTCCTGTCTGCTTGCTCAGATGGATGTTAAAGATCATTTGAGACTGCTCGAAAAGAGAAGGAAGCCTCTCCCAGCGTCTGGCCAACATACCTCCAGATTAATTGGTTGTTCACTTCATGGCTGTTTGTAGGATATTGCTGTATGCAAATTAGTAAGAGCGTTTGCAGATAAACAAAGGCAACACACTTGACAACACTGTGAAACATTTCTGTATCATAAGCACTATATCAAATGTAAGGATTATCATACTGTATATGCTTTAGTGTTATATCAGAAAGTGTCTTTACCAATTAGGCCATTGGAGGGTACTGAAGGAACAAGATATGAACCTTCAATTATAATAATCCTTCCTTTTTTGATATAGCGCTTCATCACATTGTTGAGATGTCTTAAATGTACTGTAAAGTGAATTGACTGTGTACTTTATGGGGGAAACATGGCAGCCAATTGTGCACAGCAGTGTCCCACAAATAGTTGTGGATTGATTAATTGATTAATGTCTTTTGGACATTACTATCTACAAAATGATTTGAACAATTGGGAGCGGCAGCATTTAGCAGTCTTCACACTTCATAGATCCTTACTATTTCTCCACCCATGGCATTGACTTTTGTTTCTTGCTTTCTCCGCTGCTCCCAGCTGCCTTTTCTTTTGCCGGTTTGATGCTGGTGGCTCCTGCTCCCTTCAGAAAAGCTTGCATTTTTCACCTTTTAAACACAACAATAAAGTTAAACCACAGAGGAGCATCTTGAAAGGGCCGAACGTGGCTCCCATGAGTTTAACCAGCTATATCCGCGCACTGTCTGACCGATGTCCCAAAACTACCCTTTGGGTAGGGCTTTGGCTCGCAGGGTTAAGAGGTGCCGAATGGAAAGTTTCCCCGCTCCTATTGACTGGTCTGCACTTCCAGGGTTGTGCTGATGAGCCAGACAGGCTGGTGTGGAGTATTGCAGACCTGCCGGGCTGCAGAACCGGACGACCAAGACAATAACAATAACAATAATCTTTGCATTTGACGCGGCGCCTTAACACGTCTCCGAGACGGCTCAAAGCGCTTCACAGAATATACCGTAAAGTGTGTCCGACTGTACCTTTGTGGGCGAAACGAGACAATCACCGAGGAGCGGCTCGGCCGCGAAGTTTGACTACCAAAGCGCTCCACCCCTCGGCCAGTTCAGCTCCAAGGAAACCCTGCATACCCTACCCGTCCCCCACCCCCACCCCCCCCCCTGACAAGCTGACAGTCACTAGTTGGTCCTTTGACATCAACACAGCACAGGTTGGAGGCCTCACTGTCAGGAACCAGGACACTGTCGGGATGGGATGGAGACCCCAGGACTCCATTGTGAGCGAAGCTACAAACTCGCTCCTCGGGCGGCGGCCTCTCGGCCCCGGGGTGTGGGGGAGGGGGTGGGGGGGGAGAGGGGAGGGAGGGGGTGGGGGGGAGAGGGGGTGTGTGTGTGTGTGGGGGGGGGGGGGGGGGGGGAATGAGGGGAGGGTGAGCGGTCGATACTCACGCGACGTATCGGCCGACCCCACCGAAACTTCGGGACGCAACCGAACCACAGCCTCCTGTCCCCGTCTCCCGCTCTCTCTCTCTCTCTCCCGGCGGCCGCCTGGCCCTGTGTCCGGCTCCACACCCCCCGGGTCCCGGCCGCCAGACTCCCGGCCTCTCCTCTGTTGGAATTCCCGCCACTCAGCCCAGTTGGGTCACGAGTTTCCGGTCCGGCGCCAAAGTTTCCGGGTGCTGCACCGGCTCTGACCTCAGGTTCCGCCCCCACTGTGTGTGTGTGTGTGAGAGGGGTTTCTGTCTCTCTTTATTCCAATAAATCCTATTTCCCAATAAATCTAAAACTGGCCCAGAAAGATGACGCTCGTCTTCTCCCTCTTCCCGCCCCCCCCCAAAAAAAATAAATAAATAATAATAATAATAAATTGGGTCGCTCGAGCCCCTGCCGTTCGCCGGACGGACACTGCTGTCCACCATTGGCCGCCACCTTCGGCTCACAAAATAGTAATCAATTGGACTTTTACAGTCTATTTTGTGAAGCGCTTTAAAGACGTGATAAGGCGCTGTATCGAACGCAAGGGTTATTGTTATGGTTGGGATTTTTTTTTTGGGGGGGGGGGTGGCTGACGTGTGTGTGTTTGCGTGGTGTCAGCGCCTCGGGACGTCCTCCCGACGTGAAAGGCGCTCTATAAATGGAGTCTTGTTGTTGTTGTTGTTGGTGGTGGTGGTGGTGGTGGGTGGGGGGAGAACCAGTTGCAGAGCCTATCGAACAGGTTTGAAGGATACGAACAAATGGATCTGAAAGGCCTCCTCGGTCCGCCTGTCTTGCGGCCGAGTTGGCAATACTGTACTGCACTGCACTGCACTGCACTGCCGGCCGGAGATCGGAAAGGTACCAGTTTCCACTCTTGGTCCGTAACTGATCTCAACCAAAGGCTGCGTTCTTTTTTTTTTTGGCCACAATCGGCCCTGGTACCCTCCTCGTCTGTATGGCTATTTTCACACTGAAGTATGTATTGTTCTTACCAACCGCACCATTATCGAGAGCGGAGATTACATTTTCGACTTTGCTCTTTGCAAACCAACACTTCGTCGGGTTACGGCAATAAAAAAGCAATGATTCGAAGGTGCAAAAGTTACATTTTAATACCATGATCTGCTAATACAGCTACAGTTCCCGGAGACAGGTATAGCATTACTTTCCGCTCAAACTTCAAATGGCTGAGCAAACACCATTATACAGTCAACCATGTTTCTCTCCGACACCGTTTACATTTATGGAATACTGTGCAATGTGTCAAGAGTCCAATATTCTTCTCCCCCTCAGTTATAACAGAACTTGTGCTGCCCATTGCACCCATTTCAGTAGAGATTACAAAAATAAGCAAATACAAAATTACTTTTCAAACATTTAAAACTCATGAGGTTCAGACAGCGCATATCTGATACTTTGTTTACAAACAGCTTTTTTTTAAAAAAAGNAAAAAAAGAATAGTTTACACATATATTTCCATTTCAGTTCCGGTGACACCAACAATATAGATGTTGTTTAAGAAGGTAAAAGGGGATTTCAGTGGACTTGTGCGAAGATTACATACATCATTGCATCCATTTTGGGTTGTTTTTCTGTCATTTCAAATGTTTCTTCAAGGTAGCTTTGCATACGCATTGGCACACTTTCCAAGGATTTTACTGCACTTCAGTCTCCTTAGTAGACCAGTGTCTACTTAAACAGGTCGTTAATGGAGACAAAACCTTTATACCTTTGTTATCCAGTGTCAACACAGGTGTAGCACATCTGATTTCCATATCTCAAGCTTACTCTATATTGCCTCAGCAACTCTTACCTATATCCCCGTTTGTCTGTCCCCGTGGCTGCTAAATAAGTGCCAAAATGACAGACACTTTGCATTCTCAGCCGGGCTCACACTGCACCCATTTTATTACAAGTGAGAACCAAAAGTGTGGGCTTAACGCAAGCCCTCTGGGTGAAATAGACTGTGGCTTTCAGCATCACACTTCCAGTGTAACTGCAGTAAACCTACCTGCAGTAAACCTACCAATCCTCACTGACTGAGATGTGTTTTGCATTGTTCCATCCGCTCAGTTACCTTAATAACTACATGTAGATTATAAAGTACCTGTAATGCGTAATGAAAATAGCAAAAGTTAACTATTCTACACTACCCTAATAAATGGGTCCATGTTTTTTGCATATCAAATGTGTGCAAGAACAAAAGCGATCACAGCATAATGAGATAAACTGGTTTCCTTAAGGTTTAACAGACTATTCTATCACAATACAGTTATTGACACAACTAGTTCCACATATCTAATTGTATTGGTATATATTACAGTGAAATACTGTGAGCTCAATCAGCAAACTAGCCTGACACCATCAAAATTAATTCTAGTCAGGCTTTCCCAGTGGGTAGAGATGCTGCCTAGCGTGCGTTGGGACTCCACAGAACCCCAAAATATCAGGTTTTATCCCAGCTCGGTGCAAAATCAATGGATTTGAGCCTGGGTGCTACAAATGGCCTCAGGTTCATAGAGTCAGGAGGGGCAGGGAGAAAAAGGACAGAAAAAAAATCAGACAGGCTTCAGCCAGTGACTCCTGCTGAAAAATGTGGATTTTGAGTGAAAACAAGATTGAGCTTGGCCGTGCTAAACTCCCTCCACTTCCCCGAGGCAAATATCCCAGACATATCATCAAGACCACTCACTTGGGCAAGGCATATCGGGGCTGTTGGAACCTCTGTATCAGTGTCCTAGCAGGAGTTGGTTTATAATCAAATATGATCAAATAAATGTGACTGACCATCAGTTAACTCCATTCTCAAATGCAAACATTTTTCCTCGAACCCTACTACACCTATCAAATACATTCCAGAGCCTACCCTTTTACTTCATCATTTTAAATCATTACAGGATTTGTTTTTCAAATGCACCCAATTTTTTTCCTCATATTCCTTTTTCCTGCCAGTGGGATACAGTGCATTCCAGGACCTTGCCCACACGCCTTTTTCATGCTTGTGCCTTGACAGTGAGGGTCTACAGTGCAGGAAGTATCACAGTTGAGCCCAATCCTGGCCTCACACACACACAGACATGCTATCTAGTTGAGTTCCAAGGGAACCCCCACTCTCATCTGATTTCACTGCCAGCCTGGATAGTCTGCGCAGGTCAAAGTGAGTCATCGGCAAAGTAATTTTATTATTAATAATAATCCTTGAATTTAATAACGGTAATAACGCCTTAGCTTGTCATTGAGACATTCCAAATCGTTTCACAGGATTTTACAGTGAAGTGTAGTGACTGTGTATTTGTAGACTGTAATTCACACCAGACTAAGTGGGTATTTCTTTGTGGCTAAATCTAGTGGGCTGGTGCTGTTCACCCAATGTCAATCCTGATCTGCAGTACACATACAAAGACAAGAAGCTGGCTGCTAAGAAATGTCGTTGAGACAGAAATAAAGAACTGCAGCTATTGATAAGAGTACACTACAACTTAATGTTATTTCCTTCCCGAGGTTATACCCCCCTGAACATGTCTGTGGTACCTGTAATAAGGAATAGTTTAATGTGCACCTCAATGGAAGCACAATCTACTGATCCAACGGAACAGTACAATAAAGCCCCTCTCCTCAAACAGGCCTCTGATTATCAGTCCTTTTCCACCAAAGAGTCAGCCACAAACTCTCCATCTATCCCACTGCCCCCAAACACAAGATCACAATTGCATAATTAAAAAACATTGACAGGAAGCAGCTCCACTCCCCAATCTTTCCCCAGAAGACAGCACACTTTTCGGTTCGTAGCGATATGCATACTGAAACAATCATTTGATTTGTGAGACAAAGATTTGAGAGAAGCCGGTTACTGCTTTGTTCAGTCATTACCAGCGCACTGTACAATACAATCAGCAAAACTGAAACATCCGCCAGTGCTCACACACACCCCTGCGGTTCCCACACCCACCCCGCAGCCCTGGAACAAAAAAAAAACCACCACACCCTACAGGCAAAATCTTGGCCAGGTGGTTGTGAAGTGGACAGAGTTTTGAGGTTTAAACAAGAGTCCTCCTCCACAGGATCATCGTCCAAACCCTAAAAGATCGAGGCGACAAGCTGCCCGCATCACTGAAATGCTACAGACAAAAAGCCCAAGGAAGCGACTTCAATTCTCATATCCCTGATACCACAAGAGGCTGTTTTCCTGCTGGTGTTTGGCGAGGTGCCACATGAGATCAGCGTCGCTGCGGAACCTCAGCATGCACATCTCGCACTTGTAGGGCAGCGCCATGGCGTGGCTGGTGTCTATGTGCGCCCGCAGGCTGCCGATCTGCTCGGTGGAGTAGTCGCAGTACTGGCACAGGTAGATCTCCTGGGAGGAGTGCGAGTTCAAGTGCTTGTGGTACTCGGCCGTGTTGCAGAATCCTTTGCCGCAGTCGTCGCAGACGTAGGGGAAGAAGCGCGCGTGCTCGATGGCCGCGTGGCGGCTCACGTTGACGTACAGCCGGCTCCTGTAGCCGCACGAGCGGCAGACAAAGAAGTTGCGTCGCCGGTCAAAGCCCACCTTGCCCGCGTAGCTCCCCGGGCCGGGCAGCCCCTCCTCCAGGCTGTCGTTCATCTCCATCAGGCTGTGCGCGTGCTCCGCCAGCACGTGGGCATGCAGCTCTGCAGCGTCCTCCGTGCCATGCTCGCAGAACTGGCACAGGTACTGCTCGTCGCCCCCGTGCTGCTGCAGGTGCAGGTGCAGTTCGCTGGTGGTGCAGAAGTGCAGGTCACACTGCTCGCACCAGTACAGGTCCTCCCCGGCCGCAGCCATGCCATCCGCCTGGGCCAGCAGCTCCCCCTCCTCCTGCTCCTCTGCCCCGTGCCCCTGCAGGTGCTCATGCAGCAGGCTGTAGGTGAGGAACTCCTGCTTGCAGACCAGGCAGACATTGGGCTGAACGTCCGGGTGCCTGAGGATCACGTGCTGCTTCAGCTCGAGCGGGTAGCGACTGTTGAAGTCGCAGTGCTCGCAGCAGTACAGCCCATCGCATGACGGTTTGCGCAGAGGCCATTTCTGTCGGCAAAGGGTGCTCGGGCACTGGGGCTTGGCTGGTCTATCTGAAGCTTCGTGCACTGAGCTGTCAGGGGTGCTGTCCTCCCCACACGTCCCAGGGGTCGAGGCCTCTTGCTCGATGGTCTCTGTGTTAAGCTTGCTCTCAGGCTCGGCTACCGGGCTCCACTTCCCAGTCACACACGGTCTCTTGCTACTTCCATCGAAAACAGAGTTGACTGATGCCACAGTCATGCCAAATTCTTGTTTTATTTAATGGGGGGGGGGAAGAAACAAGAAAATTGGTTAAAAAAAGTATTTTAAGAAAATGATCGTGAAATCTTCCCACATTTTATTGTCCCATCTAATTCTCTTCTTGTCACTGACTCATGCGAGTGAACAGTTTATGTTGTATTTCACACCTTTCAACAAATCCTGCTCTATTGGTAAAGACAGACTATGCTTCTTTTGAGCCTTGTTGCCTCCCTGCTGTAAGTAAATTCTACTATGCCCATGGTTATCCATAATGCAAATTTACTTGTTCAGTTGATTGGAAACTGTACCTATCCTATAGCACATCAAACACCAAAAATGCCTCAGCATTGACCAGGTACTCATCCGAGAACACATCCCTGAAGCTTAGCAATACTTGAGACAGAAACTACAAGCGAGCTACTGTTGTACTAATGCTTAACAACTGATATAGCATCTCATCACTCTAACACCTCTCAAAACACTTCACCCAATGAATTACTTTTATGTGTAGTGACTATCATGTACCTACCTAACAGCTAATTTGTACCAGCAACACCTGACAGACGGCAACTAAATGACCAGGAATTTTTAAAATGAATTTTGATGAGGCAGGAATATTGTCTCGAGCACTGGATTATACTCATTCTTCTTTTTAGGGGTAATAATTTCTTAAAAGAAAAATAATAATAAATTGGTCACTCAATCCTTGACTGTTTGTAGGACACTGCTGTGCGCAATTGGCTGCTGAGTTTCGCCCACAAAATATACAGTCAATTCACTTTACAGTATATTCTGTGAAGCCCTTTGAGACATTTCAAAGACTTGATCAGGTGCTATATCAAATGCAAGGATTATTATTATTATAATAGGGCCCATGGACCTTTAATGTTTACCTGAACCGTAAGATGGGACCTGCTTAACATCTCATTAGAACTTATTGCTTTTGTTAACAGAAGCATGACTGATTGCTACACACCTCGTCCATCACTCGAGTTATTCCAGTGCTCAGGAATGCTTCCATCGGACTCTTCAACTGCAGAATCGGAACCTTTAGAGAGAAATATATCCCATTATAAATCCAAGTAGCCTGATCCCACATACTAAATATACTATGTCTCTTTTTGGAGAAGGATAAGCAAGTATTACACCCTGCTTGACAATGTAACGCCCTCATAGAGAATGGTCTGACTTGTGAAGTCTGGGGAATGGAATTATTTAAGATGCGAGACCAAGTACTAATAATTATTGCATTTGATATAAACAAATCACAGGATTCACTGTAAAGTCTTGTGGGTGTGCTTGTAGGAGATTAAGGTGAAGCTCCCTTTAATTAAAAACTTATCCTTGCATTTTATATAGCTCTTTTGACGCCTCAACACGCTTCATGGGATGTACTATATCGTGCAGTGACTGTATATTATGTGGAAGAACAAGGCAGCCAATTGTGCACAGTAATGTCCTACAATCAGCCATGAAGTGAATGACTGATATTTATTTGGGGGCCAGGACCCCGGGAAAAACTCCCTCCCCTTTCCGAATAGTGCCATGGGATCTTTAAGCCCCACTTGAACTGGGGACTAGAGCTCAGTTTGACGACTCATCTGAAGGACGGTACCTCTGAGAATGCAATGCGTCCCCAGCTGAGCTGGAAGTCCAAGCGTGCAGCTTGAATCCACAACCTTCAATAATAATTCAGAGGTGAGAGTGCTACCGACTGAGCCAGGTTGACATTACCTCCACACAATAGGGGTCTGAATTTTTTGGTGTGTCATTTCCTGATCAATGAACTGGGAGAAAGCATCAACACACACCTGGGTCCACGGGTATTAAGGTATCGTATCTCTGAGGCCAAATTTGCCCCCGGCATATTACAGTCCAAATAAAACAACACATGACTAAAACATATCAAGAGACTCATCAGAGACAGAAATACAACCACGACATCCAACAAGTTCTCCAGTAACTAACTGTAACTCCAGTCGCCAGCGTCAGGTCAGGTATTGCGGTGAATTCAGTGCATTAAAAAACAATAATCATACACCGGTGACTCAATCTCTGGACCGTTTGCGGGTCACCTTGCGGTGGGCAACCGGCGGCCGTGGTTCGCGCGCTCCCCCCCCCCCGCACCCCCTCCCCACCTCCACAACCCCGAATGATACAGTCACTTCACTTTTAATGGCGCCGAGGCGCTACCCCGGGCGGAGGGCGCTGCGCTGCAGTGCAAGTCGGCGTCGGTGCCGTCGTTTGCGTCCCGTCCTTGGCGCAGCGCTTTCGAGACGGTCTCCAAGACGCGAGCGATGAGGCTCCGTCTCAAATGCTTATTAATAACAATAATAAATCATCATCATCATCATCATCATCATTATTATTATTATTGTCGTTATGACGTGTCACCGGATTTCGTTGACAACCATATGGGGCCCTTTACAATAGAGACTGTACACGAGGCTCGGATCGGGGCTGCAATACTGCGGGAACCCCCCAACCCCCCCCTCCCCCCCCACCCACCCCACCACCACCACCCCACCACCCCCCCCCCCCCGCCCGGGGTTGGGAAGCACTGGAGGCCGAGGCCGCGGGTGGAGGTTGCACTGGGCCCCGGGTCTGGGCCGCACTGGGGGCAGGGCAGGGCCGGGCGGGGCAGGGCCGGGGAGGGCAGGGAGGGCAGGGCCGGGGGGGCAGGGCCGGGCCGGGCGGGGAGGGCAGGGCCGGGGGGCAGGGCCGGGCAGGGCCGGGCCGGGGGGGCAGGGCAGGGCCGGGCGGGGAGGGCAGGGCCGCGGAGGGCAGGGCAGGGCGGGCAGGGCAGGGCGGGGAGGGCAGGGCAGGGCCGGGCAGTGCCGGGCCGGGGGGCAGGGCAGGGCCGGGGGCAGGGCCGGGCCGGGGGCCGGGGGCAGGGCAGGGCAGGGCGGGGGGCAGGGCAGGGCCGGGGGGGCAGGGCAGGGCCGGGGGGGCAGGGCCGGGGGGCAGGGCAGGGCAGGGCCGGGGGCAGGGCAGGGCAGGGCCGGGGGGAGGGCAGGGCCGGGGCAGGGCCGGGCAGGGCCGGGCAGGGCAGGGCGGGCAGGGCAGGGCAGGGCCGGGGGGCAGGGCAGGGCGGGGCAGGGGGCAGGGCCGGGGGGCCGGGGGGGCAGGGCAGGGCAGGGCCGGGGGGCAGGGCAGGGCAGGGCAGGGCAGGGCCGGGGGGCAGGGCCGGGGGGGCAGGGCCGGGCAGGGCCGGGGAGGGCAGGGCCGGGGGGGCAGGGCCGGGGGGGCAGGGCCGGGGGGGGCCTGGCGGGCAGGGGGGGGGGGGCAGGGCGGGGGGGCAGGGCCGGGGGGGCAGGGCCGGGGCCTGTTACCTGGGTACCGGGAGGGGTTTAAACTTTTGCGTCTCTTCCGTTGGCCGTTTTCGCACATCGTGACCCCCGGGGGGGCGCCGCTTCATCCCCGGGGTCTGACCCCCCACAACGGCGGCCCGACCCACACACACAGACACGGCGCCCCGCCGGCCGGTCAGTCAGTCGGTCAGTCAGTCAGTCGGTCGGTTAGGCCGCGGCTCTCGGCCCTCCGCTCCCACTACAGACGCTCCCTCACCCGCGGCAACGTCACCGCGGCTTCCGGGTCCTCTCAGCCAGAGAGCGTCCGTCAATGGGAGAGGAGAAAAGTCACTGGTGGGGGGGAGGGGATGTGGGGTAAACAACAACAACAACAACAGCAAACAACAACAACCTTGACACGTCTGTGTCTCTCTGTGTGTGTGTGTGTGTGTGTGTGTCTGACCCTGAACCCCCCCCCACCACCAAAAATAAACAAATAAACCAACACTGGGAGTGAACCCAACCGGAAAAACACGTAAACCCTCCGCAGTCACGGAAACCCCCCGCGTTCACGTAAACCCTCCGCAATCACGTAAACCCCCCGCGTTCACGTAAACCCCTCGCGATCACGTAAACCCCCCGCGTTCACGTAAACCCCCCGCGTTCACGTAAACCCCTCGCGTTCACGTAAACCCCTCGCGATCACGTAAACCCCCCGCGTTCACGTAAACCCTCCGCAGTCACGTAAACCCTCCGCGTCACGTAAACCCTCCGCAGTCACGTAAACCCTCCGCGGTCACGTAAACCCTCCGCGGTCACGTAAACACTCCACAGTCACGTAAACCCTCCGCAGTCACGTAAACCCTCCGCGGTCACGTAAACCCTCCGCGGTCACGTAAACACTCCACAGTCACGTAAACCCTCCACAGTCACGTAAACCCACTGTGAACACCGGCAGTGTGGTGTGGCATCAACACTTCACAAGATTTTACGGTTTAGTGTGTGGTCCGTGCGCTTGTGGGGCGTTGTGCGCACCACACGGCAATATTTCACACGCAACCGCGAAGCCAATGAGCAGATTTTATCTGGGAGACTGTCGGCCAGGACACTGGGGCGAGAGAGATAGATACCCCCTTTCCTCCTCGGATAGCGCCGTGAGATCTTGTAGGGCCCATCCAAGTAGGCAATTGGGACCTGGGTTTAACGTCTTATCCAAAGGATGACACCTCCGACATTGCAATGCGCTGCACTGGAATGTGTTTTTGTTAACAATGTTAATTTGATCAAATCTGTGAAACGCTTTGAGGTGATCATCCCTCACCACCGGTGTTATAGCCGTACACGTTATAATTTTACTTGTGGACGCAGGAGGGAGCAAAACTCTAACCTAATAGGATACACTGCAGCCACAGGAGGGAGCATTGCTCTGACTGACCCCTGTTTTTACAGCGGGGTGTTGAGCAATTTTATTGTGTAACAGCTGCGTTCTCTCCATTTATCTTTTTAAAATGAAAGTTTCTCTGTGGGTACTCAACGCTCCAGTGGTTCAGAGATATGTCACGCAGTCTTACACCCAGTCTCATGTCCATTGCTACAATAATAATTCTTGCAATTGATTGCTTTATCAGATCCAAAAGTCTCAAAGTTCCTTGCAGTGCTTTTCTGTAAAGTATACTGTTTCTGGCAATTTGAGCACAGCAATCTGGGGAATTGATGGACTTCAGCTGAAACTCCCTTGTGTTTGTCCGACAGTTCTACGCTCAAATTGGCTGCTGTGCTTGTCAACAAATACGTAATCACTACACTTTTTAGTCAGTGATTTCAAATAATGCCACAGGGTCTTTATCATCCGCCTGAACAGGTTTGATGTTTCATCTGAAGTACCAGGCAACAGATGATTATGTCTCACAAGCACTGCACCCCCAGCACTGCATTAGAATGTCACACATTACAGTCAAACCATTATTATTGCTATTATTAAGTTATGTGCACTGTATTAATAAAAACGCTACAGTTTGAGTGGCTAATTGTTCTTATGAGGTGATTTTTAAGATTTCATTTGTGTTTTTATTGTAATTTTAAGCACACATTTTATTGCAGTGAAAAGAGACAGTTTGACATCGCTTCCAGGGTTAAAACAATTTGACAATGTGAAGCAGGATTATATTTTCTTCCCAAAGACCTCTCTCACAGGAGAGGGATGAGGAGGGCTCTGTGCAACTGGCTTGAATATCTAACACTTTTCTTTTAATGTTTAATAGTGTGAAAAAGCTTAAGTACAACTAATAGACAACTTAATTTGCACAGACTTTAAAAGTTCCCCTGAAAATTGGCTCCAATTTATGTCATAGCCATTGTATTATTTCAACTTTCACATATTTTATATTCTTCCTGACAATCTATGCCTGTTTACTTTGGCCTTAATCTAATGTCCACCACAAATTAAGTCTCAAGGAAACAAATGTTTGCGTGCAATTTTGGTAAGGACTTTAGCACACTTTATGTTTTCGTATTGCACAAAACACATAGTCACTCCGCTTTACTCTATATCCTGTGAAGCCTTTTGAGACATCCTCCTTATGTGAAAGGCGCTATACCAAATGCAAGGATTATTTTTATTATTTATCGGCTGTCTGTGAGATAGATTTTGCACTGTAGCACAAGATACTTGGAAGTATGGATGTGGTATAGAGATGGACAAACGTTCAATGCAAACGAGTTTAATATTAGCTTTTCCTTTCAAACAGGAACTCTTCCTCAACGTTTCTCTTTTGGAGCAGAAACAATATCTTTTATAAGTGAGATGGGGCTCTGTTTCCACCGTGGTTTTAAAAAAGGCATCCGGAGAGGTGATCTGGGAGATACTGATTAATTGATTCATCCTTCCATTCATATTCATTTCTTTCGCTGTAAAACAAGAAGTAGTTTAATTATTATAAAGTTTCACAGAAAGGTCCGCAAGCTGAATAAATCAGGTGCTCTTGCTTGTGTTTCACCCAGCACCTATCCCTCAATTTGTTTGATGTAAAGTTAGATAACAAAACAATTGGTCACTCAGTCCATGACTGTTTGTGGGACACTGCTATGTGCATATGGCTACCGCGTTTCACCCAAAAAATACACAGTCAATCCACTTTACAGTATATTCTGTGAAGCGCTTTGAGACATCTCAAAGATATAAGGTGCTATATCAAATGCAATTATTATTATCAAAGCTCAAATGTCCCGAAGTCTCAGCCTATGAGATTAGTAAGATGATTATTCAAACATTTAAGATTGTGAAGAATTGTTCAGAATAGGAATAGTCTTAGTTAGGAATAATAATTCTTGCATTTGAAATTGCACCTTTCATGTCGGGAGGCCATCTCAATGTGCTTTACGAGATATATTGTAAAGTGTGGTGACTGTGTATTTCATAGGTGAACATAGCAGTCAATTTACACAAGACAATGTCCACAAACACGACCAAAGTGAATTTTATTTGGGGGGATTGTTGGCCAGGACACCGGGAGAAACTCCCTTCTCTTTTCGAACTGTACCCCCAAGTAATTGAAGTCCACCATGTCTCATCTGAAGAAAGGAACCTCCAACAATATAGAGCATTGTATTGGAGTGTCAGCCTAGACCATGAGTTCAAAGCCCTGATGTGGGGCTTGAGTCCACAACCTTGTGACTCAGAGGAGAGAGCATGCATGCTCAGCTACCAACTGAGCAGAGTGACACACTTGCCTACAAGTTGATAACCAAAGGAACAGCTTTGGAGTTAAGTTCAATTTGTGCTTGCCTCAGTTTACTATGTTTTCTGGTTCATGATGGTTTTTTTTATATAGGACAGTGACATTGTCACAGCGCGAGTCTGTATCATTGGGAGATTAATGGGGAAACATGTAATGGACTGGTGGGTAAAGTGGGGAAAAATCATTTTTTAGACACGTCTGTTTTTTTAACAGTTAGTGATGTAAATGTGCTCTGCTCATCCCTGTGCTAAACCAACAGTATAGAATGGAAGTTTACAAACACCATGATAAAAATAATTTCCGGTGTCTTTCTGTAATGTCTTATGCTGAGTAGTAAGCAAAACACTCTAATGTCAGGATATTATGACTCGAGATTCGGAAAGCCTGGAAGAGACTTTTACAATGTTGACTTTGGCCACAATATGCGTGGGAATTTTAATAGTTGACTATAAAATGGTGCTTGCACTGAGGATAGCTTTTTAGATTTTCTTTTTATATGTTGCTGTCTTCCTTTCCTCTCCACGTCCCTGTCAGCTCCGTTTCCCAGGGCAGCAATGTTAAGTAAAGGCTTTGAGACATCCTCCCGATATAAAACATTCTGAATATTTTATATAAATATAAATTCTTGTTGCTGGTTATTCTCACCAATTTTATTCTCACCAATTTCATTCTCTTTCTCATCTCCAGAAGATGTGAAACTCTTTTTAGTATTATTATTATTAATAATAATTATTATTAATAATACACATGGATACATGCATGGTCAATTTCCAAGAGAAATTAAAAGAACAAGGCCAAGGTATGAACTAAAACTACAACTGGTTGACTAACGGAGATCTGAGAGCTGAAACAGAAGCTCTCATAATATCAGCACAAGACCAAGATGTTACCACCCGCTATTATGAAAATAGAGAGAAACATTGATCCAAAATGCCAAACATGTCATCAAGCAGCAGGAACAGTTGACTACATATTGCTATCACGCCAGCCCTAACACAATCAGAACATCTGATTGAACATAAAATTGTAGCTAAATATATCCAGTGGACAATTTGTAAACACATTGATATTGATGCAAAGACCAACTGCAAACAGCAAAAGTAACATTGAGAAATAATATCCCAATAATCTAGGATTCACAAGTACATACAGATAGAACAGTAATCTGTAACAAACCAGATACCATAAAAAAAACAACTCGATTGTACATGTAGTATTATTGATGTAGCTACCCCCAAGTGATTACAACATAAGAAATAAGGAAATTGAAAAGATCAGGAAATATATCGATTCATAAATTGAATGCAGATGTATGTGGCAATGTAAAACAAACATCAATTTATTACTCCACACGGCTGATAATAATCCCTCAAAGAAAACAATAATAAATTGGTCATTTCAATCCATGACTGTTTGTGGGACACTGCTGTGCACAATTGGCTGCCGCATTTCGCCCACAAATATATTATTATTATTATAAATATACAGTTAATTGACTTTACAGTCTATTCTATGAAACGCTTTGAGACGTCTATGATGTGAAAAGCACTATATCAAATGCAAGGATTATTATTATAATTAAAACAAAAATCAGTGGTGTAACTGGGACTGTTAATAAGACTTTTCGGAAAAGGCTTGACAAAATACCTGGTGAACAAAATATCAACCTCCTGCAAAATGGAGCTATTTTAGGAAGTTTAGACGTATTAAAAACAAGTAACATCCATTCATATCTAATACAGCAGTTATTGGTCTGGCTGACCATCACTGAAAAACACTTAGAAAGTACGTCTAAGGATAGATTTAAACTGTAAAAACATAGTAATAATTAAAATCCTTGCAATTGAAATAGCGCCTTATCATCTCATCAAAATGTCTCAAAGGGCTTCACAGGATTCTACAGTGAAGTGTAGTGACTGTGTATTTGTAGGCAAATGACCCTTCTATTAGGATTCTAAGGGCACAATTTCCATGTGTCAGCCTTTAAAATGAGTTTTAAAACACTAACTGACATTTCAGTCAAGCCTGATCTTGGCGTGATTCAGTTTCCACATGTGTGCACTGGATGCAAAGCAAGAGAAGTTGGAACCTTTAATCTCCCTAATCCTGGATACTGATGCAGATTCCAGAGCCTCTGCTGCCTTCCTTTCCTGTCCCCAGCCGTGGGGGTGTCCCCACGGCTCAGTCCTTGACTGGTTCAGATCGTACCTCTCACACTGCCTGCACTTCAACTCCACAAACGGTTTCTCCTCTAGCCCCCGCACCGTCTTATGCGGCGTTCCTCAGGGCTCTGTCCTTGATTCCCTTCTCTTCAATATCTATATGCTCCGTCTTGGTGACATCATCTGCAGACATGGGGTCAACTTCCACATGTATGTGGATAATACCCAACTATACCTCTCTGCCTCTCCCTTGACTCCAGGACCACTGCTGTCCTGACAGAATGTCTGTCAGACATCAAGTCCTGGATGAGAGCTAAATTTCTTCAGTTGAACGTCAACAAGACTGAGGCTCTCCTGGTTGGCTCTCCTCAGCTCTTCCACACCTCAGACGCTGACAGCATCACTATCCATAAATTCAAACTCCTGATTCCCAGCTTGGGTCTGAAACTCTGACTGTCCAGCACCTTGGGATGTCCTCCCGACATGAAAAGCGCTATACAAATGTAATTTTGTTGTTGTTGTTGTTGTTCCTGGTTGATGTTAGCAAACCCAGCCCAGATCAGAGCTGAACCTGGAACCTGTGTGGATTATGTACACACTGGAAATATTTGTCACAGCAATTACGAAGTTGCAGAGAGTTTTATGACATGGGATTTCCTGTTGAATGGTGTAGGGGTGGTTTTAGGCTGCTCAAACACAGAACGAGACAAAGAAAGATAATCTTTCATCCTGTAAATCAATCAGAAACCAATGGCACAAAATTGCTCCAGGTTTTAGCTTCAAATGCCTCAATTTAAGATTTAAGATCTGGCAGGATTTTGAAAAAATCTTAAATTCTTTCTTAATTTGGATGGCAGTTTTTTTTTTACAATTTTTTTAAAGAAACCATGTTAAGGTTGAATTTAAGGATTTTCCCACATTCCACACAATGTTAGATTTTCAAATCAATGGTCTTAAGATTGAAGCCATAAAGAATGTGTTGGCCGCTGATGCCATAGGCGTAAAGCGCAATCCAGCGTTGGATCACTCAGTTCCTCCAAATCATTACATTCGGTCAGTTTCCTCTCTAAATTATTCCTGGTCTTCATATAATAGAATACATTGCTCTTGTTTTGGTTTGAGATTAATACCTTCTTTTTCTTTTTGACTTTCTTGAGTTTTCTGTTGCATTTCACGATCTTGCTAAAAGTGTCTGCGTTCATCTGAGCCGTAACTTTGATCTTCAAACTTGGCATTTTTGCTGGGAAGAAGAAAGAGATATACTTTTTGTATTATGTGAGGCTCTTCTTCTAACAATAATAATATAAGTAATCCGTGCATTTGCAGGCATCACGTCATTGAGGTGTCTCAAAAAGCGCTGCACAAGATTTTACTGTGAAGTGTTGTGACTGCATTTGTAGGCTAACTTAAGACCCAATTTGTGCACAACAATGTCTCACAAAGAGCCATGAATTTTATCTGGGGGATTGTTGGCCAGGACACTGCCTTCTCTTTTTGAACAGTGCCACAGGTTCTTTAACGTCCACTTGAACAAGCAGATGGGACCTAATTTTCTGAAGGATGGTACCTCTGACAATGCAGCACTCCCTTAGCCCTGCACTGGATTCCCAGCCTAGACTCATACCAGATTTAATTCCTTTCTAGCCAACACAGAGACATTGTTAGAATTTCTAAGTTGCTTATAAAGAGAGTAAATCAAGTAGGAATTTAAATTTAGTCTTGGCCACAAAATATCAGTCAATCAAATTTACAATATATTCTGTGAAGCACTTTGAGATATCTCAATAATGTGATAAGGCAAGATATCAAATGCAAGGATTTTTATTATTATTGTAAAATGGGTGTGGGGGTGGGTCAAAAATACCTTCCTTTCTTTCCTTGAGGGCATTCAGTAATTCTTTCCCACACAACTCTCCTAGGCAATTGTCATCCAAGTCCAATTCAGTCAAATGGTTTGAAAACCTGATCAGCCTGAGTGAAAGACAAATACCATTTAGAAGACAAAGAATCCTAAGAATATTTTGTGTCTGACACATGCGGAAACCCATCTACCATGCTTAAGGGTATCCAAACCAAAATGAGAATTCCATGAATCACACCTACAAATGGAAATTTCAGAGATAGATTGTTGGAATGGAATGGACACTTTCTCCCTGAAGGTACACATCCTGCTTACCTTATCCCCATACCCTTCAAGCCTCTAATTTTCATTACTGATGAAGGGATTAAAGGTGTAATTCTGCGTATTTAGTTTATACTGCCCTACTCTCTGGAATTCCACCCCAGAGTCAGACCTCACCCTTCCCTCCACAATTTCATAGTTCTCCTTAAGACTTACCTCTGATTGCATTTTCGGTCTCTTTTACCACCACCCCCCCTCACCCCACCCCCTCACCACGCCCCCTCACCCCACCCCCTCACCTCCCCCCTCTTCAATACTTACTGACACACCATTTGAGTAAATTGCATTGGCGCTATGTTTCCATCCTTTCCTCTTCCGTCAATGCCATTATCTGCCAGGTGAAGCTTGGATACCCAGGAAGCGACTTCTGGGAGCTCTTTCCTGCTCCTTTTTCCTTTATTAACTAAAGAGTAATTTGACAGGTTTCCTCAAAGTATCTTTACCTCAATTCTTTCTATCGACCAATTTTCTCTTTAGAGGGTTATGTTTGGAGCCGTGCCTTTATTAGAACATAAGAACATAAGAAATAGACAAGAGCAGGAGTAGGCCATTCAGCCCCTCAAGCCTGCCCTGCCATTTTATAAGATCATGGCTGATCTTTTAAACTAATTCCATTTACCTGCCCTATCTCCATATCCCTTAATCCCTTTAATTTTTAAATATCTATGAATCTCAGTCTTGAATATGTTCAAGGACTGAGAATCCACAGCCTTCTGGGGTAGAGAATTCCATAAATTCATTACCCTCTGAGTGAAGAAATGTTTTCTCAACTCAGTTCTAAAGGGCTAACCTTTAATCCTGAGACTATGACGCCTAGTTTTAGATTCTCCAACCAGGGGAAACAGTCTCACAATATCTACCCTGGTCAAGACCCTTAAGAATCTTATAGGTTTCTATAAGATCACCTCTAATTCTTCTATATTCTGGAAAATATAGGCCTCGTCTACTCAACCTCTCCTCGTAGGTCAACCCCCTCATCTCAGGAACCAACCTAGTGAACCTACATTGCAACCCTCTCAGGCGAGTATATCCTGTCTTAGATAAGGAAACCAAAACTGCACTTAGCTCCTCATCACACTTTCGAGACGTCGCACTGTAAAGCGGTGTTACTGCGTGTTTTGCAAAAGAGAAGGGAATTCCTCCTGTTGTCCTGACCAACAATCCCCCAATTAAAAACTGATTCATTACTTCATGGCTGTTAGAGGGATATTTCTGTGCAAAGCAACTCCAGTATTGGTCTACAAATACACAGCCACTCTACTTTACAGAAGAAACTGCAAAGCATTTTGAGACATTCCCATGAGATTAATTATTATTATTATTAGTGGAGTCCCACAGCATAGTGGTTAGAGTGCTCGCCTTGCAAGCATGAGGATCCAATTTTGATCCCCTGGATCCTTACTCCACATACTTCTGTTTACCTAGCAATAAGTAGGAACACGGTTGTTAGTCGATTGTCGGATTGCTTTCCAAGGGGTAATAATCCCCTCGAAAAAATAGTAATAATAATTTGGTCACTCAATCCACAACTGTTTGTGGGGCATGGCTTTGCACAATTGGCTGTCACATTTCACCCACAAAATACACAGTCAATTCACTTTACAATATATTCTGCGAAGCGCTTTGAGATGTCTCAACAACACAAGGACTATTGTTCTTTGTTCTTTTGATTATTGCAGCACAATTTGGGTGCTCTGAAATTTTAAGACAATGGTTTTGAGGTGGGGGTGACCTCAGACGGAGTTGAAGAGGTGAGTTTTAAGGTGGAATTTGAAGATGGTTAGAGGGGGCCAGGTGGAAGTGTGGATCGAGGGAATTCCAGACGTTGGGGGCATCGATCCTGAAAGTTCCATCACCGATGGCCACACAGCAAGCCTAAGGTAGCTAAGCTGGGGGGGACAGGATGAGTAGAGGAATGGGGAAAATCAGAGTGATAAGGAGGTGCTGAAGGGTGTGAAGAGATTTGTAGATTTAAACCAGGGTGCAAAGTACTGACTGGTTTGTCCACTGAAAACTGTCCAGGGAGGGGTAGTAGAAAGGTTGTGGTCAGTAAAACGTTAATCTCTTACTGAAGCATTCCAAGAACTGTCCTGCCAAACCTGCTACAGAATAAAACATTTACACAGTAAAATAAACATTATATCTTTCCTGCACACACTTGATTGGTTAGAGGAAATTAAGATTACAGATTATTTCTATGACACGTTGCCACATTCTTTGGGTAAATAGAGTTCCACAAGGGCTTGGAAATAATTGAATAATATTGCTTTGTTTGATCTCAAACAATACAGCTGTCTCTTGATATAAATTTAATTGCAGAAGCCACGGGATATTAGCCTTGAGGCAATAAGTCTTGAGGGAAGATGTTAAAGATTAGATGGTTAGATATTAAAGATCCCAGGCCACTGATCAAAATAAAAGAAGGGAGTTTCTCCCAGTGTCCCAGCTAACAACCCTCCAGATGAATTAATCATTGCCTTGTTTGCGGGATAACCCTGTGGGGTAGCCTTGCTAATAAAGGATGGAATAAAAACAGTAGAGAGGAAAGATTTCAAATCAGATAACCAGGATGTAGAGAGGGTATGGGTAGAATTACAAAATAACAAGGGGCAGAAAACATTAGTGGGAGTAGTTTATAGACCCCCAAACAGTGATCACAGCATAGCGCAGGGTATTAATCAGGAAATTAGAGGAGCGTATTGCAAAGGTAATACAGTAATAGTGGGTGATTTCAATCTTCACATAGATTGGAAAAAACAAATTGGTAAAAGTAGGGTAGAGGAGGAGTTTATAGAGTGTATGAGAGATAGTTTACTGGAACAGTATGCTGAGGAACCAACTAGGGGACAGGCCATATTAGACCTTGTTTTGTGTAACGAAACAGGGCTAGTCGATAATATAGATATTAAGGCTCCTCTAGGGCAGAGTGATCATAACACGATAGAATTTAGTATTAAGTTAGAGAGCGATGTAGTCAAATCCGAAGCAAGGGTCTTAAATTTAAGTAAAGCTAACTTTGCAGGTATGAGGGAGGAATCAGCTAAAATAGACTGGGGAATTAGATTAATGGATATGACAATAGATCAACAGTAGCAAATGTTTAAGTGCAGAATTCTCAGCGGTCACATATTCCCTTGAGGAATAAGAGTACCACAGGGAAAGCAGTTCATCCGTGGCTAACTAGAGCGGTTAGACAAAGTATAAAACTAAAAGAAAAGGCCTATAAAACTGCCAAAAAGTGTAGCAAACCTGGGAGTGTTTAGCAACAAAGGAAAACCAAAAAGCTCATTAAGAGTGAGAAATGGATTATGAGGGCAAACTAACTAGGAACATTGAGACAGATTGTAAGAGTTTTTATAAATACATCAAGAGGATTCGGCTAGCAAAAGTAAATGTGGGTCCATTACAGGCAGAGACAGGAGGAATTATAATGGTGGATAAGGATATGGCAAAGTCCCTAAATAAATACTTTGCTTCTGTCCTCACGTTAGAAGACACAAGAAGTTTACCAGAAATAGAGATGAACCAAAGGGCTAATGATAGGGAGCAACTTAGGGAAATTTACATTAGCCAAGAAATGCTGCTAGGGAAATTGTTGGCATTAAAAAGTGACAAGTCCCCTGGACCTGATGGTCTGCATCCTAGGGTTTTAAAAGAGGTAACTCATGAGATAGTGGTGGCCTTGTGTCTGATCTTCCAAAATTCTTTGGATTCTGGAACAGTTCCCATTGATTGGAAGATCGCAAACGTCACACACTATTTAAGAAGGGTGGGAGAGAAAAGATGGGGAACTATAGACCAGTTCGTCTGACATCGGTGGTCAGAAAAATTCTAGAATCCTTAATTAAGGATGTCATAGTGGATACTTAGAGGATCACAATGTGATTAGACAGAGTCAACAAAAGGGAAGTTATGCTTAACAAATCTTTTAGATTTTTTTGAGGACATATCAAGTAGATTAGATAGGGGGAATCAGTGGATGTAGTGTATTTAGATTTCCAAAAGACATTCGATAAGGTGCCGCATAAAAGGTTGATCCACAAGATTAGGGCCCATGGAATTAAGGGGAATATATTAGCATGGATTTAAGAATGGCTAACGGGAACAAAAAGAGTAGGGATAAACGGGTCCTTCTCAGATTGGCGGGATGTGACTAGTGGAGTGCCACAACGATCAGTGCTTGGGCCTCAACTATTTACAATCTACATCCACAATCTAGATGGGGACATCGAACTTAATGTATCCAAATTCACGGATGACACAACTAGGAGGGAGAGTAAACACCGAGGATGACACTNAAAAAATGCAACGAGATATAAATAGGCTAGATGAGTGGGCAAATAGGTGGCAGATGAAGTATAATGTAGGGAAGTGTGAAGTCATCCACCTAGGTGGCAAAAATAGTAGAACAGATTATTTTTAGAAGGGGAGAAACTAGATAGTCTTAGCGTTCAGAGGGACTTGGGCGTCCTTGTATACCAGTCACCAAAAGTTAGTTTGCAGGTACAGCAAGCAATTAGGAAGATTAACGGTATGTTGGCATTTGTTACAAAAAGGTTAGAATATAAGAGTAGGGAAGTATTGCTGCAACTGTATAGGGCCCTGGTGAGGCCACACCTAGAGTATTGTATGCAGTTTTGGTCTCCTTGTTTAAGAAAGGATGTACTCGTCTTGGAGGGGGTACAGCGTAGATTAACTGGGTTGGTACCAGGGATGAGGGGGATGAGTGATGAGAATAGGTTGAGCAATTTAGGCCTATATTTTCTAGAATATAGAAGAATGAGAGGTGATCGATTATTAAGGGGCACGACAGAATAGATAGTGGGAGACTTTTTCCCCTGGTTGGAGAAACTATAACCAGGGGTCACAGTCTTAAAATTAGGGGTAAGCCCTTTCGCACTGAGTTGAGGAAAAATTTCTTCACTCAGAGAGTAGTGAATTTATGGAATTCTCTACCCCCAAAGGGCTGTAGATGCTCAGTCCTTGAACATATTCAAGACTGAGATTGATAGATTTCTTGTGGATAAAGGGATTAAGGGATATGGGGATAAGGCGGGTAGGTGGAGTTAGAATAGATCAGCCATGATCTTATTGAATGGCGAGGCAGGCTAGAGGGGCCGAATGGCCTACTCTTGCTCCTAATTCTTATGTTCTTATGTACTTATGGGAATCCCTACAGACGGGGGGAGAAGAGGGTAAGGGGGTGCCAGTGATAGCTCCGTCAGACATTCAACAAGTCCTGCTCCATTGGTAAAGATGGATTACCTTTGCTTTGAGCCTCGGTCCCTGCCTGCTGTGCAATGGGCTCAATAAGTTTGCTGGCTCCTTCACACTGCAAGTCATTGCCATCCAGAAACACATCTCTGCGCCAAACAGAAATCAACGGATCAGCAATAATTTAGAAACATTATAATTCCAACACAAAATGAAGCCATTTATCTTGCTGTGCCTCTTCCATTTCCCTGATCTTCCCCCCTCCCCTCCACCTCACCTCCTCCCTTTTAACGTTTTAGAATTTCGAATTCATCATCTAAAAATATTAATAATCCTTGTAAATGATATGCCCCTTTCACGCTGAGAGGTCTTCGCAAATTGCTTCACAGGAATTTATTGCAGTGTGAAGGGGAGTCCCATAGGGTATCATGCTTGCCTCTCAAGCAAGAAGACCCAGGTTCATTCCATGGCCAAGGGCAAAACCTTAGACAAGTTTTGTTATTCCATATGCCTCTGTTTACCTAGCAGTAAGTAGGAACCTGGCTTTGTGACCCCAAAAAATATGGTCTGTCAACCACGACTGTTTGTGGGACACTGCTGTGCTGTACATCATTATTGTATGTAAAATTGCATTCAGGTTGTATTGTTACTGTGTTTTATACAATGACAGCATTGGCTACAGTTAAGTTATAAAGTTCCCTTTAAGAAAGGTTTTCATTACCTACCTAATGGCAGTTTTGGTGACAAGATTTCCCAGTAATGGTCCACTTGCAGGTCCCAGATTGCAATAGCACATACTCAGTGTTAACAAGCGAGTGTTCCCTTCCAGACCATGACAGAGACCTCTGAGTCCATCAATGGCAATCCTGAAGAAATATTACTGGGTTGATCGATAAGCAAAGTATATAATGGCATTTCGCTGCTTTAACTGGAGTCCTGTAGTGGTTAGAGCATTCGCCTCGCAAGTGAGAGATCTGTGATATTCCCGGCAGGGAGAAATGTTGGACAAGTTTCCTTACTCCACACGCCTCTGTTTACCTAGCAGTAGGAACATGGTTGTTAAGTCGATTGGCAGAACACCTACTGAGGTTGGTCACTCAATTCTTGGCTGTTTGTAGGACACTGCTGTGCACAATTGGCTGCCACCTTTCACTCACAAAATACACAGTCAATTCACTTTACAGTATATTCTGTGAAGCGCTTTGAGATGTCTCAATGCCATGATAAGGATCTATATCAAATGCAAGTATTATTATTATTATTAATATTATAATAGTGTAATGTCAACTGCATTACAACTATCTGATAACTCTCAACCAAATCATATGAATTTATATGACATGTCCTGCCTTTCATAAATCCATCTTGGCCTGGACCTGATGCTCATTAAATGTGGTTGTATAGCTTCCCTTACCATAAATTCCAACATGTTTTTCATAGGAGCTGCCAAGCTAACAAGACCAGTGTCTTGCTTCTGATTTTGTTTTGAAAAGATTGAAAGAAAACTGCAGTAGCTATTTCCAATGTCCTGGCATCAGATACCAATCCAGCGTTTGCCAAATTCCCTTTACTTGAATTTTTATCTCCTTAAAATACTAATTTAATTTAATCCCCAACTGCATGAATATTCTGCCACTCAAATGTTTTATTGTACACTTCCCTGCTGATTTACCCCATTTCCACCCCAATGTAATAATCCATGCATTTGATATAGTGCCTTATCACGTCGGTGAGACTTCTCAAAGCGCCTCACAGAATAATAATAATCCTTGCATTTGATATAGCGCTTTTCACGTCGGGAGGACGTCCCAAAGCGCTTTACAGAACACACTGTAAAGTGAATTGACTGTACATTTGTGGGCGAACGCGGCAGCCAATTGCGTACAGCAATGTCCCACACACAGTTGTGAATGATTATTTTTTTTGGAGGGATTATTTCCAACGGAAAGCGACCTGCCAATCGACTACAACCAGGTTCTTATTTATTGCTGGGTAAACAGAGGCTTGTGGAGTAAGGAAATTTGCCTAAGATTTTGCACCGCCTGGAAATCGATCCTGGGTCCTCTCAGTTGCGAGGTGAGTGCGCTAACCGCTTCGCTATAGGACTCCAGTGTAGTCAAACTCCAGTACTTTAAGATCAAGGATTAACACAAGTAGCTCTCAGTAGAACATGTCTTATGAAGAAACAAAAAGAATGGAATGTCTACAAGACATCTGACCCAGTTGCATTTTGGTATTACCTTGAGATTTTCAATAACAATAAAATTGCATTAATATACATGTAGCGCCTTTCACATCAGGAGAGCGTCCCAATTCTCAAGGAAATACAATCCCACAAGCTCTTTATTTAGTAACTTACTCACGTCATCAGTCTTCATGTGTGAGCTTAGACAGTGACTGCTGGGAAGCTATTTAGCTGTGGATGAAATCAGTTACAGACGAGGTCAGTTTTATTTTCACCAGACATCTACCAAGGTAGGCTTTCCCTGCTGCACTCACTACCGTACAAATCAAGGGTGGGAATCCTGGCTGATTTTGCTACCTCCTGTCCCCACCCTCCCTCGGTACTAACCAATGGGGTCCGAGAACCATTCTCACAGTCCGGGTTCAAATCTGTGGTCCTCTGGATCTTCATGGTTCATTTTCCATCTTGACAGCGACTTCAACAACTTTGAGGACTTATAAAATGCTTGGGCACTTGTAATCTTTGCATTTGATATAGCGCCTTATCATGTCTTTGAGACGTCTCAAAGCGCTTCACAAAGTATACTGCAAAGTGAATTGACTGTATATTTTCTGGGCGAATTGCGGCAGCCAATTGCGTACAGCAGTGTCCCACAAACAGTCGTGGATTGAGTGACCAAATTATTATTGTTATTTAATAAAAAACTGCAGGAGCGCGTATTCAAATTAGTGCCAGTGTGAATGCGAGTTGTTTACTTACTCATTATAGTCCAGGACAATGCAAATCAACACACTGAAATTGACAGCTTTCCCAAATCTTTCCACTGACCAAGCATCGATCCCGCAATCCATCAGTTCCACTTTGGAAAACGGGTAGGAAGTTCGTCCGTGGAGCTCTATAATTATTGCCTGCAATGTTACAACAGTAATAATAATAGCAATAATAATAATAATCTTTGCATTTGATATAGCACCTTATCACGTAGTTGAGACATCTCAAAGCATTCACAGAATACGTTGCAAAGTGGATTGTCTGCGTATTTTGTGTACGAAATGTGGCAGCCAATGCACAGCAGTGTCCTACAAAGAGTAGTGGATTGAGTGAGCAATATTTTTTATTTTGGGGGGGAAGGAGGGGTTATTACACCTGAAAACAGTGAGTAAGAACAAGGGGTGAATTAATGCCTCAGCGAGATGATCTCCCAGAATTTATGAAGACAGTGTCACATCTTTCTCTGATTTTGTGCACTCAACTCAAGGACGCTTCAGATTTCTGCTCAAGTAAATTAAACGGTGGAGCTGTCAGAGCAAGCTTGGTTTGGTCTGGTAGTAATCATTTCTTTCTGCAACCTTAATAAAACTAGGTGTTTGATTATTTATAGGCAGCCTGCTGCTGGTGAAGTTCAAGAACATGTCAACTGGCAGATTTGTGAATATTTCTATCTCTAATGCAAAAAGTAGGCATTGTACAAGTGTGATAATCTTTTTTTTAGTCAGCCAGCTGTCTGACACATGAGGAAACTCATCACCATGCTTAAGAGTACAGTTCCGCAGTCCCCTCGCTTTGCTCTCTCCCTTGTCTCCTTCAAGACACAGCTCAAAACCCTCCTCTTCGACCGTACCTTCAGTCATCCCCCTACCCTACTCTCTCTGACCTCCACCCCTCCTAATCCCAACATCCTGCTCAGGTCTAAATACCTGACTGCCCAGCACCTTGGGTTGTCCTCTGGACCTGAAAGGAGCTAAACAAATGTAATTTGTTGTTTTTGTTGATGAGAAACTTAATCCAAACTGAGAATTCCACGCAACCCACCTACACGTGGAAATCCCAGAGATAAATTGTTGGAATGCGATGTGCACTCTCTCCCTGGAGAGACACATCCTGCTCACCTAATTCTGGAAAGTATTAGATCAGGTTGGCAAGAGGCAAGACTTCGGGACCCCAGAGTGTGGTTTGGGGTAACTGCTGGACAATCTGAATATTGGTAATGTTGATAAATGTACCAGCTTAGCAGGCCAGCACTTCCTGTTCTTCTACTGTTGGCAGAATGTGCCAGACTCAGTGACTTAATACAATGATAATAATAATTTTAATAATAATAATCCTTGTATTTGATCTAATGCATTTCACATCAGGTTGATGTCCCAAAGAACTTCACAGGATTTTACATCACCCCTTCCCCCCCTGGACGTCCACCCTCCCTGATCCTGACCCCCAGCTCGGGTCTGAAACACTGACTGTCCAGCGCCTTGGGACATCCTCTCTACATGAAAGGCGCTATACAAATATATTTTTTTTGCTGTTGTGAGTCACTGTTCCATGTAAATTAGCTGCCACTTTCGCTTACAAAATACAAAGTCATTACACTTTTGTGTATCCTGTGGAGCGCTTTGAGATATCTTCTCAACATGAGTGGTGCTGTAAAGATTATTATAAGATTATTATTCTATAATTGCCAGAGGCAAGAATACTAGTGACTGAGTGAAGAAAATTGACGTGAATATCTTCTCCACATTTGGCGACCTTTGCTCTTCGTGTTACTTTTGAAAGAGAAAATGCTTCTCTTTTCTTAAATCTCTTCAGGAGGAAAAAGGCTTCAGGGAAGGAAATACAATTTGAAAACAGCCACTATGAAGTGTATAATAGCTACCAGAGGTAGCTTTCATTAAAATCTTCCCCACATCTCAATGATGAATTACCAGATCTCTGTACTGTTAAGATCAGAAACTGAGCAGGTAAGAAATTGTGGACACAGTCCCCCGCAAGCTACTCAATTTTCTCTCGCTAACTTACGGTCCCTCAGGGAGAAATTGCACCCTGGTCTAAATTAACTCTGCATTTTATAGCATTTCAACTGCAGGGATTTTTATATTATTATTTCATGCCAAGTATTTGGGTGATAATAAATGAAGGAGCGCTGAATCAATTTAAGAAATCAGAAATAATAAAAAGCACAAACCTGCAGAGGAAGCTACAAGTAATAAATAAAGCATCGCTGATCATCATAGATACGTTCAGAGTGGCAGCACTCATATAGAGTCTGGAATACATCTTACTTATCAGCGTTAATAGAATCTGAACTGATTTTCAACTTCACTCTCTCCTCCCAGTGATCTACTTTTTGTCTTGTAAGTTGCAACACTGCTCTCCAACAGTGAACCATTTATTACAATAAGTACAACAGCCCATGTTACTCACTAATTCTGCTATGTCTTGGTTGGTCAGAGGAACGTCCCAGACGCATAGCTCTTTTCCGTGCATGTAACGCTCTTCTCGGATGGTCATCAGTAATGGCTTGAGAGAAACTGGAAGTGAATCATCCTCAGACACCTCAGGACGTGCAACTATCAGCTGGGAAAAGATCAGAAAGAAATGGTTAATGCTGCTTTTGCATAATGCTCCCGGCTTCACTGTAGTGCTGGAGGTGCCAACTACCTGTTCAAGTGGACATTAAAGATCTCTTGGCGCTTTGTGAAAAGAAAAAGGAATTTCTCCTGGTGTGATGGCTGACAATCCCCCAGAATAAAATTGCACATTCACTTCAAGGCTGTTTGTGCCGTATTCCTGTGTGCAAAAAAAATTGGCAGCTGTGTTTGCTTAAAAATACACAGCCACTACAATTCCCAGCAATTACCTGTAAAGCCGTTTTAGACATGTCAATGCTACTGGTGCTATATCAAATGCAAGGATTGATTTTATTATTATAAGCTTAAGGCTCATATTCTTGTGCATGACCCTGGAACTGAGATGCCTTCAATTGATCTTTCTTCATGTGGATTCTGTTCAGCAAAACTGAATCAATTCTTCCTTTAAGATATATTGGGGAAAAAAATAAAATTCAGTCTAAATCTTAACATTTCTTGCGCTACTAAATTACTTGTAAATTGCCTCTAAATGGACTTCTGGAGAAAGAAAAGCTATGTTGTAGTCTAAAGAACATATTGTGCACAAGTAATGGTCTTCGGTTTCATTGCATAAAGTTAGAGACCTCCTGCAAGTAGAGTTACAGGTCAAGGCAAGTATTTAACTACTCCACCACTGCCTTCAACATTGAACTCAATAGCATTTATGTGGGCAACTAACATTCAGCTCACAAATGGCACACACCTCTCAATTAGTACTCAGACACTTTACAAGAGTTTTTTAATCTTTGTCATGCTTTCCTCCAGTTTTCCTAGAGTTGGATTTATAACCTTAACTTTGTGGCTTTTCTGCCATGTGTTCTGCGATCTTTGAAGTTATCCATGATCCTGTGTTGGGTTGTTTTTTTTAAAAAACAGAGAACGATGTGGCTCTTCACAGTGTGGTGCTGAGATTTCAAAAGCCCCAGGTGCAACGACTGTGGTGCTGTCCAATTATAATGAGGAGGAAATAATTCCCGTTAGTGTTCGATATCGCCTATGCATATCACTCTTTTGCTCGTGTATGTGTGTATTTATGAGTGTGTGTTTGCACACGCATGTGAGTATGTATGTGAGTGTGTGTATGCCATGAGTTTGTGTGCGCATGGGTGTGTTAGTGTGCATGTATGCATGTGTGCTCTACACCTACTTTTTGCTACTTTCTTCAGATGAGCTGAATGGCTTGTTCACCAATATGTTAATAATTCTTGCATTTTGATATAATACCTTATCATGTCTTTGAGACGTCTCAAAGCGCTTCACAGAATATATTGTAAAGTAGATTGACTGTGTATTTTGTGGGCGAAATGCGACAGCCAATTGTGAACAGCAGTGTCACACAAAGAGTTGTGGATTGAGTGGATTTTTTTTTGAGGGATTATTACCCCCAGAAAGCGATTCACCGATCGTCTAACACCTGGATTCCTACTTATTGCTAGATAAGTAGAAGAGGTTGTGTGGAGTAAGCAAACTTGCTTAAGGTTTTGTTCCGCCAGGAAATTAAACCTGGGTCCTCTTGCTTGTGAGGCGAGAACGCCAACCACACTGCTACAGGACTCCATAAACTCTTTTCAAAAGAAATACAAATGAATATTAATCACCTTTGTCAGGATCGCTCCCTTCTCAATGCATCTGCGCAGATCCTGTCTCAGCTTTGGGCTTGTGGTGCACAAACTCTGAGCACAGTTCCGCTTGTAAGTGTTCAAAAATTTTTGGAGGATACCGGAAACAACTGCCGAGTTCCTTTTACCTGTTTTCTGTTTTTTCTTTTTTTCACGCATGCTTTTCGTGTTCTTCCCTGAACTGTCCTGGAGGTAGATCAAACCAAGTCCATAACCCATCGTCTGGCCGGGGAGAGGGGTTTATGTGTGTATGTGTAAAAGGGTTTTACTTGTTTTAAAAGATGACTCGTAAAGCAACCCACACTATGCACCAACCCACACACACATTTGATCCTCCCCCCCCAAATAAACACACACAATACCCCTACATACACATGATCCCAATCCATACACATACATCCACACCCTCACCCCCCACACACACACATCCACATCCCCCCCCACACACACATATACACACATCTGACCCCCCAAACTCACATAAATGATCCCCTCCCCCCCCCCCACACACACACACTCAACACTGACCCAGCCCACACATTCGCAAACATCGACCCCCCCCCTCCCCCACATGCACTCAAACACCTACACGCCTATACACACATACCTACAAACAAACACGCACATGACCCAACCCCCTCCCCACACATATGCACATACACCCACACACACATGCACAGCGAACTGCACAGATTTCCTAGGTTCTCTGCCTGGCTCTGAGTCTGGTTAACTGATCTCAGCCGGCAAGGCGGAGGAAGGGTGTTACATTTGGCGAGATCACACTTGTGCTGGGCAAGGAACCATTTCCAAGCCAGTTCCAGACTAACTTAAATCAACTCACATGTAAGATAGCAGGGAGCCAAAGCAGCGCCGATACTATATGGATCTGCATTAAAATGGAAAACCCTGGTAAATGCCCTTTACTGCAATACAACAATTACTGCAAATGAAAATTTCATATTGATCTGCATGATTGGTTATTTTGGTTCAAATTAGATTATTTGGCTGCAGCAATGCACCTTCCCAAGCGTTAGTATTTATAGTATAATGTGATGCTTTTCCCCTTCAATTGCAGCTTTAATGGAATCCACATGCCGCATCTGTATTTGTTTTCTTGTGTCCCCATCTGCATGTGGTCACCAGCACAATACGATTCAATGTGTACATCGGCCAAATCTGCAGCATTTCATAAAGCCCTCGATGTGATCGTTCTGGCATTCTCCTGCAAAATACACAGTCACTACACTCCACGGGAAAATCTTGCAGGGCCACTTTGAGTCGCCCTCCTGACATGAAAGATCCTATTTGCAGATCCTAAGTGTATTTAAAACCGTGGAGTCCTGGAGTGTAGTGGTCCCTGCCTGCACAGGAAAACCAAGTTATAATGTGGTTGGATGATTCAATGGCTCGGTTCAGTGAGCAAATATGTCTGACTTTGAGATTGGCAAATCTCTGCTGACGTCAATTCCAGTACTCCATTTGTGGAGTCCTGTAGCTCATTCAGATGGTAACACTCTTGCCTCTCAGTCAGGGTGTGGGTTCCAGCCCCAAGTCAGGACGTTGAACTCACAATCCAGGCTGACACTCTAATGTGATGCTGGTGTGAGCGCTGCATCGTTGGAGGTGCCGTCTTTCAGATGGGACATTAAACCTTGCCTGCTCAGTTGGATGTTAAAGATCCTGGGGCAAAATGAAGCAGCCAATTTGCACACAGCAATGTCCCACAAACAACCACAAAGTGAGCGGCAAATTTTATTTGGGCAATTGTTGGCCAGGACACTGGGAGAAAGAAACTCTCTTCGCTTTTTGAATAGTGCTGTGGGATCTGTAACGCCAACCCAAACAAGCAAAGATGGGACTTCAGTTCGTCCAAAAAATGGACCTCCAACAATTTGAATATCAGGCTAGACTCTATGAATTCAAAGTCCTATTGTGGGGCTTGAAGCCAGAACCTTCTGACTCAAAGGTGAGACTGCTCCCAACTAAGCCAGTTTGAATCACAAGTGTAATTAGAAACAGATCGCATTAGTGGTCCAATATATTTTTTGTGATTGATCTAGGATGTCACCTCTTGTCAGGTGTTGGTTAAGCCTCCTTTTAAAAAGAATGGAAACATATATATTGAGCAGTAAATCATGGAGAACTGGAAAAGTATGATTTCTGCCTGTTAGAAACAGTAAGTGATACCAGAACCTTCAGTAAGGTTATAAATATGTTCACCCAAACAAACATTTCCATACATACTAAACCCTTACTCTCGTTGCAGGAATTCCTCGGAAAAACCTTTCAGGATTACACAAAAATTTTCTAATGAAAAACATTGCGCAATTTGTTCAATGGATTTAGTTGACCAAAAATATAATCTCCTATCTTTTATTTGAAACTTCTACAAATTGCTATTAAATCACTAACTAAAAGAAATCCTAACTTCAGATTCAAAGGACCACAGCATTGGTTCAAATGAAGGAGGTGCTTTGGGTCACCTGATCTCCTTTTTAAATAAGTTTGAGTGATAATAAAGGCAAACTCAAGGGATCATGCAAAGCCCTTTCCCCACCACCTATCATACGTAACCTACATTTGATGCCACCCTTTCACCTAAATCATGGTAAATCTATAGAACAGGCTCCCTAGGGAGATGGTGGAAGCAGGAAGTATCGATTCATTCAAATACAAATTAGACAGATTTCTTTAGAAAATAATATTTTGGAATACAGTAATTTAAGACATGGCATATAGTAAGTGTAGTATGGCTTGGAAGAACCAGACAACTTTAGCTCTAAGATTCCCAAAGCTTTCCACTCTGTTGTAGACTAATCTATGCAGAATTAATTGCAGTCAACATCTCTATTATTGTAGCAGGATGTTAGAAGGTGAACTAGAGTGATCCAACCAGCTGACCACCCAAGGCTTACTCATGATGCCCAGGACAGAGGGCTTGGGTGACCCAAGGTGCCCCAGGCCACATTGGCAGTATTTGTACATGTGTGAAGTTAGTTAGGATTCACAGATGTTCCCTCTTCCCAGATATCAAGCTCAGTTAGTGTGAAAATGTAATTAACTTGCAGTCAGTTGGTGGATCCAGAGTGTATTTACCTGAACTGTAGGGGTCTCAGCGCAGAGTTTAACAGAATGGGTTTGACAGGTCAAAACAACCACTCAATTGGAAAGAACCCACTGAGAAGAAGAAATGGGAGGGTGAACCAATAAAGTTACGAAGCTCATTATTCCCTTGTAAAGAAAAATGTTGCTTTTCCTGATTTGCCGGGTATTGGTTCTGCACCGGTTGTTTGTATGCCTCTTGTTCACTCAGACCTTACCTTGCAATGGGTTCAGTGCGTATTATCTGCAGCAGCGAGCAAGCCAGGGACAGCTTCAACAAACCAGGAGAGCACACACACACACAATGTTTGCCTCTCTCTGGTGTCTGTAGCTATAGTTACTGAACCGCTTCCAAACTACAGAGGTCAACTTTCAGTTATTGTATTCTTTAAATGTATATATACAGTATATATAGGGCGACCAAAACAGTTGTGATACCATTATAATGACTAACTAATAAGTCTGAAAGAAATGATAAAGAAATAAAGTAATTACTATTAAAGTAAATGGTATCATGACTTTTTGATTTAAAGTAAAAACAAACTTTGTTGCAACTTCAAAGAGTCTACGATCGGGATGTTCGGATATCTTTTGCAAAGTTATTACTTATTTTATAAACTTAAAAGTTGATCACTTAAATTAATCACCTTCCTATCACTTCCCTAATTGTTTCCAACTTTTACTTTACCTTGGTATTTGAACCCTTCACAAGTCAAATTGGTTCGTCCTTGGAATTTAAGATTATTAATTACAGGGGTTTATCCAAACATATCAGATTTTAAGGTATTATCTGGTGAATGACACTACTGGTGATTACTGGTTTACTGCTGAGTGAAAGGGATTGGGGTGGTTTGGGGGAAAAGGGAAATTCAGCTAGGAGCAAATAGTCATTTATTGTCCAGTTTCACCTCTCTGTATTTCTGCCATGTCTGGCCATGCGTTCCATTAAAAATGTTGTCAGTCTGGCGCAGTGGTAGCACTCTCGCCTCTGAGTCAGAAGATTGTGGGTTCAAACCCCACGTCAGGCTTGGAATAACAGAATCTACATCTAAGATGACACGCCAGCGTGTGTTTCCTTGTTGGAGGTGCCGTCCTTTGGATGAGATGTTAAACCAAGGATGTTTGTTCAGGTGGATGTTAAAGATCCCGAAAAGAGAAGGGAGTTTCCCTGGTGTTCTGGCCAACAATCCCCCAAATAAAATTGTTTACTCACTTTATGGCTGTGTGCAATGTTTCGTCCACACAGTCAAAATCACTTTACAGTAATATCCTGTGAAGTGCTTTGAGACGTCTTGACAGTGTAATAAGGCACTACGTCAAATGCAAGTATTGCATTTTATACAGCACCCTTCATGTTTACAGGATGCTCAAAGCACTTCACATATAGTATAGTGAAGCGCTTCACATGCACTGTGTAGTGTAGTGACTGTGAATTTGAAGCTGAACGAAGTAGCCAATAGTTCCCGTGGAACTATTTTAAAATAGAAGGAAGTTTCTCCCAATGTCCTAGCCGACAATATAATACATTATTCACTGGGGAGACCGACAATCACTTCATTTCACAGTAAAATCCCATGATGTGCTTTGTGATGTCTCGATAATGCAATGATTATTATTGTTATTTTGTTATTTCCTGGTTACCTGTTACCTATCACTGGGACGAGTATCCAGATCTCATTCTTTCTAGTGGGAGAAAGCATTGGAGATCCAGCCTTCACCCTAACAGGCGTACTCTGAATGCTTGGACTTTCCTGTTAAGAGAAAGTAAGAAGGCCTCAAGTCCTACCATCTCTAACCCCGAATCGTTAAAGGAAAGTTTCAATATTGTAGCACTGCAGCTGCCTTTTTAAAATGTTTACACTGCTATTTAATTAAATGTGAGGATCCACTAAAATAACAGAGGTAAGAGTCAAGCCCGGAAGAGTTTTTGTTTGCTTTTTGTCGACACAGATGGGTAGACAGTAGACCGACTGCAGGGTCTGTGGGAGCTGTGATCAATGTGCAGATTACACTCAGAGGCCAGATGTTTTATTAAAACACAAGGCAACTCAGATGTAGACAGCAATTTCCATAATGAACTGTAAAAAAATGTAAGACATTGTAAAAACTGGTGATCAGATGCAATTTAGGTCAGATTTTACAGCAAGTTATCTCTGTTGTTCCAAAACATACACCCGCATGATTAAATAACCAGCACGGTAAAACAAGGCATAAAATGAATCTTTGTAATAATACATGACTGTGGGTCAGTAGAATA